ATATGTCTGTCGATATCAATAGCACACATCATAGTAGTAGTGTAGTGAACGAGAACACAAGTGGGGAAAAGCAAACGTATTCTCACACAACATTACAGAATCTCAGTAAAATCTGGCATTCATACAGTAGATAATTCATTTGAAAAATGTTAATCAATTATCTCAGAATTGATTAGTCCTTCATTTCCATATCAATCATTCTCTGTTCTCGTTATCTTCTATACGATCTTCCTAACCTTCTGCTTTCATGTATTTCACTTGCAATTGATGATACATACTACTTATATCTGCTGACATCGGTAGCTTACACTACAATTCCAGTGTTGATAATCATATTTGGACTTGAAGTCAGTTATTGCTTTATACAATAGGCTTTACTGAAAATAAGTGATTTGATGATCTTTTATTCGTAAAATTCTTTAGATACTGTAGTGTGGCGTTGAGTCGCAGTTGACTATGATCACTACTACAGGAAAACTACGTGCCAGTTAACCGATAAGATCCTCCGTAAGCCAAATATCAGAAGGCAGTTGACGACTGTAGTCCAGATGTATTTGTTGGCGATCTCGTGGTATCGAAAGAATACCGAGATCGTGCCAGGTTACAAGTGTGGTTACTGAGCGTAACCGAATTCGTGCAAGGTCACAAGCCACGGAACAATGTATGTTCTTAGTACAGTTAAGCAAACAAGTACAGTAAAACCATCACTGGTACAAATGGTTATAATAATAATCGTTTCCATTAAACCAATCGCGTTCTCTTGATAAAAGTATCTCACTACAACTTAATGATATCGACTGCCCCGACAAGCGATGTTTTATAGTGTACGGGTAAGTTGGAAGAAAGCTAGGAGCGGCCAGACCAAAACATGGTACAAATCTATGAAGTCACTGATAAGTGAAGTGAGCCATGTTGGTAGGTGTAGACTACCTGTTTGGGGACCGCGAGATGATAGCAACCGATGGTTAGAGATCCTGAATGACATGGCTCAAAATCGTTTGCAATGGCGCAGGTGCATCCATTCTTTGTGTTCTCCCAAATTCTAATCTTCTGTATTCATTATATCCCTTTCCTTTTTCTCTTTCCAAATTTATTTCACTGGATTATACTCCTTGAATAACATCTTCAAACCCTAATCTTTCCGATTACTGCTTATACTTTTACTACCTCTACCACTATGGGATTTGAATCGACGATTGCATCTCTGTGCTAATGTGGTATGCCAACTCGAATTGATGTAAGTATGTACGAAGTTCTACGTTGTTACTGACTGACAGATATAAATCAGATTTGAATTGGCAAATGTGATCGAAGATTTAAATTTATTAAACGGTGGTTATTATTATTATTGTTATAGTAGTATCGGTCTAAATATTAAAACGTAAATAACCGTGACATTCAATAAACTAAATTGTCATCAATGTGATTTAAAGCGATCTAATTGACTGACATTAACTTCAAAATATGTTCTCTACAATATTCATAACAGGAACGTAATTACACAACTTAACATTAGAAGGTAATTAGGTGAAAATAATGAATGATGGATCTCTTTATTCCTTTCTCTCTGCTTCACTTTCCTCTCCTATTGTCCAGGGGTCTAGATCTCTTCACCCTGTGTCTTTTTCATAGATCTAATTCTTTTGTGTATTCTTCTATTTGGTTTTCTTTCTCATCCTTTGTTAATCTGTACTTCTGCATCATCTCATTCCTTTTTTATGCACCTTCCTTATCCTTTCACTAACTAACTCTTTCTTCTTCTTCTTCTTCTTCTTCTTCTTCTTCTTCTTCTTCTTCGCCTTGTTCTTCTGTATTCTCCGCCTGCTTTTCTTCTCCATTACTCTTCAACTTTCCTATCTACTCTTCACTTACTTATCAGTTTATTCTTCCTTTTACATCACCTTCCTTATTGGATCTTTCTTCTATATACCTACTTAAAATAACAAGAAATAAGTAGTCATTTCATACTTGACTACATAATGCATGAATAACTAAATTAAGGTATTGAATTTATTCAGTGTAAAACGTGTGAAAACTATACAAAATATGATCAAGTATTTTGTTAAAGTTTATATCTGTCTTATGGTTATTTAATAATAAGAACTAAAACTGATCAGTTTCTATGTGTATCCCTATACTAAAATACCTTTAGATTGTGAGTTAGTTGCAAATTTTAATAAAGTTGGATTTATTACTTACTTACTTACTTACTTTTGCCTGTTACTCCCAATCGGGCATAGGCTACCGACTAGCATTCTCCAACCCACTCTGTCCTGGGCCTTCTTATCTAGTTCTATCCAATTCTTGTTCATTTTTCTCATGTCTATCTCCATTTCTCGGCGTAATGTGTTCTTTGGTCTTCCTCTCCTCCTTTGACCTTGAGGATTCCATGTGAGGGCTTGTCTTGTGACGCAGTTGGGTGCTTTCCTCAATGTGTATCCTATCCACTTCCAACACTTCATGCTGATTTCTTCCTCCGCTGTGATCTGGTTTGTTCTCTCCCACAGTTGGTTAGGGGGGCTACTGCCAGTCCCAAGCCCAGATAAAGGAGGAGGGTTGGGCATGGGATTAACGACCTCATCCTGTAAAAAACCAACTCGATAAGAAAACGATAGCACAGCACTTATCACTAAAATAGAAATATCAAGATAATCGATTCACGATATATAGATGTTAACAGTGAGTGAACATTTCAGGTTCTTGGTTGTAAAAATGGGAAAAAACAAAATCGTACTAATAACTTCATACTTTTTATACACGTTAGAGGTTATATGAACCCATTTAATGGAAAACGCTATGTCATTTGAAGAGGAAACTATTGAGTTTAGTATTAGTATGTATGTTGGGATAAAAGCATATCCAGCTGACGAATCTTAAAGAGGATGGAATATATGTACTAGATTCCATTGATGAATACAATTTATATATTGTACGTAAGTGAGTTGTGTTGTGCATTTTCTAGTTTTTGACATTCAGAACCGTATTGATTACTGTTGGTATATGTGCATTTAGGTTAACAGTACTATCAAAGATCTAATTCCTATTTCATTTATCGCCTATTGACTGTACTTAAACAGATATCAATGTTTGTTTTTTGAGTGTAAAACTGGTCTTTTAGTTGTTAGTAGATACTACACATATTGGCGATGATCTTAATGATCAAGTATTTCTGCTTAAAAATCCTCGATCTTATTCGAACTGTTCCCTTAAAAAGAGACGAATAGTGTGATGTTTCAGAATATTTATTGTTTCTAAGGGTGATATTTCACGAATGGCATTATTCGAACTGAATATTTTAATTATAAAGCTGCTGTAGTGAATGAATGAGAACACAATTGGGAACAACCAAATGTATTTGAATATGAAATTACAGAGCATCTAATTGAAATCTGAGAACCATACAGTAAATACTTCAATAAGAAAATGTCAATCAGTTGTCTTAATGCTGAATGTTTCTTTTTCAAATATCAGTCAATCCGTCCAGACATAATTGTTCCTTCGTTTTCATTTATTGTTCTCGTTTTTTTTCTGATCTTCTTAACCTTTTGCCTCTAAACGTTTCACTTTTGTTTGATGAGACATACTACTTATATCTGTCGATATCAGTAGCACACACTACACGAGAACAATAACTTGGGACTGTTGAGTTGGAAATTATATAGTCAACTTTTCTGAATTCAGTATATGGATGATACATTTTGCTTACCTCCAGACTTCAAAGCTTCTAGAACATTTGTAATTTTGTATATTTTATACCGATCTTACATTCCAATGAATTATGAAGTATTGAATAAAGCAAGTATTAGCATTTACAGTATGAGACTGTGGAGATGGTTGAATTTCATTGAAATCATAAACCAGTTCATGTTAGAACACTATTAAAAACCTTGAAACACTGAATGGACATTTCGTCCTAATACGGGTTTCCTCAGCAATGCACATCCATGATATTGCATATGGGACTTCAACTCCGAACCTTTGATCTTACACGCAAACGGTGAACCTGTAGACCACTGATTTATTATTGAACGATGTTAATGACTAATTTCAACCTATTATCATTATTCCTTTATTGTTTTCTTTTGATTTTTATATAATCATAGATTGTTCCGAACGACTTATCATACATTATAAGCAAAGATGGATAGTGGAATCCAGGACAAGAGTTTCGTCTTATTTTTGAGACTCATCAACTAGGTGTACATGTATATGATTTTCAGTCTATGACACCAATTCAATATCATCCACTTCAAACGTTATCACGTTATTCATTTAATTACTGATTTCCAATAGCCATTTGCTTATATAATGGGATGAAATTTAAATTCACTTGATATTGTTTACTTGAATCATACACTGTTTATTTAACCCTTTTCAACCACAGATAATTCAAGTTCCGACTATTTATGATTATAGCTGTTAACGGAACATAGATTAGATTAAAACATGCTCCATGCACGATTGCGTTGGTACGTGTTGATTAGACTAATTCTTATCCAATCCAGCGCTAGTCGATATTTGGACAAGAATCTAGAATTCTCTCATGTAAAAACTATAAATATACTAACGTTTATTTTTCCTTATTGTCCTTCTTACTTCCAACTACTCCTATGTTATTTGCAATATAATTCCATTCCTGTTCAATCATGTTCTGATTGTGGGACTTGTCGAATGAATTGGTATCAAAGACTTTCAATTATTGAGATCATCAATCAATTGAAGCTAGACAACCATGGAAAAGCTGAAAGCAGTGGATGGCCATTTCATCCTATTATAGGACTTCTCAGCAGTGCACCTTGCGAGATTCGATGCCACGGTCTCCAGTCTTGTGCATAAACGCTTAACCACTAGACCATTGAGCTGGTCGGCATCTAACGATGTTAATGTCTAACTTTAATCAATCCACGAAATTGAACGATACACTGACTCATAATATCAACCATTGAAATTACTAAAAATATCCATAAAACCCTCCTGATAAGAATTATAACAACTAAGATAACAGAAAACAGTCAATAGTGTACTTGTATATCGAATAGTAATAATCCTAATAGGGAAAGCGGAACAAACAGTACATATTCATATAATAATAATGATAATAATAATAATATTGATTATAGAAATGATGATATTACTTAAATAAACAGATAAATACGTGATTATTTATAGGGTGGTATTACATTCATTCAAACGAATTTATAAATAAATAAAGAAAGAAAAACAAACAAGAAAAACAATAACAACAACTGCAAGTAAAATGACAATAATATTTGTTTTTGTTTAATTGGGTTAATTGATTATCGATTTCTAATATGATAAGGTGTAGATCTATCATTGATTGATTGATTGGTTGATCGATCGATTGATTGACTGGTTGATCGATTGATTGATTGATTGATGGATGGATGGATGGGTGGATGGATGGATACAATAATTGATTAATTTTATTTTTTAAATTCAATGGTAACAATTGAATCAGTGAAATTTTATTAACCAGCAAATGCACGACGAATAATTCTTCGAACAAACTTTAATAGAGAGAACAAAAAACAAGAAAGAAAGAAACAAATTATATAATGAATAAAAATGTCATTTTAAGTAAAGATGGATAGTGAGTAGCAAGTGGAATCTAGGATGTGTCAATTAGATGTATCTATATCTTAGAGTTGATTTTCACTCTGGAATACGAATACAATACCGTTTGTGTCAAACACCATCATGTTATCTACTTTGATAATGAGTCCTGATAGTCAATTGTTTGTTCAATGGGGTAAAGTTCAAATTCCCTTAGTATTGTTTCCTTGAATTGTTCAAATATTCACCTTTGTTTAGAATGGTTGTGAATCAAGACAATATCTAGGCAATACGCATAGTATACATATATACCAATTAGAGACTGATCAATCGCAGTTCTAATCATCATTGAGAAGATTCAAATAACTAATACACAATCAATTGGCTATCAGAGCTCAGTAGATAAATGGATAAAGCGATGGTACCTTAACACAAACGGTATTGCACTTGTGTCCCAGAGTGAACATCAACTTTGAGTTGTAGGTACATTTAGTTGACGAGTGCCCTGCCCCACCGAAAAATGAAACGTACGTCCCAGATTCAACTACTATCCACTATCATCTCTGAATAATCTTATTTCTAGTATAGGGGTTGTGGAGATTATTAAGTTTTTGATTGAGATCATGAACCGATTGATGTTATACCATCACAATTAAAAACCTGGAAGCACTGGACGGCCGTTTCGTCCTATTGTGGGACTCCTCAGCAGTGCGCATCCACGATCCCGCGAGCGGGATTCGAATGAGAAGCCGTGACCAGTGGAGCTAATCCTTGTCGGGTAGAGACAGGTATCTACCTCAGTACAACGGAAGTTGGTCCCTCAATTTCGTGGATTGGTTGATGTTAGAAACTGTCACCATTGGATACCGGCTCAGTGGTCCAGTTGATTAAGCGTTCGCGCGCGAGACCGAAGGCCCTGGGTTCGAATCCCGCCCGCGGGATCGTGGATGCGCACTGCTGAGGAGTCCCACAATAGGACGAAACGGCCGTCCAGTGCTTCCAGGTTTTCAATTGTGATGGTATAACATCAATCGGTTCATGATCTCAATCAAAAATCTTATTTCTATTTTTATCGAATACTAACCATTTCTAAGAGACACATTGACATATTGACGTTAACAACAGTAGTAACAATAACACTGTTAAAATCAAATTGATTTGGAAGTATTTCAGAAAAGAAATGAGACAATACTAATGAATGATATTAGTTACTATGGAATGAAATATTCACTTCATTTTTTGATGGAATCAACTAAAACAAGTAGAATATTGAAAGAACTGGTGAGAGAAAAAGAAAAAGGAAAAAGAGAAAAAAAAGAAAAGTTTGAAGTTTGTCTGATAAGTATAATTAATAAAGAGAAGATATTAGAAATCTTATTTAAGGAGAGAAAATTCTTATTGAATAAACACAATAGGTAAGTGAACAAGTATTCATCTATGACTCCACCAGAGGAGTAATATCATGAATTGATTGAAGTTACACAGATGTACCACTGAATGTCGGCTTAGTGGTCAAGAGTTTAAGTGGTTATGAGCATAGATCAACTTACTGTGAGAGTGGGAGGTTGTTGATGCCTATTGCCAATGTCCAGCACTTTAACCAACTTAGTGAACATGGACGGATCACTTAAGAGAGCTGGAACACCTTGGTACATATTGGCTTCAGGATCCTAAGGGAGCAAATAACTTATGAACTTATTGTTAATCATCGGCTACCATGAGACTGCATCTCTTTATAACGCTCCACTGCTTTGTGGATTAGACACCTCCGACTGAAAGGCTCGGGGAGCAGTCCCATAAGAAAGTCACTTACTTCGGTTTGGGCACTCGGACAGTATCTCAGCCCTCACATATACCGAATAAAGTGTTGCGTACTTATATTTCGTCCACCCCTTGTACTAGTCTTTGCGTATTTATATAAATAAATAGAATCTTGATATTTCAGTTCCATTAAACTTTTTTAGCTTTTCTTTTGGAAAGTTCATTCATGACAAATACAAACTATAATTCAAACAAACAAACAAACAAAAAGAACTTACACGAAGTTTTCCACGTGAAAGATCTTCAGTTACAGTTACTGTAATTGAACTATTAGCTGTTCCATAAGGATTTGTAGCTATACACGTGTACTTTCCTGAATGTTCCGGTATTAATTGACCTCTTGCAATTCTATATACAAAGAAGAAACTCAAATGATTGAGAAAATAATCAAAGAAAAACTTACTTTTAACTAGATTCTTGTAGAAATCCTGGAGAAAAAACAACCTAGTGGTTGTAATCTCATTGTTGTTTTCTATCAAATGTGAACTTCATTCATGAAACCAAATGTCTTGTAGATCGATTCCTACATGAGGAATTGTGAATGTACATTATTGAGAAATCCCATACTGAAACCAAATGACCGTTCAATGCTTTCAGGTGATCTAGCTTAGATCGATTCAAGGTTTCAACTGTGATAATACAAAACATCTTATTGAGCCATAGACATTCAATCCTTCTTAGTGCATATCAAATCCTATTGATCAAGCCACAATGTGGCCACTAGTCTATGTGACTCGATATTGTGTGCACTATGTTGAGATAAAATGGTGGTTCGAGGTAGTCAATAGGAAACCCTGTTGGTTTGCATTACAATTTTACATAAAAGTGGGAGCTAGAATCGGCCCCATCATTACAAACCCATAATACTACACTAGAGCTTCAAATTATTTACCACACTATCAATCTATTCCAATAATATACATATAAATACCAGTAAAAGATGGAGATATTCTAGTCACCTGTTTTTCTAAACAATAACTTACGCAAATATATAAATTCTTCCATAAGCATATGTATTTCCGATTAATTTTGGTAATCTACGTTCAGGAGGAGGTTTACCAGAAGGTTCAAATGTCCATTCTACTTTTGATTCAGGTGAAGACGATTCATCAGTGCATTGTAATGACATTTCATCATTAGTTGTATAAGTGATTGATCCACTACTATAAATTGCTGGAGCAGCTGTTTGAAGGGAAACAAAATTTGAGAAAATATAATCATAAGTATGAGCTGTTTATAAGGGGGGGCTTGTTTAACTTTCAGGGTTAAATCGCTGACATCAGCCAGACAATTCCTAAAACCGAAGGTTATTGGGAGCTTCTTTCATTTTGAGCATACCTGTATAAACTGGAATTCTTTCTGGAATCATCTCCAGTGTAAATATTTATTTATGCTAGTAAGCACATACACCATTTAGAAAGCATTAAAATTAAGACCTTCAGGATTAATCGTTGAATTCATGAGTTCATTAAAGCTAGACCACCATGGAAAACCTGGAAGCACTTGACAGCCGTTTCCTCCTAGTGTATGACTCCTCAGCAGTGCACATCCACGATCCCTTTGAAGTTAGGCACTAACACCGTTGGAGGCCGACCGGCTCAGTGGTCTAGAAGTTAAGCGTTCACACACGTGACTGATAGGTCCTGGGTTCGAATCCCGCGGGAGGGGTCGTGAATTTGCACTGCTGAGGAGTCCCTTACTAATAGGAAGTAGCCATCCAATGCATCTAGGCTTTCCATGATTGTCTAGATTCAATTGACACATGAATTCAACTAATAAATTGCTAAAATCTCCACAAAACCCCCTTCTGACAGTAACTTTCATGTTTGGTAGCGAATCCTTAAAATTCAAACCATATATCTTAGTTTACGTCCATAGCTTCAGTTAGTCCTTAATATTGTTATACTAGTATTGCCCGTCTCACTGAAAACATGAATGAATCTCATTATTTATGGAACATAAACTTCAGTTGAATTCGATTCGGTATTTAACTAAGCACCAGTATAATTTAGTTGAATTGATGAAATTCGATCAAAGCATGTGGTTATTACACACTACAACGAACAATGAAGTTGTTTCTTATTTTACCAACTATTGATTTATCATCTGGAATGACAGCTGATGTACATCTGAGAATAGAGCAGTTCAGAAAACTCATTGAACTATTGAGTTTTTAGTACAAAGAACATTTCCGACCTTGTTTTACATTATGTTTAGGCTAAAACTGTTGTATCAGAAGGGGTTTTGTGGAGATTGTAATGATTTCAATAGTTGAGATCATGGGTCAATTGAAGCTAGACCACTGTAGAAAACCTGCAAACACTGAATGGCCATTTCGCCGTATTATGGGACTCCTTAGCAATGCGCATCCACGACCCCGCCTCGTGAGATTCGAACCCAGGACTTATCAGTCTCGCACGCGAACGTTTAACTATTAGACCACTGAGACGACATCCACCACCTGTTGTAAACAAACGCTCATGTAGGCAAGACCAAATTATTATTTTTTTAAATGCACATTCACATATCGGTTTAGCAAAATGTGAAGATCATTTGCATATTTTTGAATTGTCTCATACCAGCTTCATTGTTCCTTTATTCTTATTTTTATCTTGAATGCTTTCGTCTTTCTTTCTCTCTTCTCTTTTTTTTCAATTTTCTCAACCTTCTACTCGTAAACATTGATGTTACATACTACTTATGTCTATCAACATATGTAGCATAGCAGTATCAGTTTTTAATGGTGTTCAACTGTAATGAACTGCTCCTATATTCATATTAATTGAACGTTTTTTTTAAAAAATCAAGTTTGATTTTGATCCAGGAGCGTAGACATAAATACAAAATGTGCTGTCAAGTTAGATCTACGATCAAAGAAATGAAAACTTCAAACAGTACTAAATGTAAGATAAATTGTTTATCCGAAGGGGGTTTTGTGGAGATTTCAGTAATGTTATCGTTGAATTTATGAGTTTATTAAAGTTAGACCATTATAGAAAACTTGGAAGCATTGGACAGTGCAATGCTGTAGAGGTTAAGCATTCGCGCGTAAGACCGATAGGTACCCAGTTCAAATCCCACGGGCAGGATGCACATTGTTGAGGAGTCCTATACTAAGACGAAACGACCGTCCAGTACTTCCAAGTTCAATCATAAAATTAACCATTTCTCATTGATTTTAAACAGTTAACAAAATAAAGGTCAACCATTTAAATCATTGTACAGGGTTGGATGGAGAATGCTGGTGAGCGACTTATGCTCCTTCACGAGGAGTAACAGGCGTAAGTAAGTAAATAAGTAACTCATTGAAATGAAATAAACTTTATCAACAACACATACCTTGACGTTTAATGATCACATCTTGATATTGAATAAGTTTAAAGTTATATTCTTTTAATTGTAAACTAACTTGACATCTAAATCGACCTTCATCTATATATCTAGTTGAATTAGCAAAATAGAATAATCTATCACCAGTTAATACAATTTCTTTTAATGAACTACAATCATCATTTTGACACTATAGAAAGAAGAAAACAAAAAATAAAGGATAAGAAAATAAGAAAAAGAGATGTAAATTGATCAATATTTATTGTCAGATTATTGAATACAAGGAATTGTATTTGGCATAAGTTTGGTCATTCAGCGCTCGTTAAAACGATGTATTCGGGAACTAGAAGTGAACTGGAGATTATTGTGGGATTTGAATATGTGTGACGTAATATAATAATCAATTATATTACTACTGAGTTAATTACTCTGTATGTGACCTTCTATATGAATAAGATCATTGTAATAATTGATTCTTACTTAATTACATATGCCTGTTACTCCTCGTCGAGGAGCATAGGCCACTCACCAGCATTATCCATCCAATCCTGTCTCAAGCAATCCTTTCTAGCTCTTTCCACTTGTTATACATCCTTTTCATATCTGATTCTATTTCCCGACGTAAAGTGTTCTTTGGCATTCCACTTTTCCTCTTCCCTTCATGATTCCAAGTTAGGGCTTGCCTAGTGATGCAGTTTGATGTTTTGCGTAATGTATGTTCTATCCATTTTCTCGTCTTTTCCTGATTTCCTCTTCAGTTGGAAGCTGGTTTGTTCTATCCCATAGAAGACTGTCTATGACGGTATCTGACCAATGGATGTTGAGTATCTTGCGAAGATATTTATTTATCAATGCTTGTACGTTCTTGATGATGGTTGTAGTTGTTCTCCGAGTTTCAGCTCCGTATAGTAGCAGCTGTCTTGATGTTCGTCTTGAAGATTATGACTTTGATATTGGTTGAAAGTTGTTGTGAGTTCCATTCTTCAATTGTATGAATGCGGCCCTTGCTTTGCCATTATCGTACTTATTCATTTATTCATTAATAAATTTTAAGGTCCTAATTTTGTAACTTTATTTTGAAATTTTGAATTTCTTTCTTTTCACTACAAAAGCGCTCTTTACACCTTTCTCACTTGAGAGAATCCTAAACGCTATTGGTCCGTTTCTTCTTTAAGTATGCTATTTTGTAACCCTTCCCAAGGACGGTTTTGTGCTGTATATATACGTTTCGATCTGTGTCTGTTGTTATCGCTCGTGCTTCTGGCTTTTTGCGAAATATACTTCCCAATTCGGACTTCGATTTCTCTCTCTCTCTCTCTCACTAGTTAGCGGGGCTGGGACGTAATACAGTAGCTAGTTTATTGGTCTTTGGTCACAAGTCTTCGTTCCGTTCGCAGACTAAGTGAAATCGTAACCACTTCAAAACTGGCAGATAGTTACTGGGTTCGAGTCCCAATATGAAATTCAACACTCAGATGCAAATGTATACACTTTTTAAAATGAAAACAAGATACCATTCAAAAGTGCAGGATCATTATATGAGTGCAGACAATATCAAGATAATCGATTAAGGAGTATATCAGACAACATGTACTGATTTAAATGTATATATAACATTTTATATAAATATTTACTTTAAACCATGTCGCTACAGCTTCTCCTGAAGTTACTTCCGGTTTACAACCAAGTTCATAATCTTGTGTTGAATCATATGAATCTTTAGGCATATCAACTGGTTCTAATATTGATTCATCTGGTTTTACACGATCAATACGTATTGATTTAATCATTGGTTTATCTATTAAATGAGAAAAACAAAATAGGAGAAATTTTGTTAGGGGCATCATTCAATATGGATATTGGACGGTCAATGTATAGCAAAACCAACCTGGAAGGGACAATATTTAAATTTCCATAGTTTCTGTTCATTGCAATACAAGTGAGGCTTGGTTAAGTGACTCTTTAAGAGGACTCAAAGAATTTGTAGTTCTTATACAGTGGAAAAAGATGAAAAGTTACTGACTGACACATTAATAGTAAATGGTTATCCACTAAAGCTTATTAATAGGTTATTGCTAAGACCTCTTATTTATTCAGTTCCAAAGAAAAACGTTTATATCCATCTACCATATAGAGGTGAATCCAACAGTATAGTTTTAAGACAGAGATTGAAAGCAGCCATCGAGATAACGTATTATGCTGCTCAATTGGTTGTGATTCCGAATAAACCCAGGCAATGCACTAATGATTACGTCACATCCCACTGTATTTACCAGTTTACAGGTTTGTGTGGACTTACATACATAGGGAGGAGTAATCGAACAATGCAATCAAGGGTCATTGAATATGTGCCTAAATGGCTTCAAAATCATTGTGTGTCAAATGATCCGATCAACGTGGGAGGTAGAAAACCAAGTTCATCGATAGCGAAACATTTAATTGAAATGAGGTACAAAATTGACGTTGTATAGAAATTGTCAAGGACGAATTCTCAAGATGATTGAAGCCTTGGCTATTCGTAAATTTAAACCCTTCTTATGCCTACAAAAGCAATTTGTCGTAACCTTGAATTTACCTTGGTAATCCTTAAGTCATTCTATGGCCCAGGATAACGTTTACTTACATACTTACACCTGTTACTCCTAATGGAGCATAGGCCGCCGACCAGCATTCTCCAACCCACTCTGTCCTGGGTCTTCTTTTCTAGTTCCATCCAATTCTTGTTCATTCTTCTCATGTCTGTCTGCATTCATTTATCGGCGTAATGTGTTGTTTGATATTCCTCTCCTCCTTTGGCCTTGAGGATTCCAAGTGGGGGCTTGCCTCGTGACAAAGTTGTGTGCTTTCCTCAATGTGTGTTTTATCGACTTCCAGGACTCCTTCCTGATTTTTTCCTCTACTGTGATCTGGTTTGTTCTCTCCTACAGTAGGTTGTTGATGATAGTGTGTGGCCAACTGATCCGAAGTATTTTGTGTAGACAACTATTACTAAACACTTGTATCTTCTGGATGATGGCTTTTGTGGTTCTTCAAGTTTCTACCCCATACAGTAGCACTGTCTTGACATTTGCATCGAAAATCCTGAATTTGGTGTTGGTTGACAGTTGCTTTGAGTTCCAGATGTTCTTCAATTGTAGATATGATGGTCTTGCGTTGCCAATCCGCGCCTTTACATCTGCATCAGATCCACCACGTTCATCAATGATGCTGACCAGATATGTAAAGGTTTTAACATCTTCCAAATCTTCTCAGTCAAGTGTGATTGGATTGTTGCATGCTATGTTGTATCGGAGAATCTTGCTTTTCCCTGTGTGTATATTGAGACCTACTGCTGCTGAAACTACCGTTACACTGGTCGTTTTCTCTACATATTTATGTTTGTCAGGCCTGGTGCTCCTCTTCACTTACTTGTTTACTTCTGTGTATTCAGCTTGTGCATTGACTTTTTCTGATCTTGTTCGGCTCGTATTGATTGCTGTCTTCTTGTTCCTCCTTTCTTGAATCTTATCCAGTGTATCAACAGTGATCCATTCCTTGTGATGGTGCTTCTTGTGACCCAGAACCTCATGATATGTTGAAGTGATTGCCTCTTTGATCCCCTTCCAGTTGCTCTCCACAGTAGTTCCTTCTCCATTGAGTAGATCATGAAAGGCCTGGAACTTGTTGCTGAGGACTATCTTGAATTTGTTGAGTTTGTTAGTATCCTGAAGAAAGGCCGTATTGAACTTTTGTGATATTGTCCGCCCCGTTGTCCAGCGTTTCTTGAGTTTCAACTTCATCTTGGCGACCATCAACTGATGATCTGATGCTATATCAGCTCCTCTTTTGGTTCTCACGTCCTCTGTAGTCCTCCTGAACGTTTTGTTGATGCAAATATGGTCGATTTGGTTTTGTGTAGAGTGATCCGGTGAAGTCCATGTGGTTTTGTGTATGCGTTTATGTGGGAATATGGTGCCGCCTATGACCAGCTTATTGAAGGCACATAGGTTTGCAAATCTCTCACCATTTTCGTTCCTTTCTCCCACTCCGTGTCGTCCCATGATGTCTTCATATCCAGTGTTGTCCGTTCCAACCTTGGCGTTGAAATCTCCCATCAGAATGGTGAGGTCCTTTGTTGGGCACTTCTCGATGATTGACTGCAGCCTGTCGTAGAATTGATCTTTAGCGTCTTCATTGTAGTCGTTGGTAGGCGCATAGCATTGGATGATGTTCATTGAAATGCCCTCTTTCTTTGTTTTGAACGAGGCTTTGATGATCCTTGGTCCATGAGATTCCCATCCTATAAGTGCATTTTGCGCTTGTTTGGACAGCATCAATGCAACTCCTTGTGTATGTGGTGCATTTTCTTCTTCATGGCCGGAGTATAACAGGAGCTCTCCTGTAGTTAGTCGTTGTTGTCCAACTTGTGTCCAATGTGTTTCACTGATCCCAAGTACCTCTAGGTTGTATCTTCTCATTTCTGCAGCAATCTGGAAGGCTCTTCCGGTGTCCCACATTGTACGAACATTCCATGTACCTAAATAAATGGTCGCTCTGGTTGTCAGAAGGGGCATCGGCCTCGTAACTTCCGAAGGAATTCGGCTTTCATCATGAGGCATCATAGTTCTTCTAAATGAAGACCTTCTGACTCCAAGAGCAGAGTTTAAAAGGATTAAATAATTTTTTCTGGTTAGAGTTTTTTTAGCGAGTTAGTTTTGTACGGGATGGAGTCACTAACCCCATGGCCAACTCTCCTCGTTTATCCGGGCTTGGGACCGACAGTAGCCCCGGGGGGCTCTAGGCTAAGTTTTAGAATAACGTGACAATTACTTATTCTTTCTCTCCCCTTTGTTACTTTTTTACTTGAACTTTCATTTAATTGACCTTTATTAATTTTCATATAAAATGCCCTGATCAGTATATATGTGATCAGATTGTTCAAAATGTATAGCTCAATTACATCACATTTTCATCAGATCAGCTTTGTCTTCTCATTGTTCTATCGAAATATGGATAGTATTCAAAGTTTATGGTTAATGAACTTATTAAGATTTATTATTATTATTATTATTATTATTATTATTATTATTATTATTATTATTATTATTATTATTATTAATGGCTTCATTCATTATTCTATATTTGGTACAATATAGAATTCTCAGAACAAGTTTCTTATTTGTTGATTGTTCCTAACGTTCAATATTGAGTGATCACCAGTTAGATGTTAACAGTTCACAAATCTACATCTGAATAATGTTCATTCATTTCAATTTATATTGCGCCATCAACCATCATGTCTCTGATTGGACTCTTTTGTAACTTGTACAGTGGAAGGTTGTAAAACTTTTCAGAAACACACTTTAATACATTATGTAATCGATTAAGACATAATGAATTAATATCATATAGGTCTTGTGGAGATTGTAGTAATTTCAATGGTTAAGATCATGAGTCAGTTGAAGCTAGACCACCATGGAAACCAGTAGGTCCTGGGTTCGAACCGCACAGGGGGCGAGGTCGTGAATGCGCACTTCTGAGGAGTCCGACAGCAGGACGAAACGGCCGTCCAATGCTTCCAGGTTTTCCATGATCATCTAGCTTCAACTGATACATAATGAATTGTTAAAACAAACAAACAGAAAACAGATAACCTGGTGTTATACGGTGTGATTGGATTTTATATAAACCACATGTCTAAAATACATAATTCATATAATAAAACCTAAGTTTGTGTTCTGGACTCAAACGACTAACGCAAAGGCAATAAGAATTAATAAGGACTTGAAGTTGACTCTAGGCTATTTTTATTAGTTAACGTATTATTGATTAGGCACAGAGCCATGGTCGTATAAGTTGGTGCTTTGAATAGCGGTTTTATCACATGATAATTGACAAGGGAAAAAGTCATAAGACTTTTGATGAAATAAAAAGGTAAGCTTTTGTTGAATGTTACGTGACTTATGAATTTTACAAACTTTATATATGGATTCTTTCCACGTTAAATTCAGATTACATCCACTATTTTTCTGTTGAAAAAACACTTTTATTCGAGAGTAGTTGTGTTTGTATTTTCATCATTTACAGCATTGTAAACAGTTTTATGAACAATGTCTCACATTTTTAATAGTATTTGTGCTTATATTCCTTAATAGATCGATAGAATGGATCTGTTATAACTTGTGTCCTTGTGCCCCCCTATCAACATATATATTACGTAATGATACCGCCAATTAGAGAATAGTGATTTATCGTCCAGACCAATGACGTGTAAACCTCTACGAGCAACCTACAGTACTTATCGGTCCTACTTCCTGTCTAGCCCTGCCTGCCTGCCTGTTCAGTCTAGAACATCAATCTCAGCTTCAGTGATAGGAACCATTTATTTCAAACATACTGGGTTCATATACAAACCAAACAGACCATATCGTACCATAAAATAAGAAACAACATTTGTACAAGAATTAGCCAAATGTGGCTGTGAATGTAGGATACTCTAATTAATAGACTAGGCATAACTGAAGAACGGTAAATCGTATAATAATCGTTTATGAGTCAAACTAAAGCTTATAATAAGAGGAGTTTAGATATACATCATCTAGTTACTGAATAGTTATACAATAAGAATATACATATAATATTTGTCCATAATTAGTTTCCGAAAGTTAACATTCATATTTCTCGTCAGGATATAACAATCAATGAGACAACGCTCTGGGAGCTATATACATATACTTTGATTTATTGACTATTTTGATGATAAGTAGTATGAAAGGATAGAAAAACAAGTAAACGTTTCATGTGATTGTGATATGACTCTATATCATTTCAAGTATTTAATGAGACAAACAATCTAAGTAATGTATCTTATTAATATACTGCGTCACAAGGCAAGTCCTCCCATGTAATCCTCAAGGCCAAAGGAGATGAGGAACACTAAAGAACATATTACGCCAAGAAATAAAGACAGACAGATATGAGAAGAATGAACAACAATAGGATAGAACTGGAAACGAAGGCATAAGTAAGTAAGTATTAAGTAATCTTCTTAATATACCCATCATCAAGTCTAATCTCAACAGATTTCTATTGAGTTGAGTGTAAAATGACATAAGTCATTATTTAACCTTATCCTCACTAAATTCACTAGTTCATTATAATCTTCTCATTCAGAGATTTTTATATCGGTTTTAGATCAGTTCATGATCTGAATCAAAAAACTTAACAATCTCCACAACCCTTATACTGATAATTACCATGTACTCACTAGTGACTAGCTTCGTGAGAAAATTCTCGGAGTTCTGGTGAGAAGCCGTGACCAGTGGAGCTAATTCGTGTCGGGTAGAAACGGGTGTCTACAATGGAATATGGTCGCACAACTTCGTGGATTGGTTGACGTTAGACATTAACACCATTGGATGCCGGCTCAATGGTCCAGTAGGTTAAGCGTTCGCGCACGAGAATGAAGGGCCTGGGTTCGAATCCCTTGAGTGTGGGATCGTGGATGCGCACTGCCGAGGAGTCCCACGATAGGACGAAACGGCCGTTCAGTGCTTCCAGGTTTCCAACAATAGTCTAATATCAATTGGTTCATGATCTCAATCAAAAAACTTAACAATCTCCACATCCCTTATACTGATTTTTATATATTTGATTATTAAAATTGATCATTACAATTGACTTACTTCTCACATTGATAATAAATGGATGTGATGATGTATTATAAGTATCATTATATGATGCAATACATCGTACTTCATATACTGATTCATCTGATATAGTTGTACTTGGTAAACGTAACTTATTTAATTGTAATTGATTAGATCTCCAACCAGAAATATCTTCAGCACCTTGTCTTGGATCTGTATCTCTTATCCATATACCATTTTCATTACCTAAATTCATTTCCCATTGATAATTTGATGGTTCTACACGTTCACCAGTAATAAGATCTATAAATTAAAATGCGAATACATAAGTTTCTAATTTACAATGTCTAAACTAAATGAAAACAGTCAATAGTTCATGAAATAACAAAAACAATCTAGAAGAGTGTTATGCTCTTGTAGTGACCTATTTTTATCAAGAGAACGCGATTTGTTTAATGGAAACAATTAATATCATAACCAATTGTACCGGTGATTGTTTTAGTGTACTTCCTTGTTTAACTGTATCAAAACACATACATTCTTCCCTTGATTGTGACCTTGCACGAATTCGGTTACGCTCAGTATCCACACTTGTATTCCTTTGGCACGATCTTCATATTCCTTCGATAACACGAGATCGTCAACAAATACATCTCGACTATAGGCATCAACTGCCTTCTGATATTTGACCTACAAGGGATCTTATCGGTTAACTGGCACGTAGTCTTCCTGTAGTGGTGATCATAGTCGACCACGACTCGACGCCACACTACACTAATAATTTTTAGATGTTGTCGAAGATTTATAGTTCAGGTGGAGTTTTTTTCTCTAGGACAGATTGGTTTGGTTGGTGATGAGACTTTCATTATAGTTAGACGTTTTTACTAATGATGATGTTGTACAAAAGAACAATGAAAGCTACACAACTAAACCATTCAACTCGGAGAATAAAACTCCACCGGAATAAAACGAAAATAAGAAACCAATTATAACGTATAGTGTTTGAAGCATTTATGGAATTAAACTTTATATCTGGTCAATTAGTCTTCATTAGTCTTGGAGAACTACGAAAGCCATCATCCAGAAGATATAAGTGTTTATTAACAGTTGTCTACACAAAATGCTTCGGATCCGTTGGCCAAACACTATCAGGAACAACCTACTCTAGGAGAGAACAAACCAGATCACAGTGGAGGAAGATATCAGGAATAGACGTTGGAAGTGGATAGGACACACATTGAGGAATGCACCCAACTGCGTCATGATGCAAGTCCTCACATGGAATCCTTAATGCCAAAGGAAAAGAGGAAGACCAAACAACACATTAAACCGAGAAAAGGAAACAGACAAATATGAGAAGAATGAACAAGAATTGGATGGAACTAGAAAGGAAGACCCAGGACAGAGTGTGTTGTAGAATGCTGGTCGGCGGCCTATGCTCGATTGCGGGTAGCAGGCGAAAGTCAGTTAGCAATTGTTTAAATAACAGTAATTACGTAATCAATAATTCGATAATAAATATAATACTTACCATCAACATAACATGTTAATGTTTTAGAGGTACCAGTAAATACATACAATTTACTACGTGATTCTTCATCGAATACTCTTACATTGAACATTTCACGAATCTCTAAAAATATCAAAAAGAAGACAAATCATGATTATTGTTGCAAATTGGATAATAAAAGCACCAGTAACACTGGCTACAACATTTGCAGACGTTACTGAAACTTCAGCTGTTCAGTGGTATGAGTATTGCAGGGATATATGTGCAATGAAAATGACAAGTTTACACGAGTCGTTTAGAGGAGTTAGTAGAATCGTCAAAATAGACGAAACAGTATTCCGGAAGTGAGAATATAACGGAGGACGTAGTATTAAGGAAGACTGGGTAAGTAGCACGTCCATAAATATACCTCACAGGTCTTTGGAATTTACAACAGATCAACCCAAAAGTGACACTTTTAAAGGGTCCGAAACCGAAAAGGAATGACAATAATACTATTTATACGGTGTTATAACTTGAAAAAGCTGATTTTTCTTGATACTACCGCGTATAACTGAGCAGTAGAACACCAAACCCTTCCAAGTCGCAAATAAGAAGACAGAAGACTAACGAAAGGAATATTATTCCAAACAGTGTCGAACATAGTACAAAATTATCAGGTATTTATAGTTTTTAGTGAGAACGAAATCATCATTACAGTCTTCCAATCCGCGTACAGGGGGTTATTAGCATTATCCAATGGGGAAGCTACACGTTGGAATTCTAGAACATTCTTCCGAAAGGTGATTGGATGGAACGTCTTCGGCTCCTTATGAGCCTCTTACAGCTTCCTCGAGTTCACCGGTGGTCCGTCGTCACATACGGGAATACATACAGCAAGGTACCACGATATACACGGATGATCGGAGAGCCTACGATGCCTGCACAGACTTGGATATATGCATTATGTCGTTATCCACGAGCTTCATCTTTTGTGGACCCTACAACAGGAGTGCACTCTAACAATATTGAAGCTATGTGGTCGAAGCCATAGGAGTTCTTACGACCGTATCGTGGCACGAGAGGTCGACTATTATAGAGCCATATGGATGAGTTCCTCTACTGTATGCACTACGATTTCAGAACCTCTGAACCTCTTTCAAACCTTGATATGTTTTTGAACTATGTAAAAGAAGTATATCCACTTTAACGCTTTGGTTTTTTATAATATATTTTTACTTTATACTGTCTTCTGATTAGCTAATATTTCCAGGGTCGCTTAAATTCGTTCAAAAGTCATCCATAAATTAGAGTCTCGCCACTTCAACTAGTCCACGAAATTGAGAAACACGTCAACCATTGTCTTCTGCGAGTTACTATCTCATAACAGATCCGGTTAAACTCCACAGGACACTGTTTTATATATGTAAAATTGATCAGATAAAGAACTATTGGTTAACGAAGGATAGTGAACATTAAGATTAGCAAACTCTTCAGAACTACCAGCTATAGTTTCATAACCAATTGAATGCATCTTATCATATAAGTTAACTCCGCCTGTAGCTCTTATAGGGTTGCTGCCGGTCCCAAGCCCGGGTAAAGGAGGAGGGTTGGGCATGGGGTTAGCGTCCCCATCCCGTAGAAAACTAACTCGCTAAAAAAACGCTTACCAGAAAAAATAATCCAAACCATTTTAACTCTGCCCTGGGAGTTAGAAGGTCTTCATTTAGAAGAATTATGACGCTTCATGGTGAAAGCCGAGTTCCTTCGGAAGCCACGAGGCCGATGCCCCTTCTAACAACCAGAGCAAAAATTTTTATAGGTACATGGAACGTTCGAACAATGTGGGAGACCGGAAAGACAAGTCAAATAGCAATGGAAATGAGGAGATACAACTTAGCAGTACTGGGAATCAGCGAAACCCACTGGACCCAAGCTGGACAGAAAAGGCTAACTACTGGAGAGATGCTGCTATACTCCGGTCACGAAGAGGACAATGCTCCACACACTCAGGGAGTCGCTCTTATGCTGTCCAAAGTAGCACGAAATGCACTTGTAGGATGGGAATCTCACGGATCCAGAATCATCAAAGCATCATTCAAAACAAAGAAGGAGGGGATCACAATGAATATTATCCAATGTTATGCACCCACCAATGATAGCAACGACGAAATTAAAGATCAGTTCTACGAGCGGCTGCAGTCAATCATTGAGAAATGCCCAAGAAAGGACCTAACTATTCTGATGGGAGATCTAAATGCCAAAGTCGGAATAGACAACACTGGATATGAAGATATTATGGGACGACATGGACTGGGAGAAAGAAACGAAAATGGAGAAAGATTTGCAAATCTATGTGCATTCAACAAATTGGTCATAGGAGGCACAATATTTCCACACAAGCGTATACACAAGGCTACATGGATCTCACCGGACCACACTACAGAGAACCAAATAGATCATATTTGCATCAACAAAAAATTCCGAAGGACAATGGAAGATGTGAGAACCAGGAGAGGTGCTGACGTAGCTTCAGATCACCACCTAGTTGTAGCCAATTTGAAACTGAAGCTAAAAAGGAACTGGACAAGTGGACAAACAGCAATACAAAGGTTCAATACAGCCTTCCTTCGAGATACTGTCAAACTCAATGAATTCAAGATAGCTCTCAACAACAGGTTCCAAGCCTTACAAGATCTACTGAAAGAAGAAGAAACTACTATGGAGGACAACTGGAAAGGCATCAAGGAAGCATTAACTTCAACGTGTCAAGAGGTTCTGGGTCTAAAGAAATACCATCATAAGGAATGGATCTCTACAGAAACACTGGACAAGATCAAAGAAAGGAAGAACAAGAAGGCAGCAATAAACAACAGCCGAACACGAGCAGAGAAAGTCCAAGCACAAGCTGAATACATAGAAGCAAACAAACAAGTGAAGAGGAGCATTAGAGCCGACAAGAAGAAATACGTGGAAGAACTAGCAACGACGGCAGAAAAAGCTGCTAGAGAAGGAAATATGAAACAGCTTCACGATACAACGAAGAAACTAGCAGGGAAATGCAGTAAACCAGAGAGGCCGGTCAAAGACAAAGAAGGCAAGCCAATCACCGAAATTCAACAACAGCGTAACAGATGGGTAGAATACTTCGAAGAGCTCCTGAATAGGCCGGCTCCAATGAATCCACCGAACATCGAAGCAGCACACATAGATCTTCCTATAGATGTCAATCCACCAACTACGGAAGAAATTAGAATGGCCGTCAGACAAATCAAGAACGGGAAAGCAGCGGGACCCGACAACATACCAGCTGAAGCACTGAAATCAGACATCGAAGCAACCACAAGCATGCTTTATCTTCTATTCAAAAAGATTTGGGAGGAGGAACAAGTGCCGATGGACTGGAAAGAAGGACACCTCGTCAAGATTCCAAAGAAAGGAGATCTGAGCAAATGTGAAAACTACAGAGGCATAACACTACTGTCAATACCAGGGAAAGTCTTCAACAGAGTTTTGCTGAACCGGATGAAGGATGCAGTAGACGCCCAACTTCGAGATCAACAAGCTGGATTCCGTAAGGATCGGTCGTGCACAGATCAAATTGCAACACTACGGACCATCGTCGAACAATCAGTTGAGTGGAACTCATCACTATACATCAACTTCATTGATTATGAAAAGGCATTCGACAGTGTAGATAGGAAGACATTATGGAAACTTCTTCGACACTACGGAGTTCCTCAGAAGATTGTCAATATTATCCGGAACTCATACGACGGACTACAGTGCAAAGTAGTGCATGGAGGACAGCTGACAGATGCATTCCAAGTAAGGACCGGAGTCAGACAAGGCTGTTTACTCTCTCCCTTCCTCTTTCTTCTGGTGGTCGACTGGATTATGAGGACCTCGACATCTGAAGGAAAACACGGAATACAATGGACAGCTCAGAACCAATTAGAAGATTTGGACTTCGCAGATGACCTAGCCCTCCTATCACGTACACACGAACAGATGCAGATAAAGACAGCCAGTGTAGCAGCAGTCTCTGCATCAGTAGGCCTCAGCATACACAAAGGGAAAACTAAGGTCCTCAAATTCAAAGCGGAGAACAGCAATCCAATCACACTTGATGGCGAAACTCTGGAAGATGTAGAATCCTTCACGTACCTGGGAAGCATCATCGATGAAAAGGAGGATCCGATGCAGACGTAAAGGCGAGGATCGGCAAAGCAAGGGTCGCTTTCCTACAATTGAAGAACATATGGAACTCAAAACAACTTTCAACCAATATCAAAGTAAGAATCTTCAATACGAACGTCAAGGCAGTTCTACTGTATGGAGCTGAAACTTGGAGAACTACAACAACCACAATCAAGAAAGTACAAGTATTTATAAATAGCTGTCTACGCAAGATACTCAACATCCATTGGCCGGATACCATCAGCAACAGCCTTCTGTGGGAGAGAACAAACCAACTTCCAGCTGAAGAAGAAATTAGGAAAAGACGATGGAAATGGATAGGACATACATTACGCAAATCGTCAAACTGCATCACGAGGCAAGCCCTAACTTGGAATCCTGAAGGGAAGCGAAAAGAGGAAGGCCAAAGAACACATTGCGTCGGATAATAGAAGCAGATATGAAAAGGATGAATTACAACTGGACGGAGCTAGAAAGGATTGCCCAGGACAGGGTTGGATGGAGAATGCTGGTGAGCGGCCTATGCTCCTTCACGAGGAGTAACAGGCGTAAGTAAGTAAGTAAGTATCATATAAGTTAACTCTGGATATCACTGATGTCAGATTCAATGACTGATACTTCTAACTACAGTTGATTTAACACGACAGATCTTTAATGTTAAATTAGACTTGCAATACTTAATATTCAAACACATTTTGTTATCATTACAGCCATACATACAATCATTGAAATACATCTACACTGTGAACTAAAGAAATGGCTACTAAATCCAAGGACAGCAGCAGGCGCGAAAATTACGCAACCCCGGCACAGGAAGGTAGTAACGAATAAAATACGGATGCGGGACTCAATTCGAGCTCCGTAATTCGAATGAGTACAATTTAAATCATTTAAGGAGGACCAATCGGAAGGCAAGTCTGGTGCCAGCAGCTTCGGAAACTCTAGTCCCAAAAGTGTGAACTAAACAATTATCCACAGTCGAAAAGAGATCTCATGTGATTATTTAAAATAAATGTTGAAATCACTATTGATATTTGTGGAGATTTAACAGTTGAATTCGCAGTTCAGTCTCATCTAGACCACCACTAAAAACCTGAAAGCACTACACGGTTATTTCTTCCTAGTATGGAACTATTCAACAGTGCGTAGTCATGATCCTGCACGTACGACTAGAACCCAAGGACTTCAGTCTCACGTACCGTCATCCAATAGTGTTAATGTTTTGAAATTGTGGACGTACACTACTGAGGAGTCCCATATTAGGACGAAATGGTCATCCACTGTTTTCAAGTTTTCATTGGTTTCTATCAACTCATGAATCCAACTATTCGTGGATTGGTTGAAGTTAGACATTAACACCGTTGGATGCCAGCCGGCTCAGTGGTCTAGTGGTTAAGTGCTCGCGCGTGAAGCCAGTAGGTCCTGGGTTCGAGTCCTGCGGGGTATGGGATCGTGGATGCGCACTGCTGAGGAGTCCCATACTAGGACGAAACGGCCGTTCAGTGCTACCAGGTTTTCAATGGTGGTCTAGCTTCAATTGACTCGTGATTTCAATCTGTGATATTAAAAAAAGTTTAAAAGTCATATTAGTTTCAAGCACAAGATACTACTAATTCATTTGATCAATACCATTTGTTACTACTTTGAATTCTGTTGTTTAGGGCACCGAGAAATTGTAAAAACAATGATTCATTGATTTTAACAAAAGTGTTTACATTATGTTTATTAATTTAAATGTTGTTCATGTCTGTTTGTTTGTTTTTTTCTATTTTTACGAAAAATATTTCTTAATATTCATCTCCCCCCCTCCGGTTTTTAATCACTAAGGTAGTTTTCTGGACATATTTAGATGTTAGTGAAAGGAAGAACACAACTACCATGAAATTGTATACAAAAATTAGAGGAAAATTACAGTTTTAAATGTGAGCAGAATAAATAAGAAAATAATAACATGTTTACATTGAATACCAAATATTACTGTAGTTTCAATAATCCCATTTGTTTATATCATAAATATGAAGGGTATTGGATGGGTGGCCTGTTTCAATATCTAAGCTAACCACTCTTACTTAACATCTAGATATTTTCACAATTGATTGATCACTGTGTGGCGATCAATGTCATGCGTGTCTAGTCCTTATTAGTGCAGATCGAATGCTATCGATCATGTTGCAATGTGGCTACCAGTCTAGGTGACTCGACACTGCGTGCACTATTGTGAAATTAGATGGTGGTTGGTCACCACACAGTGATCAATCAATTGTGATTACATCTCAGTCCTACAGGAGGTTAGTCACGGCTTGGATAGCTCAGTGGTAACGTCTCTGACTGTGAAGCTGAGTGACACGGGATCGAATCTGTCAGGGAGCACCAGTTCCCTCAAGATTACAGGTATATCTTGCTGACGAGTGCCAAGTAGCACGAAACCCAGGTTCAGGGTTTCCTGTCGACTACCTACAACCACCATCCAATCTAGATATTTTAGCAAGTTATATGTTTTCTATTTGTCTATTAATTGATTCTATGATCTATTCAGGTGTGTTTGTAAATTGTTTACAACTTTTCGCTGAACAAGTTACAAGAAGAAAAAATCTACAATCAGAGACATTGTTGTGACTGACATAATATACTTTAAGAAGAATGAATATTATTCTGATATGGATCCCTTAACTGGTAATGTGATATGGGTTACTTATATCCACATAAGTAGTATATAACGATGGTCAGTAGAAGATCGATAAAGAAAGAACGGAAACGGAACGCAATTTGTATGAAAATGCATAAACATCTATCATGAGTACTACTACAATTAACAGAGGTACAAATTAGGATCTAAGCATCTAATCAAAACTGATCAAATAAAGTTCGGAATGTTAATATCAGGAAAATATGAATTAACATAAATAATTTCACATTCATTGTGTAAATTGAAACTCAGTAAGTTGATTGATAGCACATTTCTGCTTGAAGTGATAAGGTGTGTGAAGGTGTTAGGTTCGAATCCCCCACTATAAACATCAATTGATTCATTTTAAATAAAGAGAAGGGAGAGTCAAAGACTTCATTATTAGGTAAATACATGCCCCCAAATGCCCTGGTACGGCCGAGAGTGCGGAGAGTCTGCTCTCTCTCTCTCCAAATGCTCTCACATGAACACGCATATATAGCCCCTTCCAGAGAAGTCTTACTCACTGCCTTCTCGTGGCGAGGTTGTTGCTTACGAAATTGAGAGTACGAAAAGCGATTGTCCGGCATTGGCTTTAACCAGGTTAGTGGATATGGAGAGTCCATCTAGGAGGGTTGGAAAACCCTAATTCCTAACCAATGGTACACATGGGCTACAGTATCCCGAAGAAACAAATAACGTATGAACCAATTATTGGTCACCGGCTACCATGGGACTGCATCTCCTTACGATGCTCTACTGCCTTGTAGATCAGACCATCAGGTCGAAGGCTCCGGGTGTGGCCCCCTAAGCAAACCACCTGCTTCAGTTTGGACACCTGGGCAGTATCATAGCCCTCATACAAATCAAATGAGATTTTAGTGGCGCATATGTATTTGGTGCCTCCATGTATCAATATCTATGTGTTCAAATAAATAAATAAAATTAATATTTATAAGTCAATGTATGTTCAAAACAGATCGTTCATAACAACAACAAAAAAGAAACGCTCACTCTGTATGAAAATAGTTATTTTATCCACTGGTTCATCATCATTCATAAATGCTTGACATTGAAATTCAGCATTATCATCTCTAAATGTGTATGTATCAGAAGATATTGCTATTTTATAATCTGTTTGTGGTAGAATTGATAATGTTTCCATACGTGGTGGACTTATTGGTAATAATTGTGATGGAATAGGTACATCTCCAGGAATTTCCGGTTGACGATAATACCATATAAGTTTAGGGAATTGATCATTAGTTTCTGGTGGATTATCAATGAAAATAGCTTGACAACTTAACTAAAAAAATTCAATGATGATAAAAATAGATAATGTAGGATAGTTACGAACTTTTGTTAAGATTTAAATGAGTGAACAGCTAACATTTCAACAACAACAACAACAACAAAATCAAAGTTATTGACTTCTCAATAGATCTGATCTTTTTTCTGAGAGTCGGGTTTTAATATCTTCGAGGAAAAAAAATAATGATGACTTAACCGAACTATAATGGGTGAAACATGTTCTTTTAGGTCCTATCATGCCAGACAGGTTGGTTGAAGAGCAGTAGGAGTAAAAGCAGTAAACTCAGGGTCTAGGGGTGAAGTCATACTGCTTACTGTACAGAGATGTGATCGGAGTAAGATGTTTCTTGCAGACAACTAGCATGACAGCGATGCTGCCTTCTGACAATGAAGGGTGGGGTTAGAAAATGCTGACCTTTAAAATGTACATCTCACCTTAACCCACGGATTTTTGTCTCCGGTAGTAGTATCTGAACAAGTACGAATCTAACATAAAATTACTAACAACAACGTCATGTTTGACCGTTCTCAAGCAGTTCCTTGGGCACTGCGGTCACGTTCTCAGGTCACTAAAACCATCAATAAACCGATTTTCTTTTCAGATACACCTAGAAGAATCCTTCCATGATGTAGGTAACCGGGAATTGATAACCACCTTCATAACTTTAACAGCACTCAAGATCATCAGATTTCTAACTACTTTGTATTTGGTATTTATGTTACAAAATGTTTGTCAGCAATAAAACTGATATGTTTAAATTTGAACCAACTGTCTTAACAACTAAAGACTATCCAGTCAAACTCTATAGAATAATCCGGAATAAACAATTCCCCTGATACTTAAACATTAAGCTATTGACTAATTTGAATTCAAGTAAAGTAATGCTCAAATATATTGATTTGACTAGTCTCACAAAGAGAGTTCTTTCGAAAAAAAAAAAAACTGCCAAGCATTACCCTACGTGACGTTTCAAAAGATTATAGAAGTTAATTCAAAGCTTAATCTTAGAGCATCAAATCAATTTCGGTAATTGTACTGAATAGAAAATTGATTAAAAATACGAATTGTATAACTTAAGTAAATGAAATCGTTGAAAAGAAAGTTCACTTCACTGAATTGTCTTTCTTTCTTCTTCATCATCTTCTTCAATGACACAAGGGGTCTCTATTGTTATCGATTTTTTCTAATAATCTTATTAAATGATATACAATGCTGTTCTATTTCATCATAGACTAATCTATTGACGATAAACTTAAGTAAATAATAATAATTCAGAAGAAGATTCTCGTTTATTGAAGTATTTTCACTTTAATAGTTAAGTTCATGGATCAATTGAAACTAGACAACCATAGAAAACCGATTGTAGAATTCCTTAGCAATATGCATCCACGATCTTGCTTCAAAAGATTCAAACCCAAAACATATCAATATCGCACTTAAACGCTTAACCACATCCAACAATGTTAATATCTAACTTTAACGAATCTACTAAATTTAACGACACATTCATCATTATCTTCACGATCTTAAGTATTGAAATTACAATAACCTCTTTTTAACATTTTTCATTTTGATTAAGATTATGAACCGATTGATGTTAGATCACCATTGAAAACCTGGAAGTACTGGACAGCCGTCTCCTTCTATTGTGGGACTCCTCAGCAGTACTAACCAACGATCCCGCCCGCGGGATTCGAACCCAGGGCCTTCAGTCTCGCGCGCGAACGCTTAACCTACTGGACCACTGAGTCGGCATCTAATGGTGTTAATGTCTAGCCTCAACCAATCTACGAAGTTGAGCGACCATCTTTCATTGCATTGAGGTAGACACTCGATACCGATAAGCTCCACTGGTCACAGCTTCTCAGCAGAACTCCGAGAATTTTCTCATGAAGCTAATTTCAATCTTGTTTTCAATATTATCACCATAGTCAATTATCAATAATTCATACCTTTATTAATTATTAATTATTAAAGAGATTCATTAAATCATCACTACGACAACAGCGGAAACTTTCTCTTCTTTGGGAAACTACAAAAATTTTACTTAAAAATTCTCTTTTCTAAATGGTAAAATGATTCTTCTTTTAGAAATGACGTAAATCATTGTTGTTGTTGTTGTTGTTTATTTAGTTTTTTTCTTTAAAAATACAGTAAGTACTACTAATCAATGTGGATAACTATAGCGAAACTACTAATATGAATAAGTAGTATAAAAGAAATGGAGAGAAAAAGTCTCGAAGTGATCACAGTTTATTACATTTTCTGTTCAACTTATATATTTTAATAGTTGAGATCATGAGTTAATTGATGCTAAAACATTATAGAAAACCTGGAAGTAGTGGATTGCCATTTCGTTCAATCGTGAGACTTCTCATCAGTGCACACTCACTGATGACAATGGTAGATGTGTTGCTCAATTTCGTGGATTAGTTAAAATTAAACATTAACACCGTTGGATGCCGGCCGGTTCAGTGGTGTAGTGGTTAGGCGCTCTCGCGCCAGACTGATAGGTCCTGAATTCGAATGTCGTGAGGCGGAATCGTTAGTGCGTACTTCTGAGGTGTCCTACAATAGGATGAAACGGCTATCACATGCTTACAACTTTTCCATGATGTTCTAGCTTCAATCGACTCATGATCTCATCTATTGAAGTTACTACAATCTCCACAAAACCCCTTCAGTTCGTTGAATAAGAATCAGAGTAATTTACTTGTTTTGTGAGGTTTAATTATTGTAAAATGTTTCAAAAATCTGGTGTTACTTTAGTGATGTGTTTGAGTAAGATTATACGTTCACTAGTTTCCATGGTTGATTTTGTACTTGGTCATGATATTTGATTAGTTAATCACCATGAGTTTGTTCAAGTGATTATATCATTTCATCATGTGATATTTGTTTATGCCCCCTAAAAGTCTTGTTATGACTGAGGGTAATAAAAGTCTGCTACACCTCTAGAAATGCTCTCACATTGCCATGCGTCCACAGACACTGACAAGGAAGTATTACTCATTGCCTTCTCACGAGATTACTGTTGTCTATGAAATTGAGATGACGAAAATCGAATGACAGACGCTTTAACCGGGTTGGTGGACACAGAGGATCCATCTACAGGATTTAGGAAACACTTATTCCAAATCAATGGTGCACACAGACTCCAGGGTTCTGAGAAAACAAATGGCATATGAATCTAATGTTGGTCACTAGCTACCATGGGACTGCATCTCCTAAAGTTACTCCACTGCTTTGTGGATTAGAAACCTCGGTCGAAAGGCTTGGGGAGTAGTCCCCTAAAAAATCACCTGTTTATATATATATTTCTACTACAGTTGGAATAACAATTTGATAACAAACATTTATACCCTTATTCGACAGAATCAATGTTTATCAGTATAGGGTTGTGGAGTTTATTAAGTTTTTGATTGAGATCATGAACCGATTGATGTTAGATGCTAATCCGTGTCGGGTAGAGACAGATATCTACTTCAGTACAATGGAAGATTGTCGCGCAATTTCGCGGACTGGTTGAGGTTACACATTAACACCGTTGGATGTCGGCTCAGTGGTCTAGAGTTTAAGCTTTTAAGGGGGAATGAATGCCCCGATTTCGAATCTTACGAGCGGGATCGTGAATGAGCACTGTTGAGGAATCACACAATAGGATGAAACGGCCGCCCAGCAACAGGTTTTCAATGGTGGTCTAACTTCAATCAATTCATACTTTAGGAAAACTTTTAATAACTCTCTTCTCCTCCGAGTTTGCACTAAAACTTTTAATCTTAAAACACAACCAAATATTTAGACTACTAACAGGTTAAAGATACAAGATAATAATATCAATCAATAACATACGTCTAGTGCTCTTTGAACACGTGCCAGAATTGTATACTTTGATTTATCCATAGGATAAATGGTATTTGTTGAAGAATCAATCTTCAGATGGAAATTACGATCTATGAATGAAACCCCCAAAAAAAAGAATTGTCAGATATTAAGAGGTTTATTATATTTGTGAATTAGAACAATATTGTTCTCAATTGAATCTTTATCAAGCTTTACTCTACTATACAGTAATATTTATATGCATATTATGAAATTACTATACCAATCATGACAGTTTATGAGTCAATGATGATAACAATGGAATAGATTACGCAATACTCAAAACGTACAAATTGATAGTGTGATGACAAGTGTACTAGTGATTATAAGAAGAATAAAGGCCCCCAAATGCCCTGGTACGGCCGAGAGTGGTGAGAGTCTGCTCTCCCTCTCCAAATGCTCTCACATGACCACGCGTATATAGCCTCTGACAGGGAAGTCCTACTCACTGCCTTCTAACAACAAGGGTGTTGTTTACGATATTGAGAGGATGAAAAGCGAATGTCCGGCGCTTTAACCGGGTTGGTGGACATGGAGAGTCCACCTAGGGGAGTTAGAAAACTCTGATTTCAAACCAATCGTTCACATGGACTCCAGTATCCTAAATGAACAAATGGTGTATGAACCAATTATTGGTCACTGGCTACACTGGGACTTCATCTCCTTACGATGCTCTACTGCCTTGTAGATCAGACCATCAGGTCGAAGGCTTCGAGTGTGGCCCCCTAAGCAAACCACCTGCTTCAGTTTGGGTACCCGGGCGATATCCCAGTCGTCACACATATCAAATGAGATTTGTGTGGCGCATATGTATTTGGTGCCTCCATGTATCAATATCTATATGTTAAAATAACTATAAATAAAACTTAATACAAAATGCGTCAATGGGTTGAAAAATATAAACACTGAAACAACATCCATAGAAAGATTATAAGATTCCGTAATAAGAAGTGTTCAGGTAATTTGAGAAAACAAAAAGGGTAGAAGTGGATGAAGAAAAATAAACGTAGAAAGACTATAGAAAATAATAATAATAAATAATGTCATCAAGGTTAATTTGGGCAAAGAAGATATAAAGGTGTTAAAAATTTCTTATGAATACAAAGACTTGGATTATTGGCTTGGATCTCTATACCTTGTGCTATGTGTACACAGTGACGAGATGAAGCTCCACAAAGAAATCTAGTACAAATACGATAAATCACTTAAAATGATCTAGTTCTGTCTACTACATGACCGCTATCGATCAATTGTGATAGAACAAATCTGTGTATTGTATGATGGTACATCTTCCTAACCATGAAGGAACGTGTTCACTAACTCATCGGCTCAGTTATCCGATAGTGAGTCCAATATAATTTTCTCCTCAGAAGCAGCTGAAATCATAGATACACATCGATGTGGCAGTACCATGTAACTTATCTTTTGATTAAATAATTTCGTATAACCATAAAAATATTATTGTATATTAGAGTAAAGCATGATGAGAATCTAATCGAAAACCTCATTATGTTCTCTCATATAGTGATAATGTGGTGCGTGCTACTTATATTGATATAAGTAGTACATGACGCGAGTTAAAACATAATGTCTGGCAGCAGAAGATGAGTAGAACATCAAGAAAGGAAGAGCGAGAACACAATGGAATTTGTAAGAAAAGGCGTGAACAATGGAATGGGAGACAATGGATTGGTGTTTGCAACAGAAACAGTCCAGTTTGATATGATGCATTAACATTTTGCAAATTAACAATTTACTATATGGTATTCAGGTTTTATTGAAATAGTCTGTAATTTTCGTACTGATTACATTCGATTGTCCCCACACGTGTTCTTGTTCACTACAATAAGATGAGTCTCATGGAGCTCTATTGATAAGCTGTAACCAGTGGATGATTATCCGTGTCAGGTGTGAGACAATGGATAAAAGGTTGCGCAATATCATAAACTATATGAAGTTAGATATTAACACAATTGAATATCGGCTCAACATTCACGCTAGAGACTGAGAATTCATCTATTCTACGTTAGGATACAATAGTGAAACAAATACAATCCGATTAGATCAAACACTTCACAACACTATCAATGTAGTAACTACATTAAGAAAACAGATTTTTCCGACTTTTATTCTGTAAACTAATCTAATGATAGTTCCACATTAGGAACTACCAACAGACTGAACTACTAAAGCTTATGATAATTTTATTACAGCCTCAATTTGAGCTTAATTCTAACATTTATGTATGATATGTTCAGATTAACAAATCAACTCGGATACGAGAAGACGTCCCAGTTTGGTTCCTATAAGGGTGAATAGAAAGCAGTTAGGAGTTCTATACTTGAACATCTAATTGACTGTCATCATTCTACAGATCCACAAACTGATTTTAAGGTTGTTTATATGATTCGTTCAAATCTATTGAGATTTCTTTGTATCCAACTCCTAGTAAAATAGTCGATGCTCTTACTATCCATGAGTTCAAACCAGAATTATGTATACAAAAGAAGTACGTTCTATCGTTACCATTAACTTGGCTTTAATTATTATTGTTATTACTGCATTCCCCTTTACTTATGTCTTATATTCTCATTATTCTATTCATAAATCATCATCACATCACTTTATTTAATTTTTCACCTCTATGATCTTTACTTACTTACTTACTTACTTACGCCTGTTACTCCCAATGGAGCATAGGCCGCCGACCCACTCTGTCCTGGGTCTTCTTTTCTAGTTCTATCCAATTCTTGTTCATTTTTTTCATGTCTATTTCCATTTCTCGGCGTAATGTGTTCTTTGGTCTTCCTCTTTTCCTTTGGCCTTCAGGATTCCATGTGAGGGCTTGTCATGTGACGCAGTTGGGTGCTTTCCTCAATGTGTGTCCTATCCAATTCCAGCGCTTCTTCCTGATTTCTTCCTCTGCTGGGATCTGGTTTGTTGTCTCCCACAGTACGTTGTTGCTAATAGTGTCCGGCCAACGGGTCTGAAGTATTTTGCGTAGACAACTGTTAATAAACACCTGTATTTTCTGGATGATGGCTTTCGTAGTTCTCCAGGTTTCTGCCCCATACAGTAGAACTGCATTCCCCTTTACTTAAATCTTATATTCTCATTATTCTATTCATAAATCATCATCATATCACTTTATTTAATTTTTACACCGCTATAACCTTTAATGACCTTTAATTATTGTAATTTCAATAGTTGACATTGAAGCTAGACCACCATGGAAAACCTGGAAGTACTGAATAGCCATTTCATCCTATTGTGGGACACTTCAGCAGTGCACATTCACGATCCCTCACAAAAAAAGATTCGAACCCAGGACCTATCAATCTCGCTCGCAAGTGCTTAACCTTTAGACCACTGAGTAAGCTTTCATCCAAATGTGTTAATGTCTAACTTCAACTCATTCACAAAATTGAGTGACATATCCACCATTATCATCAATAAGTTACTATCTCACAAAAAGAGATCCTTTCATTGAACTTCATATTTTTAAATCAAAATCAATAATCATTTTAAATGTGATACCTTGTATTGATTCGGTTACTTGTTCTTCTTCTTTTTCTTCACCTTCTTTAACAGATATAGTTGTTTCTTCAATAGATTCTGTCACAATAGTTACAGCTGATTCTTCACTTTGATCAGTTGTGATCTTTTTGGTAAATTTAAAATATGATGATCCATATTCTTGAATCGGTGGTAAATCATCTCTTAATTCAATATCTACTGGAATTGGTACACTCATAATAATCATACAACGACCACGTATATGATCTTGTATAATAGATTGATGTAAATGTTTAATATAAAGTATACGTCCATTTTGTATTTCAACATATTGACCAATTCGACTAGGATTAATTGGATTATTATAAAGATCAATAAATTGCCATGTATAACTGGAACTTTTTAAATCTACTTCTAAATCAAAATTATCTATAAAAGAAGAAGAAGAAGAAGAAGAAGAAGAATTTGAAGGTTACAACATTTCATGGAACGAATTCCGATAAGGTTACTTACTCACAATTGATTAATCACTGGGTGGTGGCCAATGTCATATGTGTCAAGTCCTTATTATTAGTGTAGATTGAATGCTATCGGGATCGAATGAGTCAGAGAGTACTAGTTCCCTCAAGATTACAGGTACACTTTGCTGACGAGTGCCAAGTAGCACGAAACCTGGGTACAGGGTTTCCTGCCGACTACCTCCAACCACCATCTAAGGTTATTTATTCTGAACCATTTCTTATTCTTATGTTTGATTAGATTATGAAAGTGTTTACAATTGGAGAGAAGCATGGAATACAATGAATAGTAGTGAATGCAATTAGACGATTTAAACTTTGCACATAACCTAGTTAGGCGAAACTCTAATTTATGGACGAGCCTATCAGAAGCGTTTTAGAGATTACAAGGTTACGGCGCCAAGTTCTGTGCTTAGTGATAACGTACGATCGGTTCACAAACAATTTTGTGCAAAACGTGATAATTGAGCGTCTAGAACAAATAAAACTGTGGGACTATAATTTGTGGACGAATCAATCAGATAAAAGATAATAGATCTCGGATTTGGCGGGAAAGCCTTTCATCCATTTGGCATTATAGCTGATGTCACTTCATGATGAAAACCCCATATATAATTCCTAACTAAGGTAAATTACGACAATTATTGCGAACTGGATAATAAAAGCACCAGTAACACTGACTGCAGCCAGGTACTACAATATTTAGGGATGACTGGAGAGAGTACAGTCTCCCACATAGGCTTGGTTATGTGCATCGTGTCGTTATCCACAAGTAGCATTTTGTGCACTCAACAACCGAAGTGCACATAAACAATATTGAAACTATGTGATCGATGCTGGAAGAGTTTTTGAGACATTGTCATGGCTCCAGAGGCTGACTATTCCGTAGCCATATGGATGATTTCCTCTACTGCATGCATTACGATTTTAGAACCTCTGAACCTCTTTCTAACCTTGATAAGTTTTGGAACCATGTCTAAGAAGTGTATCCAGTTTAATTCTTTGGTTTTGTATAATATATTTTTACTCTATACTGACTGTTTGATGATTGGCTAATATTTCTCAAAGTTGTTTGAGATTCGTTCAAAGGTCGTCCATAAATTAGAGTCTCGCCCCTAGTTCTTCTATCCCATATAAAGAATCCTTTTAACTAATGAACCAGAACCAGACTCCAATAGAATGAAACTTGAGTACTGCATACAAGCGGCTAGCCTGCTTTAAAAAAGACTGTGATCTTCTGGAAAAGGTTCACAGAACAGCAACTAAGCTGATTCCCGGAATTGCGAAGCTCCGTATGAAGCTCGACTGGCCAAGCTAAACCTTTTCCCGTTGTCATATCATGGAACTAGAGGCGACTTCATTACAGTTGCTTAGTGATAAATTTACATCTGATTGCCCTCACTTTCTTGACTCCCAAACAGAGAATTTACGAGGATACTCCAAAAAAGTTCTCAAGCCCAGAACAAATTACTTGTCAGCTGACTATAGACTTTCCCATCGAATCATTAAACGAGTGGAATTCATTACCTCAGCACGTGGTTGAGGCTCCATCCGTCCTCTTTCAAAAGAAAGTTGGATCAACTGAGAAACTACCATTGCCAGGACAACACAGGCCATCAAGCCTCCTGTCCTTTCCAAACTGAAATTGAATGTAGTTTATTTTGAACGGAATGTACAAATGAAATACTTTGATACTAAAAAAGTATCTATACTGGTCAGTTCAAGTCTAATTCATTTTAAATCCCATCTCTAGGACAATTTTATTCAAATTGGGGAATAAGGCATAATTCGACCTATAGACTACTATTATACGATTTTTGTTCTTAAGTTATACCCAGATTATATTACCGTCTCATCAATCACAGATACTTTTATGGCTTGATCTGTGCCAATGTTATTGGTTGGTATATAAACCAATATGTTTGAAATAAATGATGATTGGCATATTGAGAAGTTGTTATTGAAGTTCTGGACTCAGCTGTAGAGCTAGGAGGACAAAAGAGCAATAAGGACGCTAAGCTGGTCATATCGGTTGAACGTCATTGATTTAGCACAGTGTTAAGATTGTATAAGGCATATTTCGATTGGCGAATAAGTCACGTGTGATAAATAGCCAGCCTTAAAGTTACAACATCTTTCATCCATAAAAAAATAATAAAACTAACTTACCAATTGCATGACACATTAATTCTGCATCACTACCTTCTGTTGCAGTAAATAATCCATCATCAGATATTCCTTGAACTTGAACATAAACATCTTATAAGAAGGATGCACGGCGGAAGGGTCAGGCGGCGGGGGGGGGTCGGAGAATAGAAATAAAACGTAAGTAAACATAATAAATATTACTGATGAGTTAATAAGTAATTAACTACTTCACAATGATGATCTAACCGGTAAACTTTACAAATTTCATTATACACAATCTAAATGGAAAATTGATATGGAGATCATCAACCTACTGATAATTATGTTGAGATGGTGAAAAAGATTTTGTAGCTGAGGTAAATGATTTTAATGAAGTTTCATTCTTTGAACGGAATGATTTGATTGTGGAATTTTTCATCATTCTTTTGAACGATATCATCAGTACGTACTTCATATAGAAGTATAATGATGATATTGTTCAGAAGAACTATGTAAGCTCTACAATTAAACTATCTAGCTTAGAGTAGAAAACAATAAAGATTAGAATTGCTGATAGTTTCATAGATGTCTTGAAAACTGATAGGTATGCCTAGATGATCAGTGTTGGTTAATATGAAGAAGGAAATCAGGACAACTTCGTGCCAATATTAATCTATTTGTGTGAATAACTTAGGTCACCTATTAAAAATACTTTTACTCTTAAAGCTTTAAACATAAATTACACTTGAATACTGACATACAATAAGTAGAATTTCTAGGGGATCTTAGTTAGTATACACACAGGGTAGAACTATTTTACGATGAAAATATCAGAGCATTAATGAAATAGTATCTTTTGAAAGAATGAATAAGGATATATCTATTCTGTTCGTTATTTGACTAACGCAGATAACGGTATACAACTACGACAGTCGAACGTATAGAGAACTCCACAGTGGCAAAATTAGAAAACAGAAGAAAACTGAAGAAGTGTTTTTGTTGGGTAAGAATCAAAGATTGACAAATATGGATAATTGACATAAATGAAACTATTCTCTATTGTAAATTAATTCTATTGAATTCTATTTCAGTGTCTGTATCTTTTATGCGTTAATAAGGTTGTACCGGTAAATAAATCCCCAAAATAAATAACTCTAAGTTTTCGACATTGGATGCTGATCATATGTTTTAGTGGAATCATCTAGTTGAAGGCGCTCTGTCATGCATCCGCACCAGATCACGTGTGGTAACGCTGTGCTCAACATCTACCGCAATCGCTAGCCAGATTAGATCAAAGAATTCCGATATATTGGTAATCGCCAAATACACTCTTCCAATCTCCTCGACTCTGTCTTTTGATTTCTCTGGGTGGGAACGAATTATATTAGAAGGTGTTACTGGTAAAAGCGTTGTCAAACACTGAATACCTGTGTCATCTTCAAGGTTACCACTGAACGGTCGGGTTGTGTATATGAAGTTACGTTATTTGATGCAATCATAATTATGACATATCGAAATGTGTATCCTCTGGAGTAGCTGACCAAGTAAACCCAAGTTTATGAAAAAGTATTTCAAAAAAAAATGTATTCACAAGGTATTTTGACAAACGCATTCTCTGATCATAGAATAACTTTTAAGATGATCATTACAGTCCTAGTCAGTAATTATCAACATAGTAACTAGCATGAATGTTAACCGGCTCAAATTTTCATTCCACATATCATTATAGCTAGACGAAATTAAAAAGTTGGAACACTATCACAAAGAACATTGAGAGTTACAAAAGATAAATATTATTAAGTATGGTAATTATTAACATTTATCGGCGAGACACCAATTTATGGACGACCTTCGAACGAATCTTAAGTGACTTTGAGAAATATTAGTCAATCAGTAAACAATCAGTATAGAGTAAGTATATGTTATATAAAACCAAGGGAATAAAGTGGATACACTTCTCTAACGTGATTCAAAAACTTATCCAGATCAGAAAGAGGTTCAAAGGTTCTAAAATCCTAATGCATGCAATAGAGGAAATTTTCCATATGGATAAAGAATAGTTGGCCTCTAGAGCTATGATAAAGTCTCAAAAACTCTTCCAACCTCGAACACATAGCTTAAATATTGTCTTTGTGAACGGTTGTTGAGTACACAGAATGCTACTTGTGGATAACGTCACAATGCACATAACTATAGTGACTCATGTGCAATTGAGTTTATTCTCATTTGACTCAGTTAAGCCCTTTTGCTAACTCATTTAGCGGAAAAAGTCATCCGCACTACAACAGCTTATGTACCCTTATTATTTTGTGCTTGTATGAAATACGTATGCTTGAATATGGCTTACGGCCTACGCATTTATTCACTCTGCTAGTCTTACTACTGACTGCTTATTTGATTCGATTACTCATTCATTTCACTAGGTATATATATGTTCATGTTATTCATATTCAACACACACACTCTAGTCTCGCTCTTGCTCTCGCTGGCTTGATTGTATTCGCTTACCCATATTCGCTCATTCGCTCGATCGCTTGCTTGCCTTTCGGCACAACTCTTCTATGCTTGTTTAACGTATCTGTACTATTGGATATATGTGCGTGGTCTCGTAATAAACGTAATCAACGCTTCGTATTCGCCTTCTGATTAATATACCGTTGAAACGTTATATAGAACGGTTATCAAGACGAGCTGTATATGAAGTTTAAGGATTATATCTAATACCGACCACCACATAAACAAGCCTTTGTAGTAGTCTGTACGCTCTCCGAACTTCCGTATATATTGTAATACCTGGCTGTAGCCAGTGTTAATGGTGCTTTTATTATCCAGTTCGCAATAATTGTCATAATTTGCCCTAGTTAGGAATTATATTTGGGGTTTCCATCACGAACTGACATCAACTATAATGCCAGAAATTTATTTAGCCAAATGGATGAAAGGCTTTCCCGCCAACTCCGAGATCTATTATCTTATACCTGATTGATTCGTTCCCAAATTATAATCTCGCCGTTTTATTTGTTATAACCGCTCAATTACCACGTTTTGTACAAACTTCCCTGTGAACCAATCGTACGTTAGCATTGAGCATTGAAGTTGGCGCTGTAACCTTGACATCTCTAAAGACGCCACTGATTGGCTCGTCCATAAATTACAGTCTCACCCATTTCTCTTAAACAAATTTCCTTCATTATAAATAAATAACATAGAATTTATTATCAACACTAAATTCAATTTATACTTACCATCTTTTCTTATTAATGGGGTACTTGTAGTCATATCACTAATTTCTTCAGATATTACACCTATATTAAATGGTTCTGATTGATAATGTTTTATACGATTATCATCTTGAATATCACCAACACAATAACCCCATACATTCCAACGGTAATCTTGTTCACCAGGTATTTCAATCTCTTTTAATGATAAATTATTCCCACTCATTTGTGCATTATTAGACCATGGAATTAAATAGGTATGTTTCTCAGGATCAATAAATTGCCAACCAATTAAAATTTGATCCTCTTTTAATATTTCTTGAGTTTTTGTATCTAAGTCAAAGAAAAGAAAAGAAAAGAAAAATAGTAGTAGAAGGCTAATTATAGAAATTAAACGGTATTTACAATTGATTGATCACTGTATGGTGATCAATGTCATGTATGTCAAGTCCTTTATAGTACAGTATTAAATTTGATCGACCATTGTGGCAATGTGGCTACCACTATAGGTGATTCAACATAAGCATGTGCACTATGTTGAGATAAGATGGTGGTTAGAGGTAGTCAACAAGAAACCCTGGAAATAGGTTTTGTGCTACTAGAAACTCGTCAGCAAAGTGTACCTGTAATCTTGAGGGAACTAGTGCTGCCTGACGGATTCGATTCTGTGTCACCTAGCTTCACAGTCAGAGGAGTTACCACTGAACTGTTAGGGCGGCGATTGACCTTTTGTAGCACTGAGATGCATTCACAATTGATTGATCACTGCATGGTGATCAATGCCACGTATGTCAGGTCGTTTCTTAATGCAGATCCAATCTTATCGAAATTAAACAGTTAATGATAAACACAATACTAAAAATACAATTGCTTGGATGTATATAGCTCTATGAATCGAACAAAAAAATAAATTAAAGCCTTGAGATGGTGAAGATTTGTAGCTGAGGTGAATGGTTTTGATGAAGTTTTGTTCTCTGAGCTGCATATTTTGGTCGTGGAGCTTTCATCGTCCTTCTGAACGACATCATCAGCACAAACTTCAGGTAAAAGTGAAGTGTTCGAATTTCTCCATATATGTTTCACAGCTGGTTCTGTACACCTCGACGTTGATTGGTTCTTATGAAGCCTTGATACACAATTTTACTGAAAACTAAATCATTAAGTTTATTGAACATGTGGTTTTACATGGATTAATAGAAGCGTATACTGATGTCTTAACCTAGAGATTTTGTACCATACCGAGTTAATAGTACGGTGATATCTGAAAAACTAATTTTATTCACGTCTAGGAATAAATTTCTGTAGGAGAGGACAAATCAATTTCCATTTGAAGAGGAAATCAGGAAAAGACGTTGTTAGTGAATAGGACAAACATTACGGAAATCATCAAAGTGCATCACGAAGCAAGCTCTAACTTGGAATCTTGAAGGGAAACAGAATAGTGGAAGACCCAGGAACACACTACGTCGTGAAAGAGAATCAGGTATGAAAAGGATGAACAACAACTGGAAAGAGCTGGAAAGGATTGCTCAGGACAGGTTATTGGTGGGCCGCCTATGCTCCTCTATGACGGGTAACAGGCGTAAGTATGTATGTTGTTACTTGAAATTGTATACAAATTATTTTTGCAGAAAAACTATTAACCAGAACCAAGGTATTTCCGTATTCAGAACCTATTTAATGGCTCACATATTTCACATATATGCAATAATATGTATATTACAAAGATGAAATGTCGATATTCAAATCACCAGGTTTGTTATCCGCATGAAATTGACCACTAATGAGAAATTAATCAGTGTAAATATCTTAGTCGTAAGGGAATTTGATCTCTTCTGAATAGCTAACTGATAGCGTCTAACATTGTATCAATTGGTGACATGGGTTCGATTCCTATATAAAGTACCATCTTTCTCCTGATTAACTCCCAATCCACTTGGAGGAAACTTTCATGCTTAATATATCCAATCAACTATTATCCAAACATAGTGAACGGGATGTCAAATCATCTATACTAGTAGTCATATTGTGATTTAATTGATAGAAATTGATCAGCACTACAGACTAGACTAACATGATACTCGTTATTATTCACTGATCAATCAATGTACATTAATTAATCTTTATATCTATGGTTAATACTTCTCATGATCTAATATTTCTATACTAAAAATTAAAAGGAAATACATGTTGTTTTTGACGGAGTTTTGTTTTCTGAGCTGGATGGTTTGTTCGTGGAGCTTTCGTCGTTCTTTGTTTTGGTTCTATCTTCTAAAGAAGTAAAGAATGACAGATTCAAGATCAACAAGAACCAATCAATATCGAGGTATACAGGACAAGCTGTGAACCACATGTGGAGAAATTCAAACATTTCACTTCTACGTAAAGTTTGTTCTGCGGATGATGTCGTTCTGAAGAACAATGAAAGCTCCAGGATCAAACCATTCAGCTCAGAGAACAAATCTCTATCACAATCATTCACAAATCTTCTCCAACATGTTGTTTCACAAATACTTACTTCGTGCTTCACATGTTAATTCAATATTTGAACCTTCTTGAACAATTTTGTTCCCATCAGCATCTAATCCTTTTACAATTAATTCAATATTCTTATCATCAGCTGTTTACATCCAAACAAAGAAAAAGAAAATAAACAAAAAATATCATCGAAGTAATTATTTAGAAAATGTCTTATTACTACTTATATCAGATAAATGAGTAGTTTTCTAATCAAAAGAAATAAATCAGAGGAGATAATTAGTGAATGAAATCCCTTCTCATATATCAGATCCACTGAATACACTGTTATCATATTGAAGACTGATCTACTTATTAAATATACTTAAATTCAAAAAGGCTATTCTTGTATGGCATACACTTCTTACGGTTGACTAGATGTACCATATCACACAACTTATGTATAGACACAATCTGTTATCTTAACACTTTTTATTTCACATTACATGTCTGTTGTACACTAAAGTAAATGCCAAATTTAAACATGAATAACGTTGATTAGATGACCTATTCAGTATACAATGAACCAGAGAACCATTTACCTTATTTAAGTTCGGTAATATTGATGTTTGATTAAATTTCCTTGAAAAAAACTTGGACCAGATTGTCAGGTGAAACGTTGGGTTTACGTCAAATTCTTTCACAACATTCTTCCTCTTTAATGTCTAACCATCAACTCGGTACCCAAATACTTTGAAACTATTTAGATGAAAGTTCTTATATATAAATAAAAGTCCTTTGAATAATAAGATAATGATGATCAGAACTATGTGATGATATACATTAACCGAAGTACATGTTTAACAATCTGATCACACATATACTTGTTAATGACATTTTTATCCATAAAAGAATTCAAAGGTCAACTAGACAAACTGAAAGAAGGGAACAAAAGATGTGATGTTGAAATTAAGATGATATGTAATCAGGAGGATCATAGGAACAGAAATAACTTAGTTGGAAATAAAAGGTCTCATACAGAAGACAAAAGGGAGAAAGCAGATGGATGTGAAGGAAGAAAAGTATGAAAAACGAGGAGGAGGAGGAGGAGAGGAAGAAGAAGGAGAGTGATGAAATATTAAAACCATAATAGAAGAAGAGGTTGTACCAAAGGTAGTCACAATAATAAAGATTTTCACATTATGTACTTTATTCTTTATCTTTATCTCAGACTCCCCTCTAAGTTGTTTAGTTTTCTCAAGCATGTATGTGATCAGAATGGTTGAAATGTTTTGTGCAAATATTTGTCACACATAGTTCTGAGAACCTTCGTCTTCATATCTCATTATCCAAATTTATCAAACAAATTGAAGGTATGGTGATATGTGCTTCCAGATTAACAATGTGTAGTATTGATAAAATAAAGATCATAAAGATTCAGTCTGATAATTAAAAGAAAACAGTAAAACTTTTGATTAAGATCATGAACCGATGGTTTAGACATTAACACCGTTGGATGTCGACCGGCTCATTGGTCTAAAGGTTAAGCGTTCATGCACGAGACCAAAGGCCCTGGGTTCGAATCCCGCAGGCGGAATCATGGATGCGAAACGCTGAAGAGTCCCACAATAGGACGAAACGGAAGTCCAGTGGATTCAGGTTTTCAATAATGATCTAGCATCAGTCAGTTCATGTTCTTAATCAAAAACTTAATAATCTCCACAACCTCATACAGATAAATAATAAAATGTCATAACAGAACAAATATTGGAAAAGTTGAAACTCTCGGAGCTATTTTCCAGATGATTATCACTATTTATGTTGTTACTATATAATCAGTGAATAACTATATGGTTACATTACTATATTTCCCTTATTCTAAACTTCATTGGACATATTAGAGACTTTCAATGGTTGCGATCATGAGTTAGTTGAAACTAGACCACCATGGAAAATCTGGAAGCACTGGATGACCGTTTCGTCTTATTGTGGAACTCCTCAGAAGTGCGGATCCACGACCTCGCCACCTGCGAGAGTGTTGCACATTTTATTATCCCTTAATTATTACTAATTGATTATCTACTATTTACTCCTCCCTCTATCACTAATAGAATGATTGTACTTCACAATGTGATTTCTTATTTGATGAACCATATAGTTAGGCTTTTTCAGTATATTAATATGTGTGAATTTGTAGTTGTGATCAAATTGGGTAAACAAAAAAACAAAAGTGAGATCATTTTTCTTCTTCTATTATCATTTTCTAATTGGTTACTAGGCTAAAACAGAATTTGACAGCCAATAAACATGAAGGCTTTACTGGTCTTTGTTCATGAAGTCAATTAATTGGACTTTATCATATTGGTTACTAGTTCAATTGTCAATGAAGTGATATCGATTAAGAATTGTCAAACTTTAAAAAAGGTCGTAATTCTTTTCATCAAGATACAATACAGAAAGACAAATGATGCTGATTAGTTCAGTGATATGTTAACTTTATGTAGTAGTAGACGTCTGACTCGAACACAGTTTCAATGTTTCAGGGGATTAAGTTTATAGATTTTATTAAGAATAACATTATTGTATGATCAGATTGACTTCAATGATGCAATATAGAAGAATCAATTATGAAACTATATTGGGGTATAAGCAAAGATGGATAGTGGTTAGCAGTGGAATCCAGTTTGACGCGCGTTTCGCCCCATTTTGGACTCGTCACCTGGATGTGCCTGCATTCCGGAGTTGATGTTTGCTCTGGGACTCGAACTGAGTACTGTTCGCTTCAAACGCCATCGCGTTATCCACTTAGCTACTGAGTCCTGATAGCCACTTGCTTGTGCAATGGGGTGAATTTAAATTCATATATATATATATATATATATATATATATATATATATTCTTATAGTACTGTAACATAATACTTTATTCAATGAAATTACAAACAATCATATTCAGTGTCTTGTGTATATAAATTAATGAAAGCTGAGGAAATCACATATTTGATTGTTAGTAGGCTAAATGCTTGTTTTCCTATCCACAATGACTAATCACATAAATCACATACTGATAAGGTTTTAATGAAAATAACACTGATAGGACTCAATTCTATGCCAGAGTTTAAAGTTCGTAAATTTTGTAATCAGAAACCTGGAGCCCCTCTGAACCTACTATCGGTCCTAAGCCCGGATAAACGAGGAGTGTTTGGTATGAGGTTAGTGACCCCCATATCCCGTAGACAACTAACATACCAAAAAAGTGCTAACCTATAGTACTGTACTATCTACTCAATCCCGCTATTATAGTGATTCTTTTCACTATTTTCCTCAATAAACTTTACCAACATTACGTAATATTGTCTACAATAAATCATAATTCTTTACCATATCTCTATTTGTTGATACATCAGCTGATATTAAGATATGTCAGTGAGACTATAATTTTTCGACGACCTTTGAGCAACGCTGAAGTGACCTTGTGAGTGTTCACCTAGTAACTAGGACCAAATGAAGGTTATAAACCAGTGTGAAGACTTAGGATTATGATTTATAGTTGATGATGGGTTTCATCACGAATTGACATCAGCAGTAATGCTAAAACTCTAGTTAATCAAATGTGTGGGTGAATTTCGCGCCAACATTCAAGACGTGTTATCTTACACCTGATTGGTTCATTCATTATCGTCTCGTTGATATTCTCATGTCACTGGTTATGACAGAATTAAAAACTCATTATGATCACTTTCAACCAAGTTGTGTAATGTGTAAACATAAATGATTTACTTACACCAATATGATTTTGGTAATGGTGAATATGTTTCTATGGTAGCTTCTTTTTGTAATTGAATATGAAAATATGGTGAAGTGAATACTTGTTGACCTATTTGTACAACACATCGACTCCATACACCATTTGGAGCATCAACCGGTAATCGTATAGTCTGTAATTCCATTGTACTAACACCAACTTCTTCAGCTGTTTTAGGATCTTTTAATGGTTGTTTTATGATTATAGAACCACTAGCTTGTTCAGTATATGGTATTAGTTGACCACCAATAGATGAACGTAATTCCCAAGTGAAAAGTGGTGGTATTTGATCGGTAGAAGTAAGTCGTCTTAAACGAACTGCATCTATAAGACAGAAAAATGTATAGTATAGTATTGTATTGTATGTAAATAAGGCATAATTATTCCTTTCAGGACTATCAGAATGACGTTGGATAGATCTTACCATGCAAAAGTATATGTATTATACATCTCTTTATTAGGGTATTATGTAAGATCAGTTAGTTATGTGAACTGGCAATTTTTATTTTACTAAATTAAATATATTCAAGTATTGGGATTGATGCAGATCTGATGAAGATGTGAATTTAAGGATTAGCAAAGTAAGGACAGCATTCCTAAAGTTGAAGAGAATATATACTTCACAAATGACCTGTCCCTCCTATCTAATACACATGAACAAATTCAGGTCAAGACAAACAGTGTAACAGCAGCGTCTGTATCAGTAGAACTCAACATACACAAGGGAAAAAGAAGGATCCCCAAATATAACACAGAGAGAACCAACAAAATCAGACTTGATGGAGAAACTCTGGAAGATGTGGAAACATTCGTGTACCTGACTGGATAACATCATCGATGAACATGAAGAATCTGATGCGAACGTGAAGGAAAGGATTGGCGAAATAACGGCAGCATCCTCTACAGCTCAAGATCATATGCAACTCAAAACAACCGTCCGTCAACCAACATCAAAGTAAGAATCTTTAATACGAAGATCAACACAGTTGGTTCTACTGTACGGAGGTGAAACTTGGAGAACTACCACAATTATCATCAAAAATGTTCAGGTATTTTTAAACAATTTTCTACGCAAGATATTCAATGTCTGTAGACCGGATACAATCAACAACAGCCTACTATGTAAGAGAAGAAACTAACTTCCAGCTGAAGAGGAAATGAGCAAAAGACGATAGAAGTTGATAGTACACAAATTGTGGAAACCGTCAAACTGCGTCACGAGCCAAATGGTAACTTGGAATGCTGAAGGGGAACGGAAAAGTGGAAGGCCAACTAACACACTGTGTTTTTGAATTAGAAGTAGATAAGAAAAGGATGAATAGGAAGTGGAAAGAAGTGAGAAGGATTATCTGGAACAGAGTTGGATGAATGGTCGTGGTTGGTGGCTTATGCTCTTGCATTAGAGGTAACAGGCGTAAGTAAGTGAGTAATTGTGATTGATCATATGGATAGATTATTCTGGATCCTTTGTTACAAGAAAATCTTAACCTTTTATGATGATGATCATGTAGACCTGAATCAGGAATTCTGAATCTACTGACACAACTCAAACCAACAAGTGATAATTTGATGGACTATCTCTCCTTGCAGCCTACTCCTCCTCCGGCCAACATTGGACATTGAATCAAGTAGTGGCAAGGCTTACTCAGCACATGTAATAACCGTCTCACTTGATGAAGATCGACAGCCCATCAACCGATTTGGAATTTTCATTTACCACCCATACTCCACCCTTGACAACTCAGTCGTCTTAAAAGACCAAGGCAATGCACATATAAATTAATTTATGTGATTAATCATCTCTTACTCATACTTCTTATCACTTCGGGTAACTGATCGCAAATTCACGCATAGACAAACAATAATACTCTATTATAATATGGAACTAATCCATTTTGCTGAGAAGCCCCATACTAGGACGAAACAGTCTTTCAGTGTTTCTATTATTTGCATTGAAATAGTAAACAGTTTATTCAACTGCATATTTCTAAGCAAGAAGATACACGTATCAAGATAGCGTATTATTTTATTGTGATAATGCATGTTTAATTATAATCACTGATTACATTATACAACTTACCAAGAGCTAAACAATTAAGTTTAAGATTACCACCTGGTGGTACAATTACACTTCCATCTGGTCGTAATTCATAAACTTTTACAATCACAGCATCTTTAGGATCTGAAATAAAGAGAATAATAAACAGAATAGAATTACATATAATACTATGAAATTCTATCATCAACTAACAGATCCAGTGGTGAAATTTCAGCGCTTCACGTCTACCTGAAGTTTGTGCTGCTGCTGATGATGAGGTCATTCAGAAGAACGATGAAAGCTCCATGACTAGCTCAGAGAACAAAACGATATTAAAATCAGTTTGTGACTGAAAATATCAAATTGTAAATGATGCTCACCAGTGAGTATGACATCATGTACAACAGTCCTTCTACATGTACAAGGGGCTGATAATTTCGCGCACAAAAACAAAACAATAAAAACTTCACAATTACTGGTAATTAACTTGAAGAAGTGATTCCTGGCATTCTAGTGAAAATCTATGACCAGTACAGTTCATATATATCGATAATGAGGGAACCACCTACCAATGGAGTTGTTACTTGATGATCGTATAAACTTATGAAATAACTAAAGTTCGAAATGTGAAAGGGTTCATCACAATCCTAAGTTAAGTTATGGATGTACAACGCCATAGAATCCCATTATTAGAATGAAATGGCCATTGAGTGCTTCCTTGTTTTCAGTGATTATCTATTTAAAGTCAGTTAGTAATGTATACTACAAAATCCAACAGTCTCCTGATCTCCCCCCCATGAAATTATTCACTATTTAACCACTATTGAATAAGCAAAGATATCATTCCTATAGAATATTAGTACTAAATACTCTGACTACAACATTCAATGATCTACATTCAGATCCCATTGCTGAACCAGGAAAAAAATTAAATTTAATGCTTTCTGTTGTCTATTTGTTTGTTTCATCTGGTTGTCGTTTTTTTAGCTAGATTTTTTTCTACCGGGATAAAGTTTCCGACTACCCCATGCCTAACCCTCATAATTTACTGTGGCTTGGGACCGGCAGTAACTCTAGAAGAGCTACAGGTAACTGGAAAGAAGTGGAAAAGATTGAACAGGACAAGGTTGGATGGAGAGTGCTAGTGGACGGCCTATGCTCCTCCACGGAGGGGTAACCGGCGTAAATAAGCAAATAGGTCATCTATTCATACTCAATTGGTATTAAGTGAAAATTACGTCTAACATCTGTATGAATAACTAGCTATCAAACTCTATGATACACATATATGCACATAGATATCAATGTAATCTATCAGACAATTGTAAAACTCATGAAAATAGTCGAGAATCAAGTGAGAACAGTCATTGGAAAATGTCAACACAACCATTTTAAATCAAGGTCAATTGAATAAGATTATTAGTCATATGTGGAGAAATTTCAACAGATTGATAAGGCCAGGTCGTGGATTCACATCGTGGAGGAGTCACACAATAGGACGAAACGGCCGTCTAGTGCTTCCAGGTTTTCCATTGTGATCTAGCTTCAACTGACTCATGATCTCAACTATTGAAATCACTATCCGTCAGTCAGCTACAACGTTGGACCAGACACATATATGCATCGGTTCAAGTTGCCACACCTCAATACCACAACAAGATGAACACCGATTCATAAAAGTAGTTAATTCAGAGGTGGTAATATATAAAAGAAAGACTGTATATGAGGATATACTACAGGAAGAAAGAATTAGTTCGTAGAAAGATATAAACCGATTTTAATCTCATAGTTTAAGAGAAGGCAGAGAGTGTATACACCTACGCCATTGTGATCGATTCTGAGCCATGTCACCAAGAGTCTCCAACCATTGGTTACCATAGTCACTCGGACCCCAATCAAGTAGTCTACATCTACCAACATGGCTCAGACTAGAACTTAGTGACTTCAAGAACTGATGTCACATTTTGGTTTGGCCAACCCTAACTTTCTTCCAATCATCTTCAACAATGCGTTGAAATTACTGTCATATCCACAGAAACCCCTTCTCATTTTGATGATGTTGTCAAGAAGGAAAATGATTGGGTCACATACTGTTGGGGATGATAGATCCCCAAAACTCATATTTTGTAATTTTATCTTATCGATTAAATGTTTAAATATTTGAATGGCAGTCAATTGACGAACTTATCGATTAAATATGTAGTGTCAGTTATTATTTTAAGCCCATATACCTTATTCTAGTTTTCGGACAGACCAATCTATTCATTTTACTTGAGTCATATGTTGACCATGTTAGTTATTCGCTTACCAGTCTTCATTGTTTTTATGTGAGCGTATATGTGTGTACACTTCTTATTCCATGTCTCATCATACGTCTGTAGTTTATTTTGTCTGCCTATAAATATTGAGTAACGCGTGGCTAGAAATGGAGTTGGCTTACCGGCCATCTCCACTCTGTATCGCTTCTCTTCCTGTTATTCCATTCACCTTATATACAAAGTATACGTATTCAAAATCTCATTCTCGTTATTTGACTTATTTAATTCCGTTATTGACTAACGTAATTAAAGTCGACGAGAATATACGAGAATCAGCGATAGCAAACATCCATACGAACTAAATAGGAGTCAAATCCACGGGCCACTAAAAATATTTGAATGGCTGTCAATTGATGAACTTATTGATTAGGGTTTAAAGACATTTTACCATGACAATATCGATTATAAATATTTATATAAATACGCTTGACTTGTGTGCCTGATTGACCTAATCTGACCTGACCTGGTATCTGCTGGTTGCTTGTAGAATACGCTTCTACGTCTTACCAAGACCTCTTGATCGAGTTAGCTGAGTTGGGGACAACGGACCAGAATAGTCTATCGAGTCTCTGAATCCTTGATCCTTCGTTCCGTTCCGAATAAGCCGAATCAGTAGTAGCATTCAAGGTTAACAAACCTAACACATATACACTATTCAGTTTAAAAGGAAAGAACAACTTCATCGTCATTCTTTCTTTTAGAGATAATAAATCTTATCTACCAAATCGAAATCATCTAAAACTGACATACCTTTCCCTGGTATCCATTGTCTATATGGTGTTTTCTCATCTTCAATATTGGAATCTATTATATGAGTATCTGGTTGTTTTGCATTGACATGTATAACAAATACATCAGAATTTAATATCACTGTATGATTTTCATATTTTTCTGGACTAATCAATTGATCTTCATTTAAATAAAGTGAACAATAACCACGTAAACCGCCAGATTTGAGTGTTGTTGACTTTAATTCATTTAAATTGAATTCATCATTATTAATAAGGATTGTTTTAGCTAAATTATTAAATGGTATCGGTTGTCCATCTGGTCCAGTAGCTATTGTCCAACCAATATTGAATTGTTCATCTTTGATTGGAATTCCATTAGATGAATCTGTAGGATACAATGAAATGTTATGTAATAGGATTAGTCAATCTTATGATTCAAAAAGGGTAATATGGTGATCAGTAAGAAGTTTAATGATTGTAAGCTGAATGAGACTATAGTTTTGAATGAATGAGTTATTTCATATTAGGTATGGATTGATGTATAACACTCTTTCATAAGATTGTGTCAAGCATTTGTTCATCACATCATTAACTCTTCATGGATTAAATTATTGTACAGCTTTAGAATCTTGGTTACATTTATTAAATGATCTAATTTCAATGTATTTTACAACACACCATTAAAAATATACTGAATAGCCTAGTGTAGGTCTCGTCAGCAGTGCGCATCCATGGTCTTACCCTTGAGATTCGAACCTAGGGCCTTCAATCTCGAGCGCAGACGCTTAGCTTCTAGGCCAGTGTGTTGTACCACCGTCTATCATTGTCTTCAATGAATTACTATTTCAAAACAGATCCGGTTGAACTTTGCTGGTTACTGCTTTTCACTAGAACTCCAGGAAATACATCTTGAAGCCAGTCACTAGTGAGCATATGATGATTAGTATCAGAAAAAAGGATTTTGTGCTTCCAATACTTCCAGGTTTTTCATGATGGTCTAGCTTTAATTGACTCATGAATTCGACTATTAAATTACTAAAATCTCCGCGAAATCCCCCTTTCTGATACACTGAAGATTTATAAATACGACTATACAACTTTAATGTAGACTGTAGAAAAGAAAACGTTCCGATAAATTAACCTCTGTTAACAGTTAATGATAAATGATAAGAACTTACCGACAACTTGACATTGAAGTTTTACATCTTCACCTTCTTTAGCTGTCATTGTTCCATCAGCATTAAGTCCAACAACTTCGGGATGTAATTGACTTGGTTCTGTAAAGTATAATAATATTCAGGAGTAAAAGAAAAAGCTTAGATCCTTCAATGAATTCTATCTACATTGACAGAATAATTTTCTTAACGAATATTACATCATCAAGAACTCTATTTGGAGAAATTTAATGAGATGACTATTTAGTATAAGCGCATCGCATATATACTTCTGATATATCAGAATGAGTTTTGTGGAGATTTTAGTAAATTTCACAGGTTGAAATCATCAGTCAGTTGAAGCTAGACCACCATTGAAAACCTAGAAGCACTGGACGGCCGTTTCGTCCTAGTATGGGACTCCTCAGCAGTGCGCACCCACGAACCCACCCCTGCGGGATTCGAACCCAGGACCTACTGGCTTCGCGCGCAAGCACTTAACCATTAGACCACTGAGCCGGCATCCAACGGTGTTAATGTCTAACTTCAACCAATCTACGAAGTTGCGCCATCGAACACCAATGTCTACAGTGAGCTGATATCTCACAACAGACCTGGTTGAACTCCACTGGTGACGGTGGTCTAACTTCTGATATAATCATTAGCGCTAAATGGATAATCATTTAAACTTAAAAATTGATCGGAAAATCAGATAACTTATTTACTCTATTCTAACATAAAAAATGGATTTATACAACATTATCTTAGAGAGAAGAGTTAAAAAGTATGATCTTGAAGCAAAGATTAGAAGTAATAATCAAGTAAACACTTATCCCTACGAAATAATGTTGGATCCTTATATTCCCAAGTGACAGTTAGTGTGACTGCATTGAGTAGAGAGTTCACTAGAACTGACTAGATGGTGAGGATCAGCGCCACTTGATATGAGATCATCAAAGTTTGATTCCTCTAAAACATTGTCATCGAATTTCTTGAAAATCTCATTAGTAGGTAGTCGATCATTAGAATAATCAGTATCTATCAAAATTTTATTAGGTTCTTGATCATTGTTTGATTCAGCCGACAAATTTGTTCAAAAGCATTTCAATCATTAAGATGACTCATGTCTGATTAAGCAACTAGAGAACCCCAATAAGTACATTCATGAGAAACTTTTGTCCTAGAATGATGAGCTCCATTTAATACAACTGTCTTCATTATGTTGCTTGATTCATTTTCTGTTTCTTCGTGGACGGCTACCATAATAATTTCATGAACATTTAATAAAACATCGTCTTTCTGTGAGCTGGACAAGTCAGTGTTTGTACATGGTGCTTGAGTGTCAATGGGATTTGAACCCATGAGAGGGTATGTCTCTGAAATGAATATTTCTGGATCACTGGGCGGATCATGAATGACTGCTACTCCTTTGTTTACATTTTCCAACTCTGTATACAAATTAAGAATTAATCCATCAACTGTTACATCTCCAAAACATGGATGATTTAACAGTCGTGTGCGTAAATTGTCTAAATCAACTGTCTCTTTTTGAAACGTTGCTGTTGTCGCTCAAATAGTAACTGTAACTGATCAGAAGAGATAGCCACTTTCTAAATTAGCACGGTAATGAAAAATACTGTATGACTAATTAACAATCAATGTCATTCAAGGACACCAGCGAGAAACCTGTATGCTGGTTTCTTTGAAATAATTACACTGAATCTTGTCTAATTAGAAGTTGACCTGGATTTGTTAATTTGAAGACTAAAGGTTCAGAATTTTCTTTTTCATTCCGTCGCCAGTTATTATAACTTGCGAATTGAATGCTACTTTTTGTATCTGGTCATCGTCGATTGTTATGTCGGAAATGCTTATCACTTATACTCGGAACAAGGGACCTCAGAAATTCCCATAACATGGAAGTAAGAACACAAAGACTGGTATAAGCGAAGATTTATTAACCCCAAAACACAACGACGACGACGACCCTAGTTGAAAATACACTGATTTATATATTGATTCGTACACCCATTTTGTTTAGTAATTAAGATGAAATCACATATATAACAAACCCCATAATGAGCATAGTTCATGGTTATTGAACACAAGAATATCGTATATTATACAGAATAAAATATCATACGGGGAAACAAAAAACGAATACTACATTGAATAATCATTACATTGAATGAGAACGGAAGTAATGTTGAGCCAAAGCTCATAATGAGTAAATCAATTAAAAATTGACTTTTCTTTCCATCATATATGTTCATCCTATGGAGACTATGAAGTAAAATGAACGATACTAGGTTCAAAGTTCATTGTGAACATTGATTCTAGGATACAGGGATATTCAGTTGATGATTTCTAAGTAGGACAAAATGTGAACCTTGGATTTCCCTGTTAGCTAAATTTTATCCTTCACCTATGTAAATTAATAAAACTTGCCACTAATGAGAGAGTGGAGAAGATTTGAAGCTCAGGTGGATGATTTTGATGGAGTTTTGTTCTCTGAACTGGATGATTTAGTCGTGGAGCTTTCATCGTCCTTCTGAACTACATCATTAGCACAAACTTCAGATAGAAGTGAAGTGTATGATAAGTAAAAGATCAAATGGCAATAATAAACAATACAACAAATATTTAAGCTTTGTTTACATCATAAAATACCATTAATTAACGATTGGGAACCAGGGTGTATCAGTAAGCTCTTTCATATAATGACCTGTGACAATGATTAATGAAATTGTCAAGCTTAGTGTAAATAATAGGAGAACTGGATACTTACAGACCATTTCAACATCAAAAGTCAGTTATAGAGAATAAACAATGTATATTGTCAGGGGGATATTCATTATGCACTTGTTCAATTCAACCTACTTATCCTTGCCAAAAGGATAGATATATATGCATATTTATGATTTGTGTACACTTTATTCGACTTGTCGATTATAGAGTTTTTCGTCAATTCTCAATCTTCTCACTTCAATAACTGATTTGTAAGCCGTACAGACAGAATAGGACGATTGTAGAAGCTGAAGTCAAGTGATAATTTCGTTCTTTCTCTCTTTGTATCACGTATGTGTTCTTTCAGTGATCAGATATATGGTTGCATGATCGAGGTACAATGGTTTTTTCTGTCTCTGTTTCAAATTTATACTATTCAACTCTCCGGTGTCGTCCGCATATAAATAATGCATTTACATACATTTTTTATATCAAGAATATTTCACTACCTTTCAGAACATGACAAACGGAAAGTACCAAGCTGATGAATAAAAACAATTTCAGTTAAATAAGCAAAGATGGATAATGGCTAGCAGTGGAATTCAGCACACGCGCCACTTCGTCCTATTTGGGACTCGTCGTCAGCTCGATGTATCTGCATCTCAGAGTTGACATTCACTCTGGGACTCGAACCCAATACCGTTCGCTTCAAACGCCATCGTGTTATCCACCCAGCTACTGAATCCTGATAACCACATACTTGTGCAATCGGGTGAACTTTAAATTCACTTGGTATTGCTCTACTTGAATCTTTGCATTAATGTTTAAGACTGTAATTGATCAGTCTCTTATTGGCTATGTGTATCATGTCGACATTGCTTTAATTCACAAGCATTATAACCAGAGACAGGTTCGAGTCCCAGAGTGAACATCAACTCTGAGATGCAGGTGCATCCACCTGACGGGTCCCGAATAGAACGAAACGCGCCTCCTGGATTCCACCGCTAGCCACTATCCATCTTTGCTTAAAAAATCTTTTAACTTCAGGCTATATCAAGGCAATCGCACTGTATGCGCATATATCTATAAGAGACTGATCAATTGCAGTCTTAAACATCATTGGGAAGATTCAATTAAACAATACAAATTTAATTTAATTTCACTGTAAGTTTATCAATTATGTATTTCCACTTGTAACCATAGCTACAATTTATCAGAATTGATTGTAATTAGATAGGTACAACCTAGTTCATTTCTCTTTTTGGAGTAACATATATAATCCATGTTGTTTAATCTATTTAGTTCAAAGATTCATACCGATTGCTTTTAAACATCTAGATGAGTTATCTAGTCACTCAGATTAATGTCCATACTCAGTAGAATGTGATCAGAACTAAGGTTTAATAGTGTGGTTTGTGCTACTGATATCGACCGATATAAGTAGTATGTATTATCAATCGAAAGTGAAATGCCTGAAGGCAAAAGGTTAAGAAGATCAATAAAAAGAGAATGATTGGTATGGAAATGATGGAACAAACAGGTCTGAGACGATTGATTGACATTATGCAAATGATGTATTTATTGTATGGTTCTTAGATTTAACTCAGATGTTCTGTAAGTTTGTGTTCAAATACATTTGATTGTCGCCACTTGTGTTCTCATTCACTACAACAATAACTTACCAAAATCTATTACAATTAGTATAACTTACAATGAACATAAATGAAAGTATATGTCATGACATCAAGAACATTAAACGTTATATTGAATCAACTGACCATAACGCTTTCTTTCAATGTCAGGTTTCTTGTCAATATCTTCAAAATGTTTAATAGTTTCAAATGTATAAACTGGTGATGCATAAGTTTGATCTTGACGTATCTTATTTTCTACTTGATCAGTTCCCCTAGCCAAACATCTTAATCGTATACCTTCACCACTGGATCGATAACCTTTTAGTTGAAGTTTTTGTCCATTATCCGATAGATTAGCACCGATTAATAATTGATTAGCAAGACGATTTGTATGTATTGGTTGGTTATCATAAGTACGCAATTCCCATGCATAATTCATACCTTTTATTGGCTCACCAGTTGATGATTCTGAAATAATAAAGTAATTATATGTATTATGAAAATAATAAAATACCAGTTTTAAGTGTTAAGTCACAAATTGACCACCAGTAATCAACCGTTGGAGATCAGGAGCCATTGGACAATCGTTTCTTCCTAGTATGGGAATTCTAAACAGCGCATATACATGACTACACAACAGACGGTACCCAGAATATTCAAACCTATCGCAGACGTCTTCACTTTCAAACCACTGAGTCGGAATCTAGTGGTTTACATATCTAACTTCAGTAGATATTGCAAGACGATTTACCTACTGACATTCTTGACATTTATCTTACGTCTGACATCCTTAAAAGGAGAACGAAAATACTTCGTGGAGAAATCATTCATGATCTCCTAAGTGAGGATATATAAATCGTTGCTGATCGTAAGTTTCAACTGATGATGACATTGAACAAGGATTATCTCACACTTATTGTATTCGGCGGCCTGCTTGAGCATCTGGGCTACCTGTTCCTGTCATCTAGATATTTCAACAAGTTATCTATTTTTGTTTGTTTTAATATATCATTATGTTTATTAATCGCACAACCTATTCTGCTGCGTTTCTGAAAAGTGTACAACCTTTCGTTGTCAAAGTTACAAACAACCCAATAAGAGACAATGTGGTTGCTGGCAATATACAACCAAAAGAATGCATATTATTCAGATGTTCATTTAGTGAACTGCTAACATCTAACTGGCGATCACTCAATATTTATCGCCAGGACCGACGAAGAAGAAAGAAACGGAAACTTGTTGAAATACTTTACGCTGAGAATTCTATATTGTACCAAAAATATAATATTGAATAAAGCTGATAATAATAATAATAATAATTTGCATACTCTAGTTATGAGTTCTAACTGGTTAAACTCAATCATAAACAGGACATGAAAGTAGGATTATCCTCGAGAGTGTGCATTGCTTGTGCTACTATAATTGTTGAGTGAATAATGTTGGAAAGATAAATCAATTCAACAACTTATTCGTATTTTGGTCGTTGTAAGGTTTGAAATTCCTCAATTCCGACATCTTATAGGATGGCACTGTTGGGGAATCTCACAAGAATAGAATAAACAGCTATCGACTACCTTCTAGTTTCATTTTTTTCTGGTTAATTTTTTTTATCTGATTTAGTCTATACTGTCATAAACTGTATTAATTCAATTCATCTACCCTATTTATCATCGGAACCAAATAATCACTATAGTTGAGTATGTTATGAAGGCGAGACCCTAATTTAGGGATGACCTTTGAACGAATCTTAAATGACCTTGACAATTATTAGCCAATCAGAAGACAGTTAGTATAAAGTGAGGATATATTGTAAGTAAGTAATGAACTACAGTGAATATTCTTCTTTTACATGATTTAAAAACTTGTTAAGGTTTGATAAAGGCTCAGAAGTTCTGAATTCATAATGCATATGGTATAGAAACTCGTCCATAGGGTTAGGGTTTACGGTTAGGGTTAGGGTTAGGTTAGGGTTAGGGTGCTAACATGCGATCGGTTTACAATGGATTTTAGAGGTTGGAGTTAGGGTTGTAGCCTAGGGTTAGGGTTTAGGTTAGGGTTAAGGTTGTAGCCTCTCAATAAACACCTCTCCTATCAAATCCGATGTAGACCGATCGCATATTAGCGCCCTAACCGAAACCCTAACCTTAACCCCAACCCTATGGACGAGTTTCTATACCGTATGCATTATGAATTCAGAACTTCTGAGCCTTTATCAAACCTTAACAAGTTTTTTAATCATGTAAAAGAAGAATATTCACTGTAATCCATTACTTTCTCGTAATATATTTTTACTTTATACTGTCTTCTGATTGGCTAATAATTGAAATTGCTCAAACGCTTCTGATTGGCTCGTCCCTAAATTAGAGTCTCATCGTCCCATCTGTTGTAACCTTTCATTAATCACCTCCTCTCTAAAATCCGTTGTGAACCGATCGTATGTTAGCATTGCGTGTTGAACTTGGCTCGGTGACCTTGAAATTGCTCAAACGCTTCTGATTGGCTCGTCCCTAAATTAGAGTATCACCGTTATGAATTTTCTTACATTCATCTATAGAAACAAATAAACTTTATACAATCATGGAAGATACTCTTGGATTATTTGTACGAATAAGGGAAACGAAAAAAACGTGACCAAAGAATACACTGCGTAGGCAACTAAAAGCAGATATAAAAAGGATGAATAACAACTAGAAACAATTGCCAAAGACAAAGTTCAATAAATAATACTGGTAGGCGGCCTATAAGGAATAAAAGGCGTAAATAAGTAAGTAATTTATAATAATAATAATGAACTGAATATGTCGTATGATTGTTTCGTACAATCAATTAACCCGATATAAACGTTTATTATTTCTAATCCAGTGTAGTAACTGTATAATGTTGGAGAAGATGTGTAGCTCAGGTGGATGATTTGGGTGGAGTTTTGTTCTCTGAGCTGACCAAACCATCCAGCTCAGAGAACAAAACTCCACCAAAAACTGTCTAATGTCTAATGTTCATTATCACTTAATGGCTGTCGTTAGTTTATACCTTCATATTATATTTCTTCATTTCAATTTAATACGAAACCCCCCCCCGAAAAAAACACAAAATTCCAAAATACAAAATCAATCTTTATGAATCATGAACCCTACCCCGACTGTTATATCCTAGGGAAGATTACATTACGAGTAACATCTGAGACCTATTAATGGACTAATATTATCTATCGATTCTTATAGTATAACTATTCAGTAACTAGATTATGTATATCTATATTCTCCTTAGTATAAGCTTCATTTTGACCTATAATGTATTATTGTACGATTTATTGTTCTTAAGCTATGTTCAGTGTATTGACTACTGCCTCCCACGGTCACAGCCACGTTTTGGCTTTATTGTGTTCAAATGTTATTTCCTATTTTATGGTGCATTGCGGACTGTTTGGTTGATACATAAACCCAGTATGTCTGAAATAAATGATTCGACTTGATCCGATTTGCATATTAAGAGCTGGTATTGGTGTTCTTAACTCAAGTGGACAAGCTAGGAGAACATAGGACCAATAAGGACGCTAAGCTGCTCATACCAGTCGAACGTCATTGGTTTGGCACAGTGCGAAGATTGTATAAGTCGTATTTTGATTGGTGGATAAATCACGAGATAAAAAGCCGGACATAAAATCATAACACCGACCCTCACGCACTTCACAACAACAACAAAAAGTGATTTGTCTTTTTATTCTCTTACCAAGCGCATAACAATCTAATTCAATATTTTCACCAGGTTTCACAGTGATTGTATCATTTGGATTTGTACCATAAACTTTGACAAGAACATTTGGATCTGTAAAACAAAAATTTTTGTTTTAAAAAAAGAAACATTGACATTTTAATTTATAATATTAGACAAGTTTTTATTGAATATACTTTATGAATGACCTTGAAACACCATTGTAAATACACCAATCAGAGTGTTGTTTACTTTCGATGTTGTTTTTCCTTAAAATATGTGTTTGACAATTAAAAATGGAATATGTATAGTAGATTTTTTTCTGAGGTTAGATTGATATAACTATAGAAGTAACTAACTCCACCTGGAACCTCCCTGTGGCTACTGCCGGTCCCAAGGTTTGGTGAAAGGAGGAAGGCTGGACATAGGGTTAGCGACGCCATTCCGTAGAAAATTAACTCGCTAAAAATCGTTAACGTCAAACCTATTAAACTCTGCTCTGGAAGTCAGAAGGTCATTATTTAGAAGAGTTATGACGCCTCATAGTGAAAGCCGAGCTCCGTCGAAAGCTACAAGGCTGATGCTCCTTCTGACAACCAAAGCAGTCAGTCAGTCAGTAACAACGTAGAACTTCGTACGTACGTACATCAGTTCGAGTTGCCACACCACATTAGCACAGAGATGCAGTTGTCCATTCAAATCCCATAGTGGTAGAGGTAGCAAGAGTATAAGCAGTAATCGGGAAGATTAGGGTTTGGAGATGTTATTTATAGAGTATAATCCAGTGAAATAAATTTGGAAAGAGGAAAAAAGGGACATGAAGAATTCAGAAGATTAGAATTTGAGAGAACACAGAGAGTGGATGCACCTGCGCCATTGCAAACGATTTTGAGCCATGTCATTCAGGGTCTCTAACCATCAGTTGCTATCATCTCGCGGTCCCCAACCAGGTAGTCTACACCTACCAACATGACTCAGTTCACTTGTCAGTGACTTCATGGACTTGTGCCATGTTTTGGTTTGGCCGCCCCTAGCTTTCTTCCAACCTACTCCTATACCACTGAACATAGCACGTCGAGGTAGTCGGTCGTTGGGCATACGTAACACGTGTCCCAGCCATCTCAACTGATGAAGTTTCACTACTTCATCAATTGATTTGCCATCCTTACCTAGTACCCGTTTTCTAACAACTGTGTTACTTAATCGATGGTCCCATGATATACGAGCAATGTTTCGAAGACACCTATGATCAAATACTAGTAACCTACGGATATCCTCTACTCTTACCGGCCATGTTTCACTGCCATAAAGTAGGACGGAACGAACTGCTGCACAGTAAACACGTCCTTTGGTTGATAGACGGATATCTCGCCTACGCCATAAATGACGCAAGTTGGCAAAAGCTAGTCGAGCCTTCTGTATCCGTGCTGAGATTTCGTCACACACCAGACCACAAGTGCTGATGAGACTTCCAAGATAAGTGAAGCGGTCGACACACTCAACTACTTCACTCCCTATCACTAGTTCGGGTGTCGATGTAACCCAATCCTGAAGCAACATTTTGCATTTCGAGGGAGAGAATCTCATCCCGAACATGCTTGCATTGTTGCTTAGAGTGGTGAGAAGACTCTGCATTTTGTCAGCGTCTTCACCAAATTAAACTATGTCATCTGCATATTCTAAGTCAACAAGTGAACCTCCCGGTAGAAGTTCAACCCCTGGAAATCTAGATGAGGAAAGTGTTATCTCTAGAAGTACGTCCACGACAAAGTTGAACAAGAATGGGGAGAGTGGACAGCCCTGACGAACACCACTTGAGGTAATCAATTCTGATGACAGTTCGCCATAAGCTCTCACTCTACCAGTTGTGTTCGAGTAGAGAGCCTTTATAAGGTTAATGTACAACCAAAGCAACCATTTATTTAGGTACGTGGAATGCTCGTACAATGTGGGAGACTGGGAGAGTCTTGCAAATTGCTGCAGAAGAGTCGGTAAATTTTGAAATCATAATTAGAAATGATTGCATAGAAATGAATAAAAAACAAACTTTCTTGAATACATCATAAGATGAGTTTGAATTTCCCTATAGACATAATCATAGTATACACACTTCTGGTCAAACTACCAAAGAAAGGCGATCTCAGCAAGTGTGAGTACTACAGAAGCATCACTCTTCTCTCAATGTCAGGAAAAGTCTTCAACAGGGTATTGTTACACAGGATGAAGGACTGCGTAGACGCCAAACTTCGAGACCAACAGGCAGGATTCCATAAGGATAGATCGTGTACAGACCAAATCGCAACTCTACGGATCATTGTGGAACAATCAATTGAATGCACTTCATCACTCTACATCAACTTCATTGACCACGAAAAGGCATTTGATAGCGTGGACAGAACAACACTATGGAAGCTTCTTCGATACTACGGCGTGCCTCAGAAGATAGTCAATATCATACGGAGTTCATATGATGGATTACACTGCAAAATTGTGCATGGAGGACAACTGACAAACTCGTTCGAAGCAAAGACCGGTGTCAGTCAAGGTCGCTCACTGTCAACCATTCTCTTTCTCATGGTGATCGACTGGATCATGAGAACGTCAACATCTGAGGGGAAGCATGGATACAGTGGACAGCTAGAATGCAGCTGGACGATCTAAACTTCGCAGATGATCTGGTCCTTCTATCCCAAACGCAACAACAAATGTAGGAGAAGACAACCAGTGTAGCAGCAGCCTCAACAGCGGTAGGTCTTAACATACGCAATGGGAAAAGCAAGATTTTTCAGTACAACACAACATGCAATAATCGAATCACAATTGACGGAGATTTGGAAGATGTAAAAATCTTTACATATTTGGGCAGCATCATTGATGAACACAGTGGATCTGATGCAGATGTGAAGGCTAGGATCGGCAAAGCAAGAGATGCATATTTACAACTGAACAACATCTGGAACTGAAAATAATTGTCAACCAACACCAAAGTCAGAATTTTCAATACAAATGTCAAAACAGTTCTACTGTATGGGGCGGAAACCTGGAGAACTACGAAAGTCATCATTCAGAAGATACAAGTGTTTATTAACAGTTGTCTACATTAAATACTTTAGATCCGTTGACCGAACACTATTAGCAACAACCTACTATGGGAGAGAACAAAGCAGATCACAGTTGAGGAAGAAATCAGGAAGAAGCACTAGAAGTGGATGGGTCACACATTGAGGAAAACATCCGATTGTGTCACAAGGCAAGACCTCACATGGAATTCTCAAGGTAAAAGGAGAAGAGGAAAACCAAAAAACACATTACGCCGAGAAATGGATAGAGACAGACATGAGAAGAATGAACAAGAATTGGATGGAACTAGAAAAGAAGGCCCAGGAGAGAATGGGTTGGAGAATACTAGTCAGTTGCCTATGCTTGACTGGGAGTAACAGGCGCAAGTAAGTAAGTAAGTTATCATAGAAATTTGAAATAGCAGATCAGATTAGTACTTATATAAATATATATAATATCTTACCATATGTTATACCCTGAATAGTTGTAATCTGTTTCTTTGGATCAAATCCTTCAAGTTGTACTTCACCTTTATGTCTAATATCTGACCAAAAATATTTTGATGTATAACGTTTAATTGGTTCTTTTAATTCTTTATCATAATCTTTTTGTATTAATGTGACAACACAACGTCCTCTATGCCATTTACCATATTTCATTCCATTTAATGTTAATTGAATACCTCCAATTTCATTAGATAATTGTTCTTGTATAATTTCATCAGCTAAATAACCTCCATATGTATCATCTCTATCTGGTGCAGCTTCATCAAATTGAAAATGATAAATTGCTTCAGTCGAAGTAATTGGAGTATTATCTGTAATATCTATAATTGTAAAAGAAATCAAAATATTCAGTGAATACAAATGATAAATGGGTTTCTATTCGTTTATTCGCATTGTCAAATTACTTCATGTAAATTATCAGAAAGAGGGGGGGGTTTTCTGGAGATTTCTAGTAATTTTATACTTGAATTCATCAATCCATTAAAGTTAGATCACTTGAAAGTAATGGAAGTCCGTTTCGTCCTAGTATGAAACTCTTCAGCAGTGCACACTTACAATCTCGCTCATGGGATTCAATTAATAAGTAGATGAAATATTAAAGATCAAATACTCTTTCATTACGAAATGTACGCTGTTCATTTGCTACGATTTGGACATTATTGATCGATCGCACAAAGAAAAGAATGGCTATATAGAGACGGAAATATGTTTCTATTATTATCAGAAGGGGTTTTGTGGAGATTGTAGTAATTTAAACAGTTGAGATCATGAGTCAATTTAAGCTAGACCACTATAGAAAACCTATAAGCACTGGACGGCCGTTTCATCCTATTGTGGGACTCCTCAGCAGTGCACATCCACGACCCCGCTTCACGGCATTCGAACCCAGGACCTATCAGTCTCGCACCAGGCACTTACATAATTTTTCAATTGTCTAGAATAATTAACAAATTACTTCTACTTTTGATGAAGTTTTATTCTCTGAACTAGATGGTTTGGTCGTGGAGTTTTCATCGTTCTTCTGAATGACATCATCATCAGCACAAACTTCAGATAGAAGAAGAAGACTTCAATCTGAAGTTTGTGCAAACCATTCATCTTAGAGAATAATCATCCACCTTAGCTACTAAAAATCTTCACCATCTCATTACTTCTGATGTACATGTGTTAGTATTTAGTCGGTGTATAATATCTACATATAAATATGAGTCTTTGATATTCATTACTTTTGTCATTATACTTAGTAATCTTTAAATGTGTTTCATTAGATGATGAATGTATAAGAAATGAGCGTATTAACTTACTAACAGCTCGACATTCCAAGTTTACATTGTCGCCTTCTTCTGCTGATAAAACACCATTCGAAGGAATTCCTGTAACCTCAACGTGTATATGATTGTCGGCTGGAAATTGAACAAAAATAATAATATGTATTCAATAGAAACAAAACTAAATTTAAACCATCACCTTTGACATTTAGAATGAATTTTTCTCACTAGTACTATAAGACAATCACCATCAAGAAGGTACAAGTATTTATAAATAGTTTTCTACGCAAGATACTCAACATCCGTTGGACGGATACCATCAGCAACAATCTACTGAAGAAGAGGACAAACCAGCATCCATCTGAAGAGTAAGTTAGTGAAAGACTTTGGAAGTGGATAGGACATACATTACGCAAATCGTCAAACTGCATCACGAGGCAAGCCCTAATTTGGAATCCTGAAGGGAAACGGAAAAGCGGAAGGCCAAATAACACATTACGTCGAGAAATAGAAGCAGATATGAAAAGGATGAATAACAACTGGAAACAGTTGGAAAGGATTGCCTAGGTCAGGGTTGGATGGAGAATGCTGGTGGGCGGCCTATGCTCCTTCATGAGGAGTAACAGGCGTAAGTAAATAAGTACTGGGGCACTGGATGGCCAACTCGTCCTATGGTGGGACTACTCAGCAGTGCAAATCCAAGACCACGCCTCACGGGATTCGAATCCAGGACCTATCACTCTCACGCGCGAACGCGTGCTGATGTTGTCCTTCAGAAGAACTATGAAAACTCAACGGCAAAACCATCCAGCTCAGAGAACAAAACTCTATCAAAGGTTGATACCTCTCAATCCTCCAGGATGATTAAAAAGCAGCAAAATCTCAGTCTTCCAAAATTTGCTAAAGTCGTTGCTATCAGGCGTCAAAAACGTGGCTTATGTGTTCAAAAGGAGATGATTATTAATCTTTCATAGCCTTAGTGACAAATATTCCTTTGTTGCATCGTAAACTTCTTTTTAACTCTTTCACATTAGTATTCTTATTTTATTAACTGAGCTCAACTCATCGTGTTCTTAGCAGCGTTTATTCATTATGTAATCATTTGTATTCTGTCCCTTTGATCTTTTATTACAATCAAACTTGTAGAATGTACTTGTGCATCATGTATATTGAAGATGCCACTGGTATTCGAAGTTTGACAACGCTTTAACCAGTAACACCTTCTACTATGAATCGTACTCACCAAGTGAAATCAAAAAACAGAAGCGAGGAGCTTCGGATATATATTTGATAGACTATCAATATATCGAGGATCTTCTGATTTAATCTGGCTAGCGATCGCAAGGGTTGTTGATCACGGCTTTCCCATACGTGATCTGGTGCGGATGCATGACCGAGCACCTTCAGCTGAGTGAGTCCACTAAAACTAATGTGGTCAGCACCCAATGTCGAAAACTTGAGGAAATATTCATTTTGGGGATTTATTTACCGCTTCAATATATTTACAATATTCAGTCTGGTCAATTTATTCGCACCCTCGCTATACTATACTAATGTATCTTCTATATAACTTCCAACCGAACCCTTTCATGTAACTAATTTGAACCCAATATGTAATTATGATTATGAAATATTACAGGTTGTAAGTAGCTGATGAGAACCAAACGAAATAAAATGAATCCATCCTATTCTACTCGAATCTTTGTTCTTTCTCTCTTCAAAATAATAAAAGGAACTATGTATTTGAAAATGTATCCATTGAATTAACTCATCATCTTCCCATTCAAATTCCATAGTTATTATTAACATTATAATAAGTTAGTGAGATTACAATTTATGGGCAACATTTTGAACAACGTTAAAATGATCATCAAAATGTCTGTCTACTTATTAAAGTTATAGATTAGTGTAACTAATTATAATCGATAGTTTATTTATTCATTTATTTTAACACATAGATACTGGTACAAGGAGGCACCAAATACATATGCACCACACAGTGTGAGGGCTGTGATACTGCCCGGGTGTCCAAACAGAACCGGGTGGTTTCCTTACGGGGCGACAACTGGAGCCTTCAACCAGAAGGTCTGATCAACAAGGCAGTGGAGCATCGTAAGGAGATGCAGTCACATGGTAGCCGGTGACCAACGATTATTTCATACACTATTTGTTCCTTCAGGATACTGGAACCTATGGGCACCATTGAATTGCAATCATGGTTTTCCAACTCCCCTAGGTAGACTTTCCATGTTCATTAACCCGGTTAACCCGCCGGACATTCGCTTTTCGTCCTCTCAATTTCGTAAACAGCACTCCCGCCACGAGAAGGCAGTGAGTAGGACTTCCCTATCAGTGGTTGTATGCACGTGGTCATGTGAGAGCATTTCGAGAGAGAGAGAGAGAACGGACTCTCCCCACTCTCGGCCGTACTAGGGCATTTAAGGTATTCATCATGAATTGATATTAGTGAAAATATCAAAATGATATTTAATTAAATCAAGAATAAATGAATTTCGCGCCAAAATTAAAAAAACTTTATTTTAACTCTGATTGGTTTATTCGTCAATGATAATCTTCCCTATTAAATGGAATGTTTTATTTTATTCCCTACAAGAAATATGTCAGAATATCATTGTAGTCTACTTACAGAATACATTAATACAGTTTTGTTTTTGTTATGATAAATGGATATTCAGCACATACACACACACACAAGCACACATACACCAACACACGCACACAAGGGAGTTGGATAATGATTTTAGTTGACAGGTGATCTTTATTCTTATAAGCCCAAATGAAAGATTATCTTCTTTCATAAAGAAGAAAAAAATGTATTTCTTGAAATGTACTACATTCTAGAATATGAAAAGAAAGAATAGAACTTTAAAAGTTAGATTTTGATTTTATTGATTTTTCAACAGTCAAGGAAATCACCGTTTGTCTTGTTTATTTAATACTTTCTAATTCGATTTAGTTTTGCTTACTTACTTACGCCTGTTTCTCCTCGTGAAGGAGCATAGGACGCTCACCAGCATTCTCCATTTAACCCTTTCCTAGGCAATCTTTTCCAGCTGTTTCCAGTTGGTATTCATCCTTTTCGTATCTGCTTCTATTATCCGACGTAATGTGTTCTTTGGCCTTCCTCTTAGTTGTACATTCTACTATTTTGTATTAAAATACTGGATAGAAAATACCTTATTCTATTAGGCATTTTCGTTGTCTTTTAACAGGTACTCAATTTGAGGGAATTTATCGGTAATAATTTGTTGTATGATCAGTAGCTATGGAATCTGATACTATTCACTTAAAATGTTATCGCGTCATTCACTTGGGATGAAACACGAGTCCTGAATTCTACTGTTATTCACCATTCATCTTTGCTTATAAAGCATGTGATATAAGGCAATAATCAATGCTATCCACATAGAATACACATATGCCAATAAGAGACTGATCAATCGTACTTCTAGACATTAGTGGGAAGATTCAAACAAACAATACCAAGTGAATTTAAACTTCACCCTATTAGACAAACGAGTAGCTATCAGGACTCAATAGCAAAGTAGATAACTCGATAGCGTTTGAATTGAACGCTACTAGGTTCAAGTTTTAGAGTTCATATAAACTCTAAGATTTAGATACATCCAGTTGATGAGTCCCAAATTGGAGGAATTAGCGCGCATGCTGGATTTAATTGCTAACCACTGTCCATCATTGCTTACAAAAAGCTTTTGAATTAAGACAATATCTAGGCCACATGCACATGATGCACATATGCCAATAAGAAGAGACTAATCAATCACAATTCTAAACAACAATGATAAGATAGAAGGAAACAATACCAAATGAATACAAAATGGATTATCTCTTATCTTATAAAGATTAATCATAACTAATGAATCTAATTGATGATTATCTTTGATGAACATTTCAAGAAGTTGACTTACGTCCAGTTTTTCCATCAATCGATGGTTGACGAACATTGATATGAAAATAATCTGAATAGTATATATGTTTATTTTCAGGACTATAAGCTGAACAACGTCCAAATAAATGTTTACTCCATTGTAAATGATCAGTTGGACGAAGATGTATAAAACTAATTACATTGATTGAACGTAATACAATTTGAGCTATTGTTTCAGTCATTATAGATTGATCATTACGATCACGAATTTCCCAAGCATATATAGCATCTGATAATGGTACATTAGTTTGTGCATCTAAAATGGTTAAAGAATAATTATAAATAAAAGGTATTTCAGTACTCATTTGTTACTAAGGATCATCCAGATGAACTTCTTAACTAGTTAGACAAAAGTTTTGAGTTGTGAAGTTAATGAATAGGATAAGATTGATATAAGATATGGTGTTAATTTATGGACGAGTAAATCAGAAGCATTTTAGAGCTTTCAAGTTCACGATGCCAATTTCAGTACCTGACAATCACTTACGATTGGTTGATAGGAGATTTTAGAGATGTGATAACAAATGGGACTACTAAGAAATCTATTTATTTGTGACTATTGGTTATCATCAAGTGACTGTTGTATCGTTTACAGACTACCATGATAAGATTGTGTTACGATATTGATGTTGGAGGAAGAAGTCTGTAAGAACAGGAACTTTGTTCGCTTGATCCTGATTGAAACTACTTTTTTGCACTTTCAATCAAATCGTATTGAATAATTCACTAAAGACAATGATGGATGTGTCTTTGAATTTCATGGATTAATTGATATTAGACATGACAGCCGACTCAGTGGTTTAGAAGTTATGCGTTCATGTATGAGATCGATAGGTCCTGGGTTCGAATCCTTTTGGTATGGGATCGTGAATGCTTACTGCTGGTGAGTCCCACAAAATGGACGAAAGTTCCCTCCATTGATTTTAAGTCTTCTATGGTGTTCTAGCTTCAACTGACTATTAAATAATTTGAATGGTTAAGATCATGAGTCAGTTGAAGCTAGACTACCATGGAAAACCTGGAAGCACTGGACGGCCGTTTCGTCCTACCGTGGAATTCCTCGACAGTGAACGTCAACGACCTCTCCCCTCTGCGACTTCAACCAGGTCTGTTCTGAGTTAGTAACTCATTAAAGACAATGATGAGTGTGTCACTCAATTTCATGGATTGGTTGAAGTTAGATATTAATACCGTTGGATACCGACCGGCTCAACAATCCAGTGGTTAAGTGCTCGCACGCGAAACCAGTAGATGCTGGGTTGGAATCTCGCAGGGGGTGAGGTTATGGATGCGCACTGTTGAGGAGTCCCACAAAATGGACGAAAGTTCCCTCCATTGATTTTAAGTCTTCTATGGTGTTCTAGCTTCAACTGACTATTAAATAATTGTTTATTTCAATTAGACATGAATAAATCATCTAAAGTTTAATAATAAGTCTTTCTAATGTCAAATTGTACTAATTTAATAGAACAATCGAATTGAATGATCCACTTACCAATTGCATAACACTGAAGATTCACTTTATCACCAGACTCTGCTGTCAATTGTCCTGATGTTGTTAAACCAACAACACCAACACGAACTTTATTACTATTCACTGAATATGTATATATAAATGAATAAAATATGTAATGAATAGAGGATTTAGTTATGAAGAATTACATAGTTACATGTAATCACAGATTACATAATTGTTACATAATAGTTCTAAGTATAAGATACATTAAGAAGAAATAAAGGCGAAACTCTAATTTATGGACGAGCCAATCAGTGGCATTTTAGAGATTTCAAAGTTACGGCGTCAACTTCAGTGCTTAGTGCTAACGTACGATCGGTTCACAAGGAATTTTGTACAAACGTATTAATTGAGCGGCTATAACAAATAAAACGGTGAGACTATAGTTTGTGGACGAATCAATCAGGTAAAAGATAATAGATCTTGGATTTTAGTGCGAAAGGCTTTCATCCATTTGGCTAAATACATTCCTGACATTATGTTTGATGTCAGTTCGTGATAAAATCCCGGAATCTAATCTCTAACCTTAACTCCATCAACTGTAAATCATAATTCTAATCTCTCACATTAGTTTATAATGTTCACTTTTAGTCCTGGTTATTCAGTGAACACTTTCAAGTTCAGCCTATCGTCTGTCAGTTATTATATTATGCCCATATACCTTATTCTAGCTTTCGGACATCCTATTTTATTCATCCTACTCGAGCCATACTTTGACCTTGTTATTTATTCGCTTATCAATCTAGACTGTTTTTATATGAGCGTATATGTGTGTGCCCTTCTTATCCCATTGATCACATGTCTGTAGCTTTATTTTGTCTGACTATAAATATTGAGTAACGCTTGACTAAAATGGAGTTGGCTTCCCAGCCATCTTCCCTGCGTGTCGTTTTGCTTTGCTATGTTTCATTCATTTCATGTACGAAATATATGTATTCACAAATCAATTCTCGTTATTTGACTTATTTAATTTCGTTATTGACTAAGGCGATTCAAGTCGACGATGATATACGAGAAAAAGTGATAACGATCATTCGTACGATCTTGGAGTCAGATCAACGGGCCACTAAACATCACTCAAAGGTCATCTATAAATTATAATCTTACTATTTTTTGTTTTAAAATACTTATCATTAAATCAATTGACTGAATAAATACACTTGAAAAAAACTCAGCTTTCTAATCAAGAAACCTACAATCTGATCCACCAATAGGTCCTGTATAAGTGCCGTCTTCTGTAATCGCAATACCAAACATTTTTGAATCATATAGAAGTTGTTCAGTTTTCTCTTTTTCTATCCCATCTAACATGATCAATATTTTGGTGATATTAGCAATCACAAAACAATGTCCTTTTATATTGCCTTGTTCTGATAGTTTACTAACACGTAAACCATTTAAACGTAATACACCATCACTACTAGATAGACTAACATCATCAGCTAAATGACTTAATGATATAAGATTTCCATTGGAATCCATCAATTCCCAATTGTAGGAAAGTATTGCAGAGTTTACACCTTCTTTAACTGAAGAAGACAGTGAAAAAAATGAAACAAAATTGATAATCAATATCAGATAGATGTTAAAATAGTTGAAGATAATCAACAAGAAACACACTAACTTAGACTTTTATTGGTTAACAGTTATGGGGATCGTATATATATGATCTCAAGATAGATGTGTTAGGTCCCGAGAAACATGATGAATGGTAACTTAGGGATCCATTGATGGACCAATACTAAACGTATATTTCTATTGTATAATTATTAAGTAACTAAACTATTCATATTCATGTCCCTCTTATTATAAGCTTCATTTTGACCTATGAACCATTCTTGAGTTATACCCAGTATATTAATTACTGCCTCCATCATTCACAGCCATATCTGGCTAATTCTTGTACAAATGTTGTTCCATATTTTATTGGTACGTTGTGGTCTGTTTTATTGGTATATAAACAGAGTATATTTGAAATACATGATTCATATTGTAGAGGCTGAGACTTGTGTTCTGGACTTAACTGGCTGGGCTAGGCGGAACTCTAGGCTGGTCGCACGTGTTTTACTCATCCTTGGTCCAATCGATAATTCACTGCCCTCTAATCGGATATCACAAGTTATAACAGAATGTTAATAATATAGGCTCGGCAGATAAAAGTCTTTGTTGTCTTAGAATACATGTTGCACATGTTCTTGTCCTAATGTAAAGATCTCCAGGACATGTGCCCATCTAGTTGATAGATACAAGGCATCTAAATTTTACACTGTATTTCTAAACTACGAAAAGAATACATCATTTACACATCTTCCTCAAATTGTCTCATACAGAATTCATTGTTTTTTCATCCCTATTACTACTCGAACTGCTCCTGTCTTTCTTAATCTTCCTCTTCTGTTTGTCACTTTCATTAGGGATCATATTTCCGACTTTTGATACATACTACTTATATCTGTCCATATAAGTAGCACACATCACTTATAAAATTATTAGGAAAATGATACTAATTCTTGATATTAGTAATTGGTATCTATCTAACATTTTAAGTAGCATATCAATTTCATCAAATTGTAGCAATTTTTACAACTAGAGACCAAGCAATCTCCGACCACTAATTAGACAACTTGAGGTTGAGGAAATTGTAGTAATCTTAAAATTTCGTTTCCGATTGCGATCATGCACTGATTGATGTTAGACTATCACTGAAAACCTTCAGGCACCGGAAGGCCATATCATCCTATTGTGGGACTCCTCAGAAGTGCGCAAGCACGACCCCGATCGCGGGATTCGAACCCAGGGCGAGCGAATGTTAGACTTCTAGACTACTAGAGTCGGCATCCATTGGTACTAATGTCTAACCTCAAATTGTGCGACCATCTTTCATTTTAATGAGATAGATATCTGTCTCTACTCGGCACGGCTTAGCTCCACTGGTCACGGCTTCTTACTAGAACTCCGAGAATTCCCTCACGAAGCTAGTCACTAGTGAGCACATGATAATTATCAGTATGGGGTTGTGGAGATTATTAAGTTTTTGATTTTGTTTTCATCATTACAGATAAATGGCGATAGTAAATGACGAATGCTTAAAATGAGGAAATACATCAACAAATTCAATGAGATAAATGTGCACCAAAAGAATCTAGTCTGTTCTCTTCAACGAAGACTCAGTCATTCACGCATTATATTAAAAGTAAACAAAAAAAAGGTAATGAGATGTTTGTTAAGTTCACTAATCAACTGATTCTTCTATTATTGAATGAATACTAATTCGTACATTATACCATATACATTGAAAGTGTGAATTGAATCCTACCTTCAGCATTACAACTAAGTGTTTTTTCATCATTAGCCGCTCCAATCAAATTCCCGTCATCATTTAAACCGTTCACGGTGACAAGAACACGATCATCTGTATCTAGATAGAAACAAAATGACTTATCAGAATTATAGAAAATAAACAAGACATTAATTATTACTGTATGATGGATGGCAGCTATAATTTATGGACGAACCAATTAAATATAAGATAACAAGTCTTACATTTTGGCCAAATAGCATCTTGGCATTTTAGATGATGTCAGCTCGTGATGAAAACCTTAAATGTAATTCCTTACCTTAATCATCAATTGTGAATCATAATTCTTCTTCTTTAAACTGCTTTAGAACCTTCATTTAGCCCCAGTCAGTAGGCAGACACTATCAAAGTCACTTTTGCATTGCTCATAAGTTGTTCATAAATTATAGTCTCATCAAAATATCCAGTCTAAGTACAAATTTAATTGTTTCTTTCTACTCATGCACACAATAAACTGTATCCTAGTCACTTATAGATGAAATGAATAAGATAAATGAGAATATAATGCATAACATTTAACCTATCTAGAAAGAAGACACTTCAATATAATAGGACTACCAGTAGGGGTTTGGATTTCTATGGTAATACAATCGTCATATCAGTATTGTTATTATATTATTATTATCGTATACGTCTCATAGTCGGTTCATTTATCTAAACCCGACCTCATCTATACTGTACTGAAGATATTTAACATGTGTTATTGTAGATTACGGATAGACAAGTTGATTTATTTTTCTTCATTCACATTTTCACCATGTCAACTATTCGTTTATTCACCTTGACTGCTTTCATATGAATATATGTGTGTATGAGTATGTAGCGTGTAGTCGAGTCGCGGCTGACTATGAACACCACTACAGGAAGACTACGTGCCAGTTAACCGATAAAATCCCCCGTAAGCCAAATATCAGAAGGCAGTTGATGACTGTAGTCAAGATGTATTTGTTGGCGATCTCGTGGTATCGAAAGGATACCGAGATCGTGCCAACAGGAGTACAAGTATGGTTACCGAGCGTAACCGAACCCGTGCAAGGTCACAATCAATGGAGTAGTAGTAATATGGCTGTCTTTAGCATAGTTAAACAAACGAGCACAGTAAAACAATCACTGGTACGATTGGTTATAATAATGATTGTTTCCATTAAATCAATCGCGTTCTCTTGGTAAAAGTAGGTCACTACAAGTACATCACTTACTTATTCATTAAGTCTGACTGAAAATATTAAATCATGGTTGATCAAATGAAGTTGGCTTACTTGCCTTCTCTGCTTTGCTTCACTTTACTTACAATGGTTGACAGTATGTATACTTCGTTGAATGATGGATATAGAAGTTCCATTTAGGGAACTTAAAAAATTATGGACACTAGTGATCCTAAGGGAATGTATTCATTTTATTAGATAGATCAAACCAAAGTATTCGGTGTAAGGTCTTAATCTTCAACCCAGTTGTTCAAAGTAAGACATTTCAATCATTAATTCACTACTGTTTCCTAACAGAAACAAGAGTAAATATATATAGATTGATTGAATTCTTATTACACTATTCTTTTAAGTCTAATCTAATAAACTGATAACACGCTTAAGATTGAATGATTCAAAATATTTGGCAAATCATCACAGGAGTCTATGAGACCTTAATTGTCTTCACTCATTATCTTTAATAGCGATGTAAATACATGATGCTGAGGACTTCTACATTTTAGGCAGAGAAAGGTTCTATGATTTACTGTTCGATGCCAGTCTTGTGATAGAATGTAGTATCAAATTGAATGAATCTGTTAAATCATGAGATTAAGTCTAACAGTAGAGATTATCGACAAATACTTACCATCAGCTTCTTTGATCCCTTTCTGTTTGATGCTTTCTTCATATTCCTTCAGTTTTTCTACATCATCTAATGTTGGAGGTTTGCGTTCAGGTTCTATGATATCTTTCTCCAAATGAATTATGAAATCTGGTGAACTATCCCATTTATTTGATCCTTTATAAGAAACTTTACATCGTCCTTTAACAGTACCAGATAATGAATCTAGATTAGTGATTGTTAACTGATTTTGTATAAATTGAAAATCTCCTTTTGGATGATATACCCCAGGCTCTTGGAAATCCCATATATAGATGATATTTTCAGCTGGTTTTCTTGTTGTCATATCTGTTTATGAGAAAAGTGTCGTTAAAAAAAAGCTGAAATACAATTTATATTGAACATGAATATGTGGGTACTGGGATACTGCCCGGATACCCAAACCGAAGTAGATGTTTCTTTAAGGTGCCCCATTCCCGATCCTTTAAACTAATGATCTAATCCACAAGGCAGTGGAGCAACATTAAGAGATGCAATCACATGGTAGCCGGTGACCACCGATTGGTTCATACACCATTTGTTCTTCTTAGGATCCTGGAACCCATTTGCACGATTGATTCGGAATCAGAGTTTTCTAACTCCCATAGGTGGACTCTCCGTATCCACCAGCTCGGTTAAAACGCTAGATATTCGATTTTCGTCCTCTCAATGTCGTAAACAACACCCTGGTTGTGAGAAGGCAGTGAGTAGGAGTTCCCTGACAGTGGTTAGAGCATTTCGAGAGAGTGTGAACTCTCCCCACTCTCGGCCATACCAGGGCGTCTGGGGGCACTTTTTCACTGAAACCATGTACCTAAGTTTCTTGCTAATTGACACTCGTCAGCAAAGTGTACCGTTACGGATTCGAACCTGTGTCACTCAGTTTCACAGTTACAGATGTTACCACTGAGCTATCCTGGTGGCTTATTTTCTTTAAAGTACGGACAATGTTGGTTTATTTTATTCTATAAAAACACTGATTGTAACCAATCAGAAACAACATCGGCATATATTGAAAGCTGAAAAAAACAAAGCTTATGTATTGTTACTTGTAAGTGGTTTAATCATATGGTTGTTAAATGTAAGGACCTAATATTTTTATCAATCTTTGTTGACATCTTGTACAGATTGTCTTCTTTAGGCCAGGATCCATATATCTGCGGACTGCCTAAATATTTGGACTACTTGTTCCTACCATCTGGATATTTCACCAAGATATCGGTTTTCTGCCTGTTGGTTTTAACATATCATTATATCTATGAATCACATAACCTAATCAGGTGCGTTTATGAAAAATTTACGACATTTCACTGTACAAGTTACAAAAGAGCCCACTTAGAGACAATGTGGTTGCTGGCAATATACATCAAAAAGAATGTACATTATTCAGATGTTGATTCTTGAACTGCTAGCATCTAACTTAAGATCATTCAATATTTATTGCAAGGATCGATTACGAAATAAGTAAAGGAAACTTGTTGAAATACTTCTAGTTTCTGGGTTCGAGGTTGGGTGTGAACATCAACATTGGGATTCAAGAACACAGCCGATAGGTCCCAATTACTAAGAAACGTGAGTCCTAGATCCCATAGTTATCACAATCGAACATTATATCTATTTTACATTGAGCGAGTACCAATCGACTCCAATCAAATATATTTCATTTTCCTGTTCTAGTCATTGATCAATAAGAATATTATTAAAAGTAGCTTAAAAATAATACACTACTTAAATGAACTGACAATGGGACACTAAATCCCTGACAGGTTGACCTGAACTGGAAATATGAGAATCGACATTATATCTATACAACTTAATTTAGTAAGCCAGGTGGGTGAGACTCCAAAGTGTGGACGAACCAATCAGGTATAAAATAGCAGGTCTTAGAGTTTGGCGCGAAATTCACTCATCCATTTGGCTAAATAGAGTTTTGGGAGTATAGCTTATGTCAGTTCATGATGAAAACTCCAAATCTTATTCCTAATCCTAACCACTAAATGTAATTCAAAATGCTGATTCCTCATACGGGTTTATAACACTTATTTCGTTCTAGTAATTAAGCGGTCACCTTCAAGGTCACTCTCGTGAGCGCTCAAAGGTCATTATAGTCTCACCAATAAAATTATCATATCATAAATAACATACCAATAGCAGAACATTCCAGTGAGACGTTATCTCCTTGTTTAATTTGAAGTTGACCATCTTTGTCTAGACCATGTACAGTAATCAAATATCTAGGAGTGATCACTAAAATATACAGAAAAGAACAAACAGATTGAAGTTAACTCTGGACATTATCAACTTTCGTTTTATTGAAAATGTAATTTTTTTAAAATAAACTGTTTAAGATTTATCAGGGGGTGGGAGAGATTTGGCTCTGATATTCACACACTAAGATCTATTCAGTTCATCTACAACTTAGGACCAGGCACATATATCTACCAATCCATGTTGTCATACTGAGATCTACTGCTGAACAGCTTAGTCGAAATATGCTGAAAGCTTGTATTTGAAAAGAGATACTATTGGAGATACTCGTTATCTAAATGGGATTGAATTTCTTAAAATCATCAACGGAATAGCGTTTATCTTACGTTCTCTACTTTATTACGGCAGAATACGATAGACAACTAACGGCACTTGAACGTGTAGAACCTTACAATCGCAGTCTTATATTTAAAAAGAAATTGCATTTTAGATTATGAAAGTATTCACTGTGACTAGTGGAACTAATCCGTGTCGGGTAGAGACAGGTATCTACCTCAGTAAAATGAAAGATGGTCGCACAGTTTCACGTATTGGTTGAGGTTAGACATTAACATCATTGGATGCCGACTGACTCAGTGGTCTAGATGTTAAGCGTTCGCGTGCGAAACTGGAGGCCCTGGGTTCGAACCTCACGAGCGGAACCCTGGATGTGTACTGCTGAAGAATCCCACAATAGGATGAAACGGTCGTCCAATACATCCAGGTTTTAAATGATGGTCCAACATCAATGGCTTCATGATCTCAATCAAAAACTTAATAGTCTCCACAATCCCATACTGATAATTTCATGACCAACTGTCAATTGAACATTCTTATCAACATCAATTGAAGCAATCCATTATCTCATTCCATCATTATATTGTTAAACTAGCCTTTACAAGTCATAGTAACATTCGATGCAATAACATTTTATAAGAGGAAAATTCCTGAAAAAAACTAGTGTCTATACTTTAAATGAGAAAGAATCATCTATGATAATAATCAATGAATTACCTGGAATAACTTCTGATACTTCTTCATCAGTTTCAGTAACTAATCGATAATATGGTGATGTATAAATTGATGTACCATTTGATAAACGACATCTTAAATAAGCTCCATCTTTTTGAGTTAAATCATCATTTAATAAAATCGATAAATAACCATCAGGTGATTCTTCTAATTTAGAAACTAATGGACCTAGTGAACCACGAATAGGTGATGTTGTTGATGAGGAGGATGATGAGGATATTTCATATTGAGTATAATAATAATCCCATCCATAATTTAAATCATCTATTCGGTCACCAGTTCGAGCGTCTATGAAGTTCATATTAAAAAGATAAATCAAAAATAAAATGGGCAACTTTAAATGATAATATGGAAAACTTTTAACAATTTCTAAATGTATAACTTTAACCTTATTGTTTATCATTATGGTGTGAGTTATTTATATCCACATAAGTAGTATATAACGGTATGTGCTTTGCACCTTCGAAGTGCAAATTACTTCTACAAGACTGGCAGGATTTTAATCCTGTACTCACCCTGGATGGTGAGCAGATAGAAGTAGTCGAGAAGTTCGTGTATCTAGGTAGCTACATAAGTGCTGGTGGCGGCGTGAGTGATGAGATCAATGCACGTATAGTGAAAGCCAGAGCGGCTTATGCCGATCTGGGCCACCTTTATAATGTCAGTCTGGTTGTAAAAGGTCGGAGCTACAACGCGTCAGTGAGAGCAGTTCTGTTCTATGCTTGTGAAACATGGCCTCTCCGAGTTGAGGATTTTAGACGACTCTCTGTGTTCGATCATCGTTGTGTCCGAAGGATTGCAGACATCCAGTGGCAACACCTTGTTATTAATGCAGAGGTTCGGGATCGTGTGTTCGGGCACAGAGAGAATAATCCAATTGGTGCCACCATCCTGAAACATCGACTTTGGTGACTTGGACATGTTCTACGAATGTCGTCCCAGAGAATTCCACGTCGTGCATTATTTGCCGACTCTGGGACTGGTTGGAGAAAGCGAAGAGGTGGTCAGTGTATGACATGGTGTTGTGGTATGAAAAGAAGCTGCAAAGGGCTGGCTTGTGTTGGTCCTTCACGACTCCCTGGCTGGGGTCTTAGTGATGGTGCGACATAGTGGCTAGAGACGTTATCAGATATGGCTCACAATAGAAGCCAGTGGCGATCCTACTGTAACCTTCTTTTAATTTCTTCATTAAAAAAATGGTTGTATCCTCCTTAACTGAAAGAATTCTTTCTGGTTGTACCTTTCGGTTTACTCCATTATTATTATTATTACACCACCTTACACTAATCAATTCATTTTTTTCTTTTTTTCTTTCTCTTAGGATTCTCATTGTTTTGTGTGGTGCATATATATTTGGTGCCCTCTTGTACCAATATTTATGTGTTCAAATAATAGTAACAATAATAATAATACAACAGCATGAAAGGGTGGTCAGGCGTAGAATGTATTTCAGTAGAAGACTGATAAGGAAAGAACAGAAACGGAACGCAATTGGTATGAAAATGCATGAACAATGAAATCTGAGACAATGGACTGATGGTTAACAACAGGAACAGTCAAGTTTGAGATGATGGATCGATTGATTGATTGGCGATTTTGTCATGTGATATTTGACGAACCATTAGAATATGATAGGTTGATTTACCGTTAAATAAAATATCTTCTAGCCCCATAATGCTTGATATTGTCAAGGATGGGAAAAGTCTAATGTATAGCTTAATTCTATTATCAACTTTACTCCCAAATACTTGGTTTCAGGTGTCTACTTTGTACTCATTTTTTAAATTATATTGTGACAATTTTTACACTTCAATATCCTTAACAGTTATCAACTAACTCCGCTTGGAGCCCGTCTGAGACTACTGCCGGTTCCAAGCCCAGATAAAGAAGGAAGGTTGGACATAAGGTTAGCAATCCAATCCTGTAGAAAACGAACTCGCTAAAAAAATAAACACTAACCAGAAAAAAAATAATTCATACGTTACCAACTTATGTAATTATTAACCGATTTGTTCAATCATTGATTTCAAGTTTCACAATCATTTATTACTGTACTTTAGTCGACTTTCAAGAATCTTTTAAATAAGAAATATGTAATGAACCTGGGAACTATTTACATTAACTAGTTACTAACATCATTTATGATAAAATAAGGAAACATGGATGAGCTATTGAGATATCAACATGGTGTTCCTCCTTAGGGAGGTACAATTGACCTTGAAAAATATTGAAATCAATATTCGTCTGGCTAGAATCTCTGTCTGGTAAGCGTTTTTTCAGCGAGTTAGTTTTCTACGGGATGGGGACGCTAACCCCATGCCCAACCCCCCTCCTTTACCCGGGCTTGGGACCAGCAGTAACTCTAGAAGAGCTACAAGCAGAGTACAAGTATTCACAAATAAGTATTTATAAATAGCTGTTTTTGCAAGATACTCAATATCTATTGGACGGATACCATCAGCAACAGTCTTTTGTGGGAGAGAACAAACCAACTTCCAGCTGAAGAAGAAATTAGGAAAATACGATGGAAATGGATAGGACATACATTACGCAAATCGTCAAACTGCATCACGAGGCAGGCCCTAACTTGGAATCCTGAAGGGAAGCGAAAAAGAGGAAGTCCAAATAACACATTACGTCGAGAAATAGAAGCAGATATGAAAAGGATGAATAACAACTGGAAACAGCTGGAAAGGATTGCCTAGGTCAGGGTTGGATGTAGAATGCTGGTGAGCGGCCTATGCTCCTTCACGTGGAGTAACAGGCGTAAGTAAGTAAGTAAGTAGAATCTCTGTGTTACTTTTCAATAATCGATTTTCTCTTTCAGTAGAACCATTATACAAAACAATGTAATTATGTTACCATTGGATAATTACACTATATGAAGACCATATGTTTTATACTGTCTTCTAATGGATAAAAGCAATATATAACGATTGTAATCATTAGCAAACTTGATTATGATTTAAGATATGCTTGCATAACGTAAACGTCAACATACGATGTCATCTTTAAACGACTTACCAATACCAATACAACGAATCGTTTCAGATTCACCAGATTTCAATAAAATTTTACGATCCGTTGGTGAAATATCCACTAAACGTACCAGTATACGACCATCACCTTTGTTAAAAAAAGAGTAATTTCAAATGTAAATTTCAGAGTTTTAATGCATTATACAGATATTATTAAATGGTAAGTTTATGGGTTCTTCGCACACGCAAAAACAAATCCAAAGGAAGACGACCAGTGTAGCATCAGCCTCACCAGCAGTAGGTCTCAACATACACAATGGGAAAACCAAGATTCTCCGATCGAACATAACATGCAACAATCGAATCACAATTGACGGAGAAGATTTGGAAGATGTAAAAACCTTTACATATCTGGTCAGCATCATTGATTAACACGGTGGATCCGATGCAGATGTGAAGGCGCGGATCGGCAAAGCAAGAGCAACATATTTACAACTGAAGAACATCTGGAAATCAAAACAACTGTCAACTAATACCACGGTCAGAATTTTCAATACAGAAATCAAGACTGTTCTACTGTATGAGACGGAAACCTGGAGGACTACTAAAGTCATCATCCAGAAGATACAGGTGTTTATTAACAGTTGTCTACGTAAAATACGTCGGATCCGTTGACCAGACAACCTACTGTAGGAGCAAACAAACCAGATCCTAGTGGAAAAAGAAATCAGGAAGAAGTACTGGAAGTGGATAGAACATTATGCAAATCATCAAACTGCATCACGAGGCAAGCCCTAACTTGGAATCCTCTAGAAAAGCGGAAAATAGGAAGGTCAGAAAACACATTACGTCGAGAAATATAAGCAGATATGAAAAGGATGAATAACAACTGGAAACAACTGGAAAGGATCACCCAAGACAGGGTTGGATGGAGAATGCTGATGAGCGGCCTACTCTCCTTCACAAGGAGTTACAGACTTAAGTAAGTAAGTACCCTAAGATTTTACTTAGATTGTACATACTAGTGAATATAAGTTATTTTCGTTATAGATGTTGTCAAACACGTTTGTTAAACAGTCAGTCTCACTTTAATTACTTAACCAATAGCAAACGTTGTTGACTTTTTAAAAGAATAGTTCATCTTTTAGGTATCTTGAAGTTTCAGCTTGATAATAAATCAGTTGAAAAGAGGTCTCCTCACTGAATTCCTCGCTTTTAACATTGACATTTGCATAGATAATCATCATCATAAAGAAGGAAACAGTAGATAAGTAGGATGTGGGTTCAGCTAAGACAATTAAGGTCGGCGTTATGAATGATCATCAGTTGACAAAAAAGATGACTAAATCAATAAATCTTACCTTCAACATCCACCTCTTTAGGTAAAGTGGATACTTTAATTTTAAAGTAATCCGATCGATAAATCTGATTACCCCGATAAATTATACATCTTCCATGAATATCGTCACCAAATGAATTAAGTGATTTCATTGAATAGAATTGAAGTTTATTCGATTCTTGCATAACTTGATCAGCTAATATACCCAAATTAATAATCGCTCCATTTGAACGTCGTATATCCCATCCGATAATTACATCTTGAACTGTTTCATCAGTGTTCGAATCTGGAAAAGAAAAAAAAAGTGGAAATGTTGATTGAAAATGGAAGGAAATAAAGAAATACAATATTCTAGTTGATGATGAAGACATTTTCTGGGGTGGAATGTCTTTCAACAAAGTTCAATCATGTCTAACAATAGAATTTAGGATACATCCTCGATCCTATTCAAGAAACGTTAAATGAATATACCTGCATCCAAATAAATCTTCACGAATAATGGGCTTTAAGAATGAACAAGGTACTGGTAGATAACCTAATAATGGAACTATTTATGTTAGTCGTAAATACAACAGATATGACTGTAATACAGTAATGCATTAAATATTCAATGTCAGGTAATGAGAGGAAATCTCCAAGAGACTGTGGACTTAGATTTTTTTAATACTCATGAAGTGATGCTTTTTATATTTGTCAAAGACTAGACAAATATTAAGGTGAATAATAATCAACGTAAAGAAAGACAGTTGTAGCTTGACTGAGGTTTTCACGATGACTTAAATATATGATGGTTAGCAATCAGGGAGTGAAATTTCAGCTGTGAGTGATTAATCTTAACTCCAAATCAAAATTATTTATCATGATCTGAATTAAAAGCTTTCAACATTGGAAGTAGGAGATTGGACTTAAAAAACATAAATAGATTGATATAAAAATTATCAGAAGTTTCGTTTGTACGGTAGAACATGTTTGGTAGCACTGAGCAACAAAACTAGGATGTTTGGGATGCATTTCTTTCTTTCTAAATCCAAGTCGTTGCTTCAGGACTGGTCTGCGTCAACACTTGAACTAAGGATAAGGACTGAAGTAGTCGAACGCATCGATAACATCACTTATCTTTGAAGTTTGATCAGCTCTAATGTGTTGGTGTTTGAAGAAATCTCTGCACGGATTCGAAAAGCTCGTTTGACTTTTGCCAACTTACGTCATCAATGGCGAAGGCGAGATATCCGTCTATCATTTAACGGACGAGTATACTGAGCTGTAATTCATTCTGTTCTACTTTACGGCTGCGAAAGGTGGCTATTAAGGGTAGAGAATACTCGTAAGCTACTAGTACTTAATCACAGTTGCCCTAGAAATATTGCGCGCATCTGCTGGGATCACCAGGTAAGTAATAGTGAGGTTAGACTCAGGGTATTAGGGAATGATGGTAAATCACTGGATGACGTTGTAAGTCTTCATCGACTGAGATGGTTGGGCCACGTGTTACGTATGTCTGAACACCTATTACCACGACGTGGAATGCTGACTAGTGTTGAGGACGGTTTGAAGGAAGTTAAGGGCGGTCAAACCATAAAGTCACTAACTTCTAATCTGAGCCATTTTGCTAGATGCAGACTACTTGATTGGGGTCCACTTGACTATCGTAACTAATGGGTGGGGACTTTGGGTGACATAGTTACCAACTAATTCTTTCTTCCTGTACTTTGAATGAAGTGATGAAAATAGAAACTGACCAATAAATTTGGAAAAACTACTAAATTCTTTTCAATATTACGAACTTTGGTATGCAAACAACAGAGCTGTTGTCTTAAATTTATATAGACACCCGTTTATATATAAAAAGATTGATGTAAATACATTGTATGTAGAAATGAGAACCATAAATTAGGACAATATTTATAACATTCTCTATGACGATAAAAATGAACTCACCAACAGCTGTACACATAATACTCGCATTTTCACCAAGCTGAGTTGTAAATGTTCCATCTGGTTTTAAACCATCAATTTTCACTTTGATCAAACTTCCTTTAACTGAAGAATAACGAAAAAATAATAAACATGAACCAAATCATCTTTATTCACAGGATTAGAAAGTGAAGCTTATTCAAGCTCCGAAATTACTTAATCTCTTGAGACAGGTATGAAGGATGGTCGCGCAACTTCGTGGATTGGTTGATGTTAGACATTAACCCCATTGGATACCGGCTCAGTGGTCCAGTAGGTTAAGCGTTTGCGCGCAAGACTGACGGCCCTGGGTTCAAATCCCGTGAGCAGGACCGTGGATGCGCACTGCTGAGGAGTCCCACAATAGGAAGGAACGGCCGTCCAGTGCTTCCAGGTTTTCCATGGTGTTCTAGCTTAAAATTGACTCATGATCTCAACTGTTGAAATTACTACAATCTCCACAAGAACCCATTCTGATACTATATCTTATAATTATCAACGTTTTAAAAATGATATTTAGTTATGTTTACTTGCTATTGAATGTTTTGTACATAAATGTATCCGTTTTTAGTTTCTTATTATTCATTCATTGGAGAATTAGTGTTGATAACTTGAATTTCGTGAATAATTATTACTTAAAAATCTGTTAGCTGTAAATTTGGAAGACTATTTAAGAACACCAATAAGTTGCATGTTACCTTTTCAATTAAACTACTACTTGTATAACAAATCAAGGATAAGATAACGCTAATGGATTCTTTGACGTGTATATTATCGACTTCACTACTCTTGCGGAGCTTGATATAAGTTACTTACTTACCTACGCCTGTTACTCCTCGTGAAGGAGCATAGGCCGCTCATCAGCATTCTCCATCCAACCCTGTCCTGGGCAATCCTTTTCAGCTCCTTCCAGTTGTAATTCATCTTTTTCATATCTGCTTCTATTATCCGACGCAATGTGTTCTTTGGCCTTCCTCTTTTCTGTTTCCCTTCAGGATTCCAAGTTAGGGCTTGCCTCGTGATGCAGTTTGATGATTTGCGTAATGTATGTCCTATCCATTTCCATCGTCTTTTCCAAATTTCCTCTTCAGTTGGAAACTGGTTTGTTCCCTCTCAGAGGAGGCTGTTGCTGATGGTATCCGTCCAATGGATGTTGAGTATCTTGTGTAGACAACTTTTTATAAATACTTGTACCTTCTTGATGGTGGTTGCATTAGTTCTCCACATTTCAGGTTAATACAGTGGAATTGTGTTGACGTTGGTATTGAAGATTCTCACTTTGATATTAGTTGACAGGCAGTTGTTTCGAGTTCCATATGTTCTCCAGTTGTAGGAACGCGACCCTTGCTTTTCCAATCCTCGCCTTTACGTCTGCATTTGAACCTCCTTGTTCATCGATGATGCTTCCCAGGTAGGTGAAAGATTCTACATCTTCCAGAGTTCCGCCATGAAGAGTGATTGGATTGCTGTTCTCCGTTTTAAATTTGAGGAACTGGTTTTTCCCTTTTGTGTATGTTGAGGTTTACTGATGCAGCTAGTTATATATAACCTATAATCAGATGACTTTATTCTTACGTGCTCATGAATATGGTTGTGAAAGAAAGTCAATAAACATATATCATCGGAGCTATCATTTCTCACTTGGTTACCAGCGCATACCCTATTAAAATATGAGAAGTGTTTTCATTTTTTTAATATATTTTTTTATTATCGAATTCTGAATAATCTAAGCAGATAAGCTATTTTAAGTCCTTCCTACATAGAGGAACCAATCGAGATCAATACTAGAATCAATAAAGGTATATTTAACTTGGGCTCACAATTGAACTTATAGTATATTGTAAACCTTTACCTCAACCAAATCCCTTTTATATGTTGTTCGTTGTCTTATCTCAATTCACATAATAACACTGATTACATTAATAGTGTTTCAATCATTAAAGGTAACTATGGTAAATATACTAAATATATTAACTTACTATCAACTTCTTCACCAGTTCTTGTCGATGTACCATCACTTCGTCTTACATCCATTCCAAAATAATCTGATGTATATAATTTTGGTGAAGAAGGCTTTTCATCTGGTATACTTGGTCGTTTACTAACAACAGCGGTACATCTAATTTTAAATGGTAAATTACCACGATTTGGTGCAACTAAATCTCTTAAACGTAAATTTCCTGATGAATCCATTGATACACTATTGGCGAATAAACTAGAATCTACTGAACGACCAGTTACATCAGAAAATTCCCATCCATACATCACATCATATTCTGCTCGTAAACCTTCTGTTGATAATCGTTGTTTAGTGGTACGATCTAAATTAGAATATAATAATCATATAATAAGTGAACAGATTGAGATAGAATGAAATTTAGACTCATCTCAACTAAGAACACAATGTAATGAGAATCGATTATGTGTGAACTTCGAACCAATCACATGATGAGTTTACTGACAATTAATCAAGTTCCTTTTTAGAGAAAATGAAAGACAATAGGATTGAACCAAATCAATAATACTGCAATCTCTTGACTTTACCACGGTAACCATTGTTATCATAGCCTTACATATATCAATATTATTATGACCTAAATAATATAGCGATACCATGTAATCCACATCTGTACTTGTTGATTACTATGGCATGTAAAATACTATGTATGGTATGATGTTAACACATTGAAATGTTATTTCCTGGGAAATACAAGTCCTCTTGAGAGCTTAATTTTCTCTCTTCGATGACGATTTTGATATCTCAGTTTGGGAATTCGGAACTGTTGAATAATAGTGTGGGCTGTTCCAACAGTATCAAGTTAGTAAACCTAGCACTATTATTAGCATCACGTGAAGTTATGGCAATTTTCATTTGATTATATCAATCACTTGTATTCACATCTTAGTCCAAGGTCAATGTTAGAAATTATGAGCGAGACGCGCTATTAAAAGAAATTGACTACATTTTGATATGCTTGAATGCTATTGCGAGCTCACCTTACTCGGTAAACGGAACGATGGTCAAAGATACAGTGACACGATAGGCTGATAACTAGATGATCGATCAAGAAGTCTTGATGAGGCATAGAGAATGTATTCTACAAGCACCCAGAAAATACGAGATCACTAAACACACAAATCAAGCTTATTTATACTATGATAGGAACGGCCTTGGGAGAGCCACAAAATAGCGTACTAAAAAATTCCGTCAACCAATGGCAGTCAAGGATTTCCGAGTGGTAAATGTAAGCTGTTGGTCAACTCTTGGCGCGAGAACATAAAATTCAAATCTTCAAAACGAAAATTACAAAATTAGGACTTTTTCCAAGTGAGTTCTATGGATCCAACATCTTTAACACATTTCTAATCAGTGCTTCAACCTGTGTGTTCTTTTTTCGACTTATCGGTCGCCGATCAAAGTTTCTTAGTCATTACTCAATCTTATATTTATCATAGCTGATTTCTTTAAACGTGTAAGAAGTGTGTTTATCTGAATCAGATATGGTAAAATGTAATAGAAAGCCGTTTTTACTACTTACTTCTAGCTTCACATACAACACTGGCGCTTTCTTTTTCATTGCCAACTAAATAACCTTCATTATCTAATCCATCGACAGCTATTTCAATATTATCTAAATAAAGAATAAAAGAATACGATTTTAATGATAGGAAATAACAAAAATTCAGTAGATTCCAAAAATATGTAGTTTTTTTAGTCTAAGACTATTAATCTTATTAAACTCCACCTGGAACCCTTATGGGACTACCGGCGGTCTCAAGGCCGGATAAAGAAGGAGGATTAAGCATTCGATTAGTGACCCTAACCCGTAGAAAACTAACTCGCTAAAAAGACACTAACCAGAAAGAGTATTTAGTTGATACATTTTACACACTTCATAGCTTGACATGTTCACTGGATATACAAATAGGGAGGGGGTAATAACTTATTTACTCATAGTGTGTAGCAATGCTATTCAAAACCTCTATGGGATTCCCTAAAAAAAATCAGTTTCTTCAGCTTCGCTAACAAAAGTTTTGTTGAGTTTGCATACCTAAATGGTTTGCTTGAACTCAGTTCATTAGTAATTATCTAAACAGTAAATCAGTAGTTGGAATATAAAAACGATCATACCAGTACTATGTTTTTATTAACAGAGAACATTAACAATTTTCCTGACTTTGTGTTAACGCTTACAGTTTTCACAACTTTTATTGAAATATCAGAAGGAATTTTCACGAATCGGGATCGTGGATGCGCACTGTTGAGGAGTCCCACAATAGGACGAAACGGCCGTCTATTGCTTCAAGGTTTTCTATAGTGTTCTAGCTTTGATTGACTCATGATCTCATTGAAATGTTTGTTTCACTTCAATAGGTGTTTGATTCAGTTTACCACCCTCTATGAAGAACTTTTAACACCTCATAATGTGCAAAAGCGTTTTTTCAATCTTTCATAGAAATATAGTTAGCACAATTAGAGTGATAATTGGATAGACCATATATACAATTGTCTTTAATGTTAAGCTCATAGTCCTTTGAACAAAACATGTTTTAATAAAACTTTGGTTTGTTAATATTTCAAACATTCTTATTAATTTACTCACCTGATTCTCTTCCTGGGATCGGAATTAACTGTGGATCAATAGTTGTTGGTTTTCTTGCAACATCTATTGAAAAGAAATCTGAACCATAGACCAATTCATCACTAACTGATAATGAAGGATCAATTTGTTGTGCTGGTACATGAACAATACAACGTCCTTTAACATTTCGTCCTTTAGTACCAGGTGGTGGACGTATACCACGTAATCCTAAACGATCACCATTTGTTTCTAAGCTTACTGCTATATTACTAGTTGAAACTGGATCTTCATCAGTGTAACGCCATTCCCATCCATAACGTATACCATGTGTTGGATATAAAGGTGAACTAGTATCTACTACAATTGCTTGACATCTTAATGTTGCATCATCTCCAACACGTGTAACACTAATTTGATTTTGTTCATTTAATCCACTAATTTCAACTCGAACTCGTTTATCTGAATATGATGGACTAATTGGTATATGAGCTTGAAAAATTCAAAGAATAATGAAGAAGATCAGAAAGAAATATGAATGAATTTTTGAAGTGTTGAGAAATGGAAGACCAATTTTAATTATAGTAATTTGTCGTCGTGGAGGAGCATAAGTCGCTCATCAAGACCCTCTGTCGAATCATTTTCACTCCACAGGAATCAAAATACAATTAGATATAATTTAGTACTTTTCATTATTCTGGATAATTGATTTTGATCTCAGTAGTCTGATGGTAACTAAAAGTAAATTATGGGTTCAAACAGTGGTTCATCTATTTTGATTTGGGATCCGTCTAGTATTTGTATCCCTTATACAAAGAGTATAAGTCAAAGCCAACTGGAAAGAACGGGTTATAGACACATAGTATTATTATATAAATTATCTTCGTTTTAGTAAATGCCATTGTATCTAATCAGAACATCAAACTATACCTTAGATACTTCTCATCCAATACGTACTAATGATCAACCTAAAGATAATGAGAAACTGCAAGAAAACATAATCTTTAGAAGTTCCATTATTTAACGATTATTCATAAATCTAGTCTTCCATCATACTATATTCTACGACACACACCATATGATAATCTGTCTTGTAAAAGGAACATTCGAAACCTGGATGGAAAAGGAAAAGAGGAAGATCATAAAACACATTGAGTCAGGAATTGAAAGCAGATATGAAAAGAATGAATAGGCACTGGTAACAACTGGAATGGATCACTCGGGATAAAGCTCGATGGAGAATCCTTGTTGGCAACCTATGCTCTTCCTCTAAGGGTAGTAAGCGTAAGTAAGTAAATAAGCAAAAGAAACATTTAAAATTAGAAAAATGAAACCTACAATTGAACTCATTGTAAATCTTGAAGAATACCAAGAAGGTATCTCTAATAATTTACTAGATATCTTTGTCTAAAATAGCTTTACAATACATTCTGATAATCTTCATCTTCTTATTACACTATCGACATTAATATACAGGAACTTATGAGAACAAAGGGAACTGTCTTAATGGATTTATAATTCATCCATAATCAGGTTATCAATGGTTAACTTATTTCTTGAATAAAAAACTCCTTATTTAAATTCACTTGGTATTGTTTGTTTGAGTCTTCTTATTGATGATTAGGACTGAAATTGATCAGTCTCTTATTGACATATGTGTATACTATGTATATTGCCTTAATTCACAAGCATGTGGCTATCAGGATTCAATGGTTTGAAACAAACGATACTGGGTTCGAGTCCCGGAGTGAACATCAAATATAAAATGCAGGTACAGCTAGATAATGGTTCAAAACTAGGACGAAACACGCATCCTTGATTTCATTGCTAATCACTATTTATATTTGCTTATAACTCCTTATTTAGTTATGATTATTCATGAACACAATCATCATCATTGTATATACGATGCTCCCATTTAGGATGAATATTAAATTACATTTAAGAGAGAGTATATTATTAAACCAACTCCGTATAGAGCCCTTCTAAGGCTACTGACGGCGGTAAAGGGAGAGGGTTAGACATGAAGTTAGCGACCTCATCTCGTAGAAAACTAACTCCCTAACAAAACGCTAACCAGAAAAAGATTATTCAAACCATTTAAACTCCGCCCTGAGAGTTAAAAGAATTATGATGTCTTATAGTAGAAACCAAATTCCTTCGAGGCCACGAGGATGATAAAATGCTAATACAATGTGGAAGATCGACGAGACTCTATTTTATGGACGAGCCAATCGGAAGCGTTTTAGAGATTTCAAGGTTACGGAGCTAACTTCAGTGCTTAATGATAACGTACGATCGGTTCACAGGGAATTTTGTACAAAACGTATTAATTGAGCGGCTTTAACAAATAAAACGGCGGGACTATAATTTGTTGGCGAACCAATCGGTATACAATAGTAGATGTCAGATTTTAACGCCAAAGCCTTTCATCCATTTGGCTAAATAAATTTCTGTCATTATAACTGATGTCAGATCGTGATGAAAACCTCATATATAATTCCTAACTAAGGCAAATTATGACAATTATTGCGAACTGGATAATAAAAGCACCATTAACACTGACTACTACAATATATACGAATGTTTGGAGAGTGTACAGACTCCTACATAGGTTTGGTTATGTGCATCGTGTCGATATCCACAAGTAGCATTTTGTGCACTCAACAACCTGAATGCACGTAAACGATTTTGAAGCTATGAGGTTGAGGCTGAAAGACTTTTTGAGACTTTATTATGACTCCAGAGGCCGACTATTCTGTGGCCATATAGATGATTTCCTCTAGAATTTTAGAACCTCTGAACGTCTTTCTAACCATGACAAGTTTTTGAACCACGTCTAAGAAGTGTATCCACTTTATTTCCTTGGTTTTGTATGATGTATTTTTACTCTATACTGACTGTTTGCTGATTGGCTAATATTTCTCAAAGTCACTTAAGATTCGTTGAAAGGTCGTCCATAAATTAGAGTCTCACCGGAAGATCTAGAAAGTCATCCAAATTGCTGAGGAAATGAGAAACTGTATATTTATGAAAACCTTAATGATGAATTTAGAAAATGTATTCAATGAAATATTCATTACTTACGTGATACACTATCTCCAATGACATGATATTTAAAATATGGTGAACTCAATGTGACTTTTTGATCTAATGTTATCATACAACGACCACGTGAATTTGGATTTTCATATAAATTTGTTAATTGTAATTCATTATCAGCATTTAATTGAACAATCGAAGCTAATTTACCAATTGGTATTGTTTCTTCATAATCATTCATAAAATTCCATCCAGTTGAAACATTTGGAATTGGTTCTTTAGTACTAGCATCTTGAAAACCAAAAAAACAAAAAACAATTCTTTCAATGTAGGGGATGTGAGTGGTTGGATGGATCCAAAATGAGTATCAGAAGAGGTTTTGTGGATATTGTATTAATGTCAATAGTTGAAACCATGAGTTAATCGAAGCTAGACCACTATGGAAAACCTGGAAGCACTGGACGGATAACTCGTCCTATGGTGGGACTCCTCAGCAATGCACATCCACGACTACGCCTTACGGGATTCGAATCCAGGACCTATCACTCTCACGCCCGAACGCTTAACCTCTAGACCACTGAACTGGCTGTCATCCAATGGTGTTAATGTCTAACTTCAACTAATCCACGAAATTGAGCGACACATTCACCATTGTCTTCAGTCAGGTACTATCTCACAACTGACCTGGTTGAACTCCACTGGTCACTGGTTCTCACTAGAACTTCAGGATATACCTCTTGAACCCAGTCACTGGTGAGCATATGTTGATTCTTATCAGAGAGGGGTTTTGTGGAGATTGTAGTAATTTTAACAGTTGAGATCATGAGTCAATTTTAAGCTAGACCAGCATGGAAAACCTGGAAACACTGGACAGGCGTTTCGTTCTATTGTGAGACTCCTCAGCAGTGTGCTTGCACGAACCCACCTCACGGGATTCGAACCCAGAACCTCTCAGTCTACCATTGACTGAATAATGATTTCAACGAAGTTTTTAATTGATATTATTTCAGATCTAAATTATTGATCGTTGCAAGTGATTCTTTTGATTCAATTTCGGGAATAAAGTGAGTTAAAGATATGTATTCTGTTTCATAATAGAATTCAATAGATTTCTTTATAATCTATTGGATACTGAATATAACAAGACTATAATTTATGGATAAACTAATCAGAGATGAGATAACAGATCGTGGAATGTAACGCAAAATGTATTGATCCATTTGGCTCGCAAGGCGGGATCGTGGATGCGCACTGCTGAGGAGTCCCATACTACGACGAAACGGCCGTCCAGTGCTTCCAGGTTTTCCATGGTAGTCCAGCTTCAACTGACTCATGATTCCAACCTGTAAATAGAGTTTTGTCATTTTAGCCAATGTTAATTCGTGACGAAAATCCTATATCCAACTCCTAATATCCCAACCTTCACTACCAACTATAAATTGTAGTCCTAATTCCCCACACTAGTTTGTTAGTGAACAATAACACGGGCGGGGACAACACAAAAATTACGGACTATTTCAATAAAATCTGAATACCATATAGTAAATCGTCAATTTGCAAAATATCAATGCATCATATCAAACTGGACTGTTTCTGTTGCAAACACCAATCCATTGTCTCCCATTCCATTGTTCATGCGTTTTCTTACAAATTCCATTGTGTTCTCACTGTTCTTTTCTTGATCGTCCCCTCATCTTCTGCTCCCGGACATTATGTTCCTGACTCGCATAATATACTACTTACATCAATGTAAGTAGCACACTCCACAGTTTATTACCCTCATTTATCCCTAGTAAGTAGGAGGACATTTCAAATTCATTTTAGCGTTCCTCAAAGGTTGTCTATAAATTGTAGTCTTACTGATTTTTTTTATGATCTCAATTAGTGTATTAATTAGAGATATTAAAATGATGACAACTTTTACCGATTATAAGTTGGATAAATAAATACCATGATGATTAGATTGACTTAATACAATGAACAATTCAGTATAGGACGCCTTAGTAGTACGCATTCACGATCCTACCTGCGAGGACGAAATGGCTGTCCAGTGCTTCTAAGTTTTTTCTATGGCTGTCTAGCTTCAATTGACTCATGAATTCAACTATAAAATTACTAGAATCTCCACAAAACCCCATTCAGAGAATTGAGTATAGTTTGATTCGAAGCTAGTTAAGTAGTCATTGTAACAAACATTTTTAGTAGCTGTATGAGCCGACTTAACTTCTTACATCGGATTAATACAGAATTTTACATTAATCGTCTAATTAAATGATTAGTCTTAAATTCATTATTATCGGTTATTGATTCCTTAAAATTGATATAAAATGTCTGTACTTGTCGACAGATCACCTTTTCTTCAAATTATGGACGATAGTACAAGTACAAGCTCTGTCGTTTGTCACGTTGTCACAGAAACAGATAACGTATTCTTGAATACATTGTATCTCGTAGCGTTCTAATCACTTGAAGTGTTAAAGAACGACATCAGAACTTATGAAAGAGTGACGTATTGACAATATGCGATAAGAGATTCTCACTTTCATAGAGATCAGAAGCCTTATATAAAATTTGTATGTTGGAGAAATGACCATAGAACACCTAGCGGTTCATCAAAGCCGATTAGACCAACGACGTAATTTGATTAGTGCTATTATATTGTTCATGAAAGACTTCAATACACACTCAATGTCCGACCTTCATCTTTTGTAAGTTTATTAATGGTTACTGTACTGTTTGCTGTTCATGGGAATGTTCATCATAATCATAAGTGCGATTCCCTGAGGTACTTCACTAATTCTTGGATACGCAGATTAACGGAGGCTGATCACACATATCCCTCTTTCTAGCTTTCTGGTTGATTAAATAGCCCAGTAAATCATTCTCTTTCCCATTGATGCCTAAATCTTACTAACTAATTTAACATTTCATTCGGTTCTTTACTCAACTTTAAATTCATCTCTGTATCCACCACCTTTCTTATATTAGCATTTCTATTCGAATTCTCTTAGTTTGCTTGTGGCTTAGTGATTTGTACTATTTAATGATGAACTATACACAGTGCCAAACTGTTAAGATTTATTTATTAACACATCAAGATGATTGATATATGAAGCCTTAGAAACACTGTTGAAGAAGAAGATGAAGAATAAGAAGATAATGATGATGATGATGATGATCTCACTATAATCTAAATCTATTTCTAAAGAAAGTATATATGATTGAAGAAACCTTTAACTTACTCAATGCTAAACATTTTAATGAAATATCATCACCAGGTTTTGCAATCACTTCACCCATTTCATTTAAACCAACAATTCGTATAAGTACTTCATATCGTTCATTTGGTTTAGGTATATATCCAGGTATATCAGTAATAATTTGTGGTCCACCTTAAAGTAAATAATAAATAATAAACATAATTGAATCGAATCATTTTGATTGATTCATTCTTGTTAATGGTATCACATTGATGTTTATGCTAAACTAATTCAACTATGCAAATATATAGCCATGAATGAAATGAACCGAATAAATCTAGATAAATTACTGTCTAGGATAGGTTACATAATGAGAGATGTAGATATGATAGGGCTGTTGTCATTTTAAATGACTTGTTGATCTAATCAGGATCAAAATCATCGTCCATGTACTTCTGCTTACATAGGTTCAAGTGTATAAACATGACAGGTTTCCAAGAATTATTGTTTTGGGTTAGGGAGTAAAAACTTTCAAGATCGTTTTAATTCTTTCTACACTAGTAGACTGATCAAGTTAATGGTATTCAACTGAATGAGAGTACATGATTGATAAACAGTTCATAGTTATGCTTTCTACTTAGAACTAAATCAATATGTATTGTTTCCAAGTACTTTCATATTTCTTAAAATCATTCTAATATTATCTAGTATAGGTAGAATGATTTCAAATGTAAATGTAAAGCATACTTAGAAGAAATTTTCACTATAGAATAACATCATCTGAACAGTAGTTTAAAAGCATAGTGTAATAGATCAATACTTTATCTTTATTTGAGTTGTCTCAACAATGTATACACCTATGATCCGATGGGTACTAGGTAAGGATGAGATAGCTGGGACACGTATTACGTATGCCTAACTACCAACTGCCTCGAGGTGCGATGTTCAGTGGTATAGGAGTAGATTGGAAGAAATCTAAAGGCGGCCAGACCAAAACATGGCACAAATCCAAGAAGTCACTGACAAGTGGACTGAGCCATGTTGGTAGGTGTAGACTACCTGGTTGGGGACGACGAGATGATAGCAACCGGTGGTTAGAGACCTTGAGTGACATGGCTCAAAATCGTTTGCAATGGTGCAGGTGCATCCACTCTTTGTGGTATCCTAGATTCTAATCCTCTGAATTCTTCATGTCCCTTTGTTTCCTTTTTCCGAGTTTATTTCACTGTATTATACTCTTTGTATAACATCTTCAAACCCTAATCTTTCCGATTACTCCTTATACTTTTACTACCTCTACCATTACGGGATTCGAATCGAGAACTGCATCTCTGTGCTAATGTGGTGTGGCAACTCGAACTGATGTACGTACGTACAAAGTTCTACATTGTTACTGAGTGACTGACTTACTGACTGATCCGAAATAAGATCAAAACTTAAGATCTAATGGTCTTGAAGTAAACACAATACATTTAGATTACTGAATTGAAATCTATTGATCTCTGTTACTTAACTTATATGAATTTCTATAATATGATGCACTCATCATAATGTTTCATGAGTTTATCACAATCTCATTTGTGACTTCATTTTACAGCGTGCCTTTTTTAGATTGTGCAATTCATTGACAAGAGATCTTCTATTCATATCATTTAAATATGACTATATTGTGAAAGAAAATAGATGATAAATTGACATATATTCCATCAGTCCGCCGGTCTTCGAGGTCACTGTCTTCTGATTTGAGCCATGTTGCTAGATGCAAACTACTTAGTTGGGGTCCGCATGACTATCATAATCAATGGTTAGAGACTGTGGATGACATGGATCAGAATCGATCACCATGGCATAGGTACATACACTCTCTGTGTTCCCTTAAACTATGAGATTAAAATCGCTTCATATCTTTCTTTCTACACAATCTATCTTTTATGTATTAATACCATTGAAGTAACTACTTCTATGAATCCGGTGTTCATCTTGTTGTGCTAATGAGGTATGGCAACTTGAACCGATGCATATATATGCCTGATCCTACGTTATATCTGACTGACTGACTGACTGACTGATATATTCCATATGAAATCAAACCATTTGCGAAAATACAAAATGATCATTTACTTGGTTCACATTCTAAACCATGTTCTCCAATTTCAAAATATTCGGAACTATAACGATCTTGTATACCAGTTTTTCTCATAATTATACAACGACCATATGATTTAATACTTGGTTCCATTATTCCAATTAATATTAAACGATTATTTTCTTGTTTAATTGCTTTAGCTAATAAATTCACACGTGGTAATACATGACCATACATATCTCTTATTTCCCAATCATATAATAGAGGTTCTGATAATAGACGTGTATCTGAAATTCAAAGAATACGAAATTGAAATTAATAAATCCCACCGGTTGAAATTATGAGTCAATTGAAGCTAGACCATCATGGTAAACCTGGAAGCACAGGACGTGCATTTGGGTCCTAGTATGGGACCCCTCAGCGGTGCGCATCCACAATCCCGCCCCCCGCGAGATTCGAATCCAGGATCTATCAGTCTCGCGCTAGGCACTTAACCAACTAGGCCATTGAGCCGGCTTTCATCCAACGGTGTTAATGTTTAACTTTAACCAAATCTCCACAAAACCCATTCTGATAATAATAGAAAAATCACATAAATGAAGTCTTTTATATTTGAAGGGATTACGAGTTCACTTAATTCTATGAACGGGACAATGACTCTGTGACCAAAGACTAATAAGCTAGCTAACTTCACTAACTAGAGAGAGAAGTTCAAATTTGAAACGGTGAAATATATTCCGTAAGCAGTTATAAGCATAAGTAATCTTGACCTCAGTCTAGTCGGAAATACACTCATTAATATGTTGATTTGTAAACCTTTTTCTATTTTATAGAAATCAAGAGTACACTACATTTGTAATATCATACTTGTATCATCTTTACTTAAGCTTTGAAAATATTCACATTTACCTAATATAAACTTGAGATATTGTTGTTATATTTGGTCGTCACTGATTGCTGTGTCAGAAAAACAAAAACGCTGATCACTTATACTCGTAACGAGCGACCTCAGCAATTCCCACCATGCGAAAGTAAGAACACAAAGACTGGTATAACTGAAGATTGATTAGCCTCAAACTCTATGACGACGACGAAGACGAATCGAATCTAGTCTAAAATACACTGGTTTATATATTGATTGTACACCCATTTTTATTAATAATTAGGATCAAATCACATACTCCGTTATAACAAATCACTTACTGAGCATAGGTCATGTCAATGGAATACAGGAATATCTCGTATATTATACAGAAGAAAATATCATACTGGGATAACAGTAACAAATACTACACTGAATGATTCTTATGTTGAATCAGAACGGATGTTGAATGTTGAATAAAACTCATAATGAGTAATTCAATCGAGGAATTGACTCGTCTTTCCATCATATCAGTTATATAATTAATTTGGAATCATCTGGCCAATTAATGACTTTCTAAAATCAGTATTGAACTTTAATTTTACCTGAATTTGATCTTTTTCTAACCTTTAACAATTTGTAGTGACCTACTTTTACCGAGAGAACCCGATGGGTATGATGGAAACAATTATTATTATAACTAATGGTACCAGTGATTGTTTTACTGTACTTATTTGTTTAACTGTACTAAAAACATACATTCTTTCATTGACTGTGATCTGGCACTCTCTCGGTTACGTTCAATAGTTCCACTTGTACTCTTTCGTACGATCTCGGTATTCGTTCGATACTACGAGATTGCCAACAAATACATCTTACTGCAACCTTTAATTGTTTTCTGATATTTGGCCTACCGAAGGATCTAACGCAGTAACTGGCACGTAGCTTCAATGTAGTAGTGATCATAATCAACGGTGACTCAACGTTACGCTACAACTCTACAAATTTATAGATATTATTGAGATGGTAAAGAAATTTTGTCGCTCAAATAGAGTTTTGTACTTTGAGCTAATCTGTTAACTAGTTATTTTGTCCTTTGAAACATATTCCAATTAAGATTGTCGGGTTTTGTTTCCATGAATAGATCGATATGATTAGTAAGTGGTCAATCGAAAAATAATTAAATCTATGATTATTCCCGAATGACAACAGTTGAGATCATGAGTCAGTTGGAGCTAGACCACCATGGAAAAACTGGAAGCACTGGACGGCCGTTTCGTCCTATTGTGGGACTCCTTCAATGCTTCCAGATTTTCCATGGTGGTCTAACTTCACTTGAATCATGATCTCAACTGTTAAAATTACTACAATCTCCACAAAACCACTTCTGATATTCCTGAATGTTTTATAGTCAGGTCAACTAAACTATAATAAGCTGACGAGATATTTGATGATAGCAGCTTATTGACATTTTGTTGATTTAGAATTGATATTGTTAGATAGACATAGTGATGAATTCAGTTTATAAGTGAATAAGAATTACCGGAATTATGATGAATACACTCCCAGTGCTAGGTTTGAAAAGATTACACTAACACCTAAAACTGACGAACGGGAAGAAAGTCAGTAACAACAACAACAGGACAAGCTTGTAGTATTAGTTAGTCTGCAAGTCCATATACCTTATTCTATCTTTCGGACAGGCTAATCTTTTCATTCTACTTGAGTCACATTCTGACCATGTTGATTATTCATTGATCAATTTTGACTGTTTTATATGAGGGCATATGTGTGTGTGCCCTTCTTTTCATATTCATCACATAACTGTAACTTATTTTTGTGTAACTATAAATATTGATTAACGCTTGATTAAATGGACTTGGCTTACCCGCCATCTCCATTGCTCGTCATTTCACTTCTTTCTATTCTATTCGCTTCATATACTAAATATATGTATTCAAAAGTCCATTCTCGTTATTCGACTTATTTAATTCCGTTATTGACTAACGTGATTTAAGTCGATAATTATATACAAGGAGTGACGATATTTGTATATCTCAATAACAATTAGAAACAATCTCAATGCGGTCAGATCTCGGGCAACTAAAGTGGTGAGCCCGTCGACAACATCGTCCAATCTAAAAGACGATAAAATAAAGGGCCCCGCTAAAAACTAAACAATTCTACTGAACTACAGCCCTGATAACTAGAGAGAGAAGACCAGATTCATCCAATGGAAGAGTATATTCCACAAGCAGTCGGAAGCATGAACAAATAAGCACACATGCCAAGCGTATATATGCAAAACAAAAATGTCCTTAATAAACGTCACAAAATAACGTACGAAAAGCCTAAACAAACTAATGACATGTATGGTCTTTCCAAGTGACAAGTACAAACCAAAGGTTTAGGTGGGCGGTTTTTGGTGCGAAAATGGGAAATTCCGATTTCCAAAATAAAATCACAAAAATGAGAAGTTTACCAAGTGATTTCTGGGGATGTAACATCCTCAACATCTAGTCAATCATGTATTCTCAAATTATATTTAAAGAAATAAGTTGCTATTGTTAGTCTTATAGTTAAATTTATGAGTCTATTAAGGCTAGACCACCATGGAAAAACTGGAAGCACTGGACGGTCGTTTCGTCCTAGTATAGGACTCCTTAGCAGAGAGCATCCTCGACCCCGCTCCACGGGATTCGAACCTAGGATCTATCAATGTCGCGTACGAACGCTGAATCGCCTTTTATCCAACGATGTTAATGTATAACTTCAATCAATCTAACAAAAATCAATATACCTTCAGTTCACAGTTCACTACTAACACTTTCATTATTCAATACTTAAAAATTATCATTCATTGAATTCATTAGTATTATTAGATAATCTTAGAACATTGTACTTACCATTTGGACGACATATTAAAGTTAAATTATTACCAATAATTAATGGTAATCTACCACAATTATTCAAACCATCAATAATCGGATAGATTTTCTCCACTGATTTCATTTTACATAGAAACAAAAACAAAAGAAGGTTACATGAATAAATCAATGATAATCATGATTTCCAATAGCAACAACAACAAAAAAAACCAGTTAACGATTATGTAACACCTCACTAGGTAACAACAGTTTATACTAATTATTGATCATAGATTAACTTTAGTTGGGATAGTATTAAAAACTAAGGAAGAGTATATAACTGTTTTGCTCTAGGATGATACTACTTATTGGTATGCACATTTCTACGCTTACAATAAATCGAAATCAGAACCTTCAGGTTAAGGGATATAATGATATGTTTCCTGAATCATTCAGGTAAATACCTAAATGAACAATTATATCAACATTGATGAACTCCATCTGCTATGAATACAACATAGAAACATAGGAAACTACTTCAACTGGAATTCATTATCATTTATATTCGATGTTGAACAAGTATTGAGGGATGTACAAACTTTCGAAATCCTCAATAAATTGAATGCTTAAAATATTTTAAATATATTATTACATCTTAACAAAGATAGATAGTGGTTAGCAGAAGAATGCTATCAGGACTCAGTAGCTAAGTGGATAATAACACGATGGTGTTTGAAGCGAACGGTACTGGAATCGAGTCCTGGGGTGAATATCAACACTGAGATGCAGGTAGATCCAGTTGACAAGTCTCAAATAGGAGGAAACGCGCGTTCTGATTTCAACTGCAAGGCACTATCCATTTTTTGGTAATAATACTTGTGACTTAAGGCTATATCGAGGCAATCCATACATGATGCACACAGTCCTAAATAACAATGGAGAGATGCAAGTAAAACAACTTCAAGTGGATTTATTACATCTTATACTTGGACGCTTATAGAACATATCATTCCCATATAATTTGGCAACAATCAAAATCAAGAGTACAACTTGGTAACACATTTTGATATTAATGCAAGAATAATCTGCTGACTTTAGGCAACTGTGCATGTAAACAAACATTTTGCTATACACATAATGTATGATAAATCAAAATGTCCGCTAACTTCTATATTCATGATTGTTTCGATTAAGGAATCTCGATGGCTGCCCTACACTTTTCCACGAGGAGTAACATGTCTTAGTAAGTAAGTAAGTAAGTAAGTAAGTAAGTAAGTAAGTAAGTAAGTAAGTAAGTAAGTAAGTAAGTAAGTAAGTAAGTAAGTAAGTAAGTAAGTAAGTAAGTAGTAAGTAAGTAAGTAAGTAAGTAAGTAAGTAAGTAAGTAAGTAAGTAAGTAAGTAAGAAGTAAGTAAGTAAGTAAGTATAAGTA